CATGGGGATGGCACGGGGATGGCACAGAGATGGGCATGGGGATGGTGCAGGGATGGGCATGAGGATGGCACAGGGATGGTCACGTTGGCTGGGGGCTGTGTTCAAATCACAAATAGGACAGGACTGCTGGGAACGTGCCTTGAGCTGTTTGATTTTCCAGCATCAGCCTCATTCCATGGTTATGACAATGGGAAGATGCCATTAGTTCATATCCTCAGCAGCAGACCAAGAACTCAATGTTACAACTCGCTTTAAAAGTTTTTTGACCAATCACACAAAGCAAAAGCACATTGACAGTATTTATATCTATATAGTGTATATTCTATATTGACAGTAGTTCCATCCAACCACTATCAGCACAGGTAGCTTTGGTTAAACAATGCTTGCTTATTTCAAATACAATCCCTGCTTGTGAGCCTTAAACACAATGCACAGAGCTCCATTATTAGGCTTAAAACTGCCTAATATCTCTCTAGATAAACTTTTCTGCAGCTTAGAGAGTTATTCTAGACAAGCATTAATACACAGACCATTGTTCTATTTGTCCTTACTTTTTTACTTTTTACATAATTTTTCTGCTGATTTATTTTATGGCTACTGCTTAGCTCCAATCACACTTCTGCTGTCTCTGAGGCCTTTTGCAGCTTTCCCAAAACGCTCTGATTTTATGGATTCCCCCAGGGACAGTGGCACTTGTGATGCCCTAAGCTGCCTCCCAGCTGTCTGTGCCCTTGGTGGGTGTCTGGGGGTCACTCCTATGATGTCACTGGTGACATCAATCATAGAACTGATTTCAGTAGTACTGAAGAGAAACACTTCTTGCACTGATGACACTGGTGACTGATGGGTCACAGGCTGTCAGTGATTTGCAGTACATGACACTGCTCGGAGTGTGCAGCCCCTGAGCACGGTGACAGCTCTGCAGGTGATAGTGGAACCCTGGAAAAAGTTAAAGATAGAATCTAAAATGTTAGGCTTTGTGCTTTCCCAGATCAACTGCACCTGCGTAAGCAGTATGATAAATTATATAATTGTTAGATGTGATGATTGTTTAGTAATTAAATGTAATTATTATATAACCATAAGAAGAATAGTGAGAAACTATGTTGGAAATTCAGAGAGGGGCTAAATTTATGTATATAATAGAACAATATAAGTTTAATAATTAACATGAAAGTTATGTAACGATAGAGTATAAAACAGGATCATTTCGGATGTATGGTCGGAGTCAGATTTGGGTTGAATATACCCCGATTCCCAGAGCTCTTAATAAAAAGCACCGCATATAATCCCCTGTGATTCTGTGTTTTTGAACGCCAACACAGGGGGTGTCCTGTCCTGGGGATGCCATTGTGGTGTCTGTGTGTTGCAGTGACCCGCTGTTCGCAGCCCAGCGCCTGCCCCCCCACGGGTACCCTCTGGAGCACCCCTTCAACAAGGACGGCTATCGCTACATCCTGGCCGAGCCTGACCCCCACGCCCCCGACCCCGAGAAGCTGGAGCTGGACTGTTGGGCAGGAAAACCAATTCCTGGGGACCTGTACAGAGCCTGCCTGTATGAGAGAGTCCTCCTGGCACTGCATGACCGAGGTACAGAGCTCCTTGGGGTGTGCACTTGTGTTTCCTTCCGGAGGCATCTCAGTCAGAGCTTAAACCCACCTCTGTGTTCACTTGCCTTTTGACATCACCGCGTTAAAAATGACAAGTGTGTGCTCCCTGCAGCTCCCCAGCTGAAGATCTCTGATGACAGGCTGACTGTTGTGGGGGAGAAGGGCTATTCCATGGTGAGGGCCTCGCACGGCGTGCGGAAGGGAGCCTGGTACTTCGAGATCTCCATGGATGAGATGCCTCCAGACACAGCTGCCAGATTAGGCTGGTCACAGCCCTTGGGTAAATAATCTTACAAAACATTTCTCAGCAGGTGCTGCTGCTGCACTCCCTGTGTTCACCATGAAGGGTTTGTTTCTGCAGGGAACCTCCAGGCCCCTCTGGGATACGACAAGTTCAGTTACTCCTGGCGCAGCAAAAAGGGAACCAAGTTTCACCAGTCCATAGGGAAACACTATTCCTCTGGCTACGGACAGGGAGATGTCCTGGGGTTTTATATCAACCTTCCAGAGGATACTGAGACAGCCAAATCCCTGCCTGACACCTACAAAGACAAGGTGAGGTGCAAGTTCACTGTTGGATTAAGCATTGGCAGGTGGAAAACTGGAAAACGAATTGCTGTGGCCCTTTCTGTGCCCATCCTGCCTCTTGGTACCTCTGTGGTTCCTGGGGGAGAGGCCCAAAGTGTTGATCTCAAGAAAGCAAAACACTCCAGGATGGGATTGCCCACATCTCCTTTCACCTTCCCCTCCTGGCTCTGAAATCTCTGAGCTGTGGGAGTCACTCCTCACAGGTACTCTGACACCAGGCACGCCTGGCCCTGAGCAGGTGGCAGGTAACAGATTTTGGGCTTGTTCCTGATGTTGTTTGCTGCTTTTTCAGGCTTTGATCAAATTCAAAAGCTACTTGTACTTTGAAGAGAAGGATTTTGTGGACAAAGCAGAGAAGAGCCTAAAGCAAGCCCCTGGAAGCCAGGTGAGTTGTGGCTGTCACTTCAACTCGTGCCTGGCCTGAGTGAAAGGGAGCAGGCATTAATCTGGTCAGGGTTGCTGTGTCCTGACAGCCACCATCAGTGGGAAAACCTTTCATTTTCCAGATCATATTCTTCAAGAATGGTGTCAACCAAGGAGTTGCCTTTAAGGACATCTTTGAGGGTGTTTATTTTCCCGCTATCTCTCTGTACAAAGGCTGCACGGTAAGTGAGGGGTCTTTGAAAGAGAATTTCTAAATCCATGAGTTTCACACACAAAGTGTGTTCATGCACAAAGTGTGGGCACTCTGAGAGTGTGCCAAGTGAAAAGGAAAGGTGGGAATCATTTTAGTGACTCATGTGTAACAAGATTATCAAATTACTGAAGTAACATCAGCAATGTTTGTTCCTTTGGGCTTGTACAGGGTGTGGGGAGGCTCAGGAGTAGGAAGGAATGAGGACAGAGGACTAAATAGATTTCCCTGGATTTTTAGATTTCATGAAAATATGTTTTCCACAGGTTTCCATAAACTTTGGGCCATATTTCAAGTATCCACCAAGAGACATCACTTACCATCCTGTAAGTAAAACTGAACTTCTTACTTCATTTGAAAACCTCATTATTTAAATCAAAGATGTTTTGGTGTGATTCATAGCACACCTGTACCTGTCCTTCAGTCTCAATACCTGGACTAAAGGAGCCAAAAGGATCGTGGCCAAAAGGATTGTGTTAAAAAATGCATAAGGACAGATATCCAAATGAATCGTTAAATTTTAATTAAATAATAGGTGCTGTTATCTGGTCTCAATTGTCAGTAAGGGGCTGAATTGTTGTTCAAGGAAACACTTGGAATCTCCCCCCTGCCAGAACTGGTTTGAGGAGGGAAACAGCCCAGGGCTGTGTGGTCCCTCCTTGTGCAGGAGTGCAGCTCACTGTGCTTCCCCCTGCAGATGAGTGACATGGGCTGGGGGGCCGTGGTGGAGCACACGCTGGCAGATGTCCTGTACCACGTGGAGACAGAGGTGGATGGCAGGAGGAGCCCTCCCTGGGAGCCCTAAACCCCAGCTCTGTGGCTTTGCTGCAGAGGAAGCTCCATCTGTGTCTCAGAGATCAGCCAAGGAGCCAACAGGCCGAGGAGGATGCAGCCCTGGCTGGCAGGTGGTGTGTGTGTGTGTGTCTGTGTTTGTGTGTGTGTGCGTGTGTGTGTGTGTGTGTGTGTTCACAGCTCCCCACTGCCCCAGGAGGGTGTTTTGTGCTGCTGGGGGTGTTGAAGAACCTTCTCCCACGCTGTGACAGCTCAGGCCCTGCCAGCTGTGGCTGCAGTGACCCCTGTGCTCAGGTGTGTTTGGCCAACAGCTCCCAGCCAGGATGGCTCTGTTGGAACAACACGGCTGCATGCAAGACTGAAATTTGGGCTTCTGTCCAAACTGTATTTTTTTTCCCCCACAGACTGGAAACCAGTTTAAAAATAAAGGCTTTAACTCTTCTTTTTATTCTTGTTTTTGTCTTGTAAATTGTTACAAATGACATTGAAACTCAAAGTAGTTACACTTGGAGAACTTTTGAGCTGAAGATCTCCTGTGCACAGGAGTTACATGGGGCCTAATAATTATCATTGCAGAGCTCTGAATAAATAATTTGACATTTCTTATGTGTTGGTACAGAAAAAAATAAATTAGAGCTTAACAAAATTGTTAAGTAAGTGCTGTGTTTGAGCTTTGGGAGAGTAAAAGTTGAGGTTCAGTCAGGCCTGTGTTGCCTCACTGAGGATTTACCTTCCGAGCCAGCTGTTAGCCCAGACCTTTAATTGTAGACAGCACTAATTAAAGCTTTATTTATTCATTGAAAGTAATTAGGGAGGGTGGAGTTGGCTGACTGGGCCAGCACATGCTCAGTTAAGCAACTGCAGGAATTAAATTTTTAGTCCTGCACTTACACAACGAACTTCAATAAATAAACCATTCTATTTATTGAGTGTAACTATGCATTAATTAGTGGAGTCTGCTATTAAAGGCCTGGCTAATTGAAGTGACACGGTTCCATACTTGGTTCCTGAAGGAAGCCCTGCACAGGGTGGTCAGCAGGTCATGGTCAGTAGGCAGTGGTCAGTGGGTTGTGATGGTCAGCAGGTTGTGGTCAGTGGGTCATGGTCAGCAGGCTGCGGTGGTCAGCAGGTTGTGGTGGTCAATAGGACATGGTCAGCACGTCGTGGTGGTCAGCAGGCCGTGGTCAGTGGGTCATGGTGGTCAGCAGGCTGTGGTCAGCGGCTCATGGTGGTCAGCAGGCCGTGGTCAGTGGCTCATGGTGGTCAGCAGGCCCTGGTGGTCAGCAGGCCGTGGTCAGTGGCTCATGGTGGTCAGCAGGCTGTGGTCAGTGGCTCATGGTGGTCAGCAGGCCCTGGTGGTCAGTGGCTCATGATGGTCAGCAGGCCACAGGCACCGGCCGGGCCAGGCGCTGCCGCAGGTGTTTGGCGAAGTCCACCTGTGTCTGGGACAGGACCTGGTTGATGATGCTCTTGGGCAGCCACCCCTGGGGAGAGCAGACACAGCCTGTGAGCAGAACCGGCCTCCCCCAGAGCCCCTGGCTCCCCCAAAACCCCTGGCTCCCCCAGAGACTCTGGCTCTCCCAGGCTCCCCCCAGCCCCAGGTACCTTGAGATCAATGCTGAGCAGCCAGGTGAGCCTGGTCTGGGAGGGGCTGCCAGGCAGCGGGCGCAGGACCATGCAGGTGGGACCATTCTCAGCCCTGATGGGAACAGAGGCTCAGGTCAGACCCAAACTTGGATTTTTCAGCCTCAAAAATGCACTTTGGGCTTTCTGCAGCAGCTCCTGCTGCCCGTAGAAACCCAGCAACGCTGAGCCTGGAGTAAAACCCTTGTGCCCTGTGGGAATCTCCTCCTGCTCACACATAACAGGGCTTGTTAGCGTTCAAAAACACAGAATCACAGGGATTATATGCGGTGCTTTTTATTAAGAGCTCTGGGAATCGGGGTATATTCAACCCAAATCTGACTCCGACCATACATCCGAAATGATCCTGTTTTATACTCTATCGTTACATAACTTTCATATTAATTATTAAACTTATATTGTTCTATTGTATACATAAATTTAGCCCCTCTCTGAATTTCCAACATAGTTTCTCACTATTCTTCTTATGGTTATATAATAATTACATTTAATTACTAAACAATCATCACATCTAACAATTATATAATTTATCATACTGCTTACGCAGGTGCAGTTGATCTGGGAAAGCACAAAGCCTAACATTTTAGATTCTATCTTTAACTTTTTCCAGGGTTCCACTATCAGGCTGAGCAGGTGTGGGTACCTTATGAAGCCCTCCTGCTCGGGCATGGCCCCGTAGGTGGTGGACATCCCTGCCAGCACACAGGTGGAGCCGCGTCTCCTGGAGCAGCGCACGCTCACAAAGTCCCGCGGCCCCACGATGTTCCCGGGGCTCGCGGCCGCCTTCTCGTGGGTGATCACCGTGTCCTTGCCAATCTTCTCCAGGATCTGCAGATCAGAATGAAAGCTTTCATTGACTGCAAGCACAGCTGAAAGCTGCCTTTGGTCACCAGGTGTTCAGATACAGAGTCTGACAAATACTTGACAATAATTCCAAATATTTGCTTGTCGCAGACAACTTTTATGAAAAATCCTTTCCTTAAGATTTTTCCTCCTGAGAAGCCTCAGGAACAAAATGTAAACATTGATTATCTGGTGCTGTGGAATGCAAAACATAGACCTTTGATTGGCCCATGTTAGAAGTTTGTAATTAATGGCTAATCACAGCCAAGCTGGCTCAGAGAGAGAGAGCCCAGCCACAAACCTTTCTTATCATTCTTTCTTTTTCTATTCTTAGCTAGCCTTCTGATGGAACCTTTTCTTTTATTCTTTTAGTATAGTTTTAATGTAATATATATCATAAAATAATAACTCAAGCCTTCTAAAACATGGAGTCAGATCCTCATCTCTTCCCTCATCCAAGAACCCCTGTGAACACAGTCACACTTGCTCGCCCCTAGGTGAGAAATGTTTTCAATTCCTGAGTGAAAAGCTATTCCCTTACTGCCTCTCTGATTCTTTGTGCCTATTTCTTCCCCAGATCAACCCCAACTTCCAGCAGAACTGGCAGCTCCTTGCAGGAAAATGCACGCTGTTTCCTTGCATTAATTTCCTGCAGAATTAATCACACAAAAACTGCTCCAGACTCGCCTCAACACAGATACTGCAAAACCTCCTCTGCATCTGCAGCAGGAAATGCACAGAACACAGGCTGGCAGTGACAGGTGTGACACATTTCTCCTACCCTGACTTCTTTGACGTTGGGGTTCCAGTCTCCCATCTGCTCCATGTTGTCCACCAGCTCTCCGTACACCGTGTCCAGGGGCTGGTCCACCACCACCTCCAGCCGGAACACCTTCCCCACGTCTGGCAGGACCTTGCTCAGCACTTTGTCCCCGTTTCCCTGTGAGGGGAGGGCAGCGTTAGCACCAGAGCTGCTCTCAGGGGGAGGGAGGGCTGCCAGGCAGCACCACGGGGCACAGCACCCACCGCCACCGTCTCTGTCTTCCAGTCGTCCTGGTCCTCCAGGATTCTGAGGGATTTCTGCAGGGCCTCCTCTCCTTGCTTGATGTAAGACATTTCCATCTCGCTGAAGGGTTTCTCCTCCAGCCTTGAGCCTGCAGACAGAGGCAGGGCTGAGCAAGAGCAGTGTAATGTGCCAGATGAGATTTATCTACACCAAATACCCTTCTCTGTGCCCAGGGGATGGGGATTACACCCAGTTCCCACTCTGCCTTTGGCTCAGCAGAAGCACAGCCCACCCTCAAGCAGGTTTCCCCCAGCCTGTGAGGGTCTCCCCCCAGCAGGAAAGGAACAGACCCCTCAGGTGTGTCACTTACTGAGCAAGGAGCTTCTTCTGCGCACCTGGTGGATCCAGGTGCTGGGTCCTGGGCTGTGGCTGGCCAGCCTGCTCAGCTCCTGGCTGATGGCCACGGCAGCTTGTCTCCTCAGACCTGGGGAGAGAGCGTTGTCACCCACCTGGCCCTTACCATGGGCTTTTCCCCCATTTAAACACTCAACATGGAAAAGTCCCTGCTTGTCACCATCTCGGTGTCCCTACAGGCACAGGGAGCAGCTGGTTGTCACCACACTGCCCTGGGGTAGGTTCTTCTAAGCAATCCTCAGCTTGGCTCCAGCTCCCTGCAGCAGTAAAAACACTGAGGAGCATCGTGCAGGAAAGAGCATGGAAATGGAGCACAGAAGTACAAAACCCTCACAGCCAGAAGGAATGTGACCCAGAGCTGGTCACAGGGACATGAGCCAGCCCCTCAGTGACAGGGCTCAGGGTTTCAGGGACAGTAAACCACAGAACCCAACATGCTGCAGAGTGGGGAGAGCATCGCCGAGGCCCCAGCCACCACTCTGAGGAGTTTAGGGAGAAAGAGAGCCCTTTGTGGAGCCTGTGACTCAACAGGAGCTTCTCTAACAGACTTTTATCAGAAAATCTAACTCTGCCTGTGACAGTGGGGAGAGAATCCCTGACCCCAGGCAGCCGGACAGGAGCAGCCCCAGTCCCATCCTGCCGTGGGCAGCCGGACCCAAGCCTAATCCTGCCCCAAGCAGTGGGACAGGGGCTGTCCTGGCCCTGTCCTGTCCCAGAGAGCTGGACAGGAGCTGTCCCGGCCCGCAGCCGGACTCACCGGTCATGTTGCGCAGGTGGCGGTAGGAGATGGCGGCGCAGAGCTTGGACGTGGCTGGCAGCATCTCCTGAGGGGTTGGAGCGTCGGCTGGGCAGTGGAGGTGACGGTGACAGTGACTGTGGCTGTGGCTGGGTGGTGGCTGCGGCGGTGCCTTCAGGGATGGCCGGTGTCCGTCCGTGTGCGCCGATCGCTGCTCTGGCCCGGCCCCGCCGTGCCCGGCCTTAAGTACGCGGTGCTGAAGGATTCTGCCCCGTCAGGCGGGAGATAAGCGCCGTCACTGCGGGCCCTCACGGCGGGCCGGGCCCCCGGGCCAAGGCCGGGCCCGCTCCCCACGCACAGCACACGGGGCCGGGAGCGTGAGGGCCCCGCGGAGCTGCCCCGGCCCCGGGCACGGCAGGCAGAGCCCCCTTGAGCAGCTCCGTGATGTTTTCTGAAAAATCCTTTCCTTAGGATCTTTTCTCCTGAGAAGCTGAGAGGCCTCAGGAACAAAATGTAAACAATGGTTATCTGCTGCTGTGGAATGCAACAGGTGCATCTGTGATTGGTCTCATGTGGTTGTTTGTAATTAATGGCAAATCAGAGTCCTAACCCTAACCAGACTGTCTCAGTCAGTCACAAGCCTTTGTTATCATTCTTTTTCTATTCTTAGCCAGCCTTCTGATGAGATCCTTTCTTCTATTCTTTTAGTATAGTTTTCATAGGATATATATAATAAAATAATAAATCAAGCCTTCTGAAACATGGAGTCAGATCCTCGTCTCTTCCCTCATCCTAAGACCCCTGTGAACACCACCACAAATATTCCAAAAATTGTGGAATAACGAGCCAGGCTGAGCCTCTGTGCACAGGAACCCACAACAGCTGAATATTAAACCCATTGAGCTGCTGAGCCTGGGGCTGAAGTGAGGAGCAGCCCCCCTACTCCCCAGGCCCCGTTATCTGCCCCAGCACGGCGGAGCAGCGATAATGCTCAAGGCTGAGATGACATTTCTGGCATGAATTACGGCCTGGAGGGCAGCACTCGCAGGAACCTGTGAATTACAGCTGCTTCCTTTGACGTCAGCCCCTGCACCCTCTGCAGGGAGCCTGACCTTGCTCCCCCATTTCAACAGCGTGGCCCAGGGGGAGGTCACCCCCTCACTGCGCCAGCAGCCCGGCCATGGGGAGCTCTTTGTCCCCCCTGCCTGTCCCCCAGCTTTCCCGAGGCGATTTGAGTCCCACCTGCCTTCCAGAACCCTCCTGCTGCTCCCCAGGGCTGCCATCGGCACTGTGTGCCAGGAAACACCTCAGGCTCAGGTCAGCATTGTGGGGTGGCAGGGAGGTGCTGCAGGGAGCAGGAGGAAGCCAGCAGCTGCACCATCCCTGTCCAAAACCTTTGCTGGGAGCTCCTCTTTGCAGCCACACTCCCACAGGTGTGATTCCCAGGTCATGGCACAGCTCTCCCCAGCTCTGGGCTTCACCCACCTGCTCCCACCTCCCTGCACAGGTGGGGAGAGAGGGTTTGGAAGCCCTGGGAGTGCCCAGCCCAGAGCTCTGGCCAAGAACAGGCAGAACACAGAGGTTTGGATGCTCAGGGACACCAGAGACACCCCAATATTGTGCTTGCAGTCCCCCTGCCCTGGGAGTGAGGGCACACAGCCCTGGAGCTGTGAGTGATCCAGGGTTCTTATCCCAGATCCAGGGAGCCCCTGTGAGAGATCCAGGGCTGTTATCCCAGATCCAGGGAGCTCCTGGCTGGGAAGGATCCAGGGTTCTTATCCCAGATCCAGGGAGCAATCCAGGGCTGTTTTCCCAGATCCAGGGCTGTTATCCCAGACCCAGGGAGCCCCAGAGCTGTAAGAGATCCAGGGTTCTTATCCCAGACCCAGGGAGCCCCTGGCTGGAGCAATCCAGGGTTCTTATCCCAGATCCAGGGTTCTTATCCCAGATCCAGGGAGGCCCTGGCTGGAGCAATCCAGGGTTCTTATCCCAGATCCAGGGAGGCCCTGGCTGGAGCAATCCAGGGTTCTTATCCCAGATCCAGGGAGGCCCTGGCTGGAGCAATCCAGGGTTCTTATCCCAGATCCAGGGAGCCCTGGCTGGAGCAATCCAGGGTTCTTATCCCAGATGGAGGCGCCGCTCCCAGCGCGAGGCCTCGGCACAAGGACACGCAGTTGTTTGTGAGAAGAACCAAAACAAACCAAGCAGAGCCGCCCCTCTGGCTCCAGGCTGGAGGGCAGGAGCCCAGCTGTGCCCTCAGGAGGGGACACAGCCACACTGTGCCACAGCACAGGAGAAAATGCTGCAGGTGAGCAGGACACAGAGCCCACAAAAGGCAGCAGGAACCCTCAGGGGGATCTGGTTAACTGGAACAGCTCAGCCCAACAGCCCCCTGAGGCACCCCCAGGCTCCTGCACAAAGTCACCACACACAGGGCTTGGAGTACAAATGTACAAAAACCAAAATGATGCCAACCAAAGGCACTGGAGCTTCACCAGGGCCTGAAGGTTCAAGGGCCCAAGAACCCTGAGGCTGCCCTGAGCCCTCCACCCTGCCCAGCTGAGCCTCCTTCTAGAACATTCCCCTCTCCCAGCCCGTTCCCAGGCTCTGTCAGGGTGGCCCTGTCCCTCTGCACCAGCACAGCCCGGGGGCGTCCCCCCATCCCAAGGCTGTCCTGGTGCTATTTGGAGAGCACAGGCAAACCACAGAGTGCCACAGAGGTCACACCCAACACCCTGATAAGATAATAACAGCAAGGATGGATCCATGTCTTGACCCCCACCATCTCCTTCCACCCCCCAAGCCCTGGGCTGCAGAGATGGGACCCCAACACCAGGGCTGGGCAGCCCTTGCCTTCCTAGGCATCTCTGTTATGATCCCCCCCTCACCCCAAAACACCCCCCAACCAAACAGCAACAGCACAAAAACCCCTAAAGAGCCACCCCTGCCTGCCAGAGACTTCCCAGCCACAGGCTCCAGCTCCATAAATGCTTTTTATTCAGTTTTGTTAGAACAAGAAATAGTATTTCCTTGTTATAACCTTTGCTACCCCCAAACCCACAACACCCACTCAAGCCCAATGGGGCAGAAATGTTTCTCCCCCAAAAAGAGTGAGAGTGGGCCAGCACTGGCCACAACAGCTGCCAGTGCTCAGCCCCAGCAAGCTGGGATTGTCCTCTGTCCCCCCAGCGTGGATTCTTCACCCAAAGAACCCCCAGGGGAGCAGCCCTGGGTTGTCCCTGCCCAGGTTTGCCCTTCCCTGCCCACAGCAGGAGGCTCCTGGGGCCTGGCAGCTGCCCAGAGCCAGCCCTGAGGCCAAGGACTCTCCTCCCCACGGGAGGAAGGGCCAGGACACCTCGGGGCAAAGCTGACACAGCTGCAGCAGCTCCCCCAGCATGGAGCAAGGACGAGCTGGAGCTCCAGGCTGTGCCCAGGTGCAGCAGCTCCTCACCAGCAGGTAATTAGTGGGTTCAGCTGGTAATTAGCAGGCTCAGCTGCAGGGGAATGGCACAGCCTGGCTGGAGGGGGTATGGCTGGTCTGTGTTGGGGTACAGGGGTTCTGCTGCCCTGTGTGTTGGGGTACCCAGGTTCTGCTCCCTTCCCACAGCAGGATCTTGCCACAGGCTCCAGCATTCTCCCAGAGTGGGGCAGGGGTGCCATCTGTCCCTGCACAGCACACACAGAGGGGACAAAAGCTGGCTTGAGGGGTGTTCATCCTGAGAGAGGGGAACTGAACAGGGCCAGAACATGGGAAAAGCATCGAGGTCAGGATCAAGGATTTATTTACATGTCAAGGAAACTCTCACCCAGAGTCATGTGAGGAGGAAAAAGCAAACAAAGCCAAGGAGCAGTGATTTGCCTCCCAAACACAAATGCTTGCGCTCCCAGTGTGCTGGGCCCTCCTCATCTCCTTCTCCAGAAGGAGACCAAAGGCATGATTTGTGTACAGTTACCAGCACCACGGAAAAGACAATCTGAAAATGAAACCTGCCTCTCCAGGCAGCGTGTGCCTGCCCAGGGGGGTCCTGGAGCAGCCCTGGCTCCCTGCAGGAGAGGGGCAGCCCCTCAGTACTCATCCAACGTGTCAGCACGTGGCACGGAGAGGCCCCGCTCCTTCAGAGCCTGCACCTTCAGCTTCTCCGACTCCTGCTTGGCCTGCTGCTCCACCCGCTGCTCCTCCAGGATCTCCTCGATGGACACCTGCTGCAGAGGTGTGTCGCTCTCCTTCTCCAGGTCCTGCAGGAGAAAGGAGCCTTCAGCACATACAGTCACCTGTGGCCATGCAGCAAATAATGGGGCTGACAGAAAACTGAGGTGCTGGAAGTGCTCTGAGGGGTGGGGACGTGGGCAGGGATCTCTTGGGAAGGGGATCCCATGACCAAACAGTGCCCAGCTCCTCCTGAGCCCATCCCAGACGGTGTCTGCTGGGGCAGAGCCAGCAGGGAGGTACCAGGCAGGCAGCAGTGCCACCCTCCAGCAGTGCCACACCAGCTGCAGTTGTTCTTTGTCCTTGTGTCATCCCAGAGCGGCTGTGGCAGCAGGAGGCAGCCCTGCCCTGCAGCTTGGCCCTTCTGTGATGGCGCAGCCTGAGCTGCCTCCAATTCCAGCCCAACGCAACAGCAACATTTCACAGCAGACAGACAGACAGACGGACCACAAACCCCCCCAGCAGTGGCATTTGAGCACTTACAATTTCCCCCAGCAGCACCACATTCTCGCCCCTCACCACGAAGATGCCCCGAGGGATGTCCCCGTACTTCTTGCCCACGTGGATGCGCTCCACAGTCTGGTGCAACACCAGGTTCGCTGCAGCAAAACAACGAGACACACACAAACCCAGCGACGTTCCACCGTGAACGGCGGCTGAGCAGTGTCCCCCTGTCCCCTGGCACTCGGTGGCTGCTGGGTCACTGAAACCACCAAGATCTAGCGAGCTCCGAGCCCGAGCTGAGCCCACCTAAGAACCCGCAGCACAGAAAGTGATGCTCTGAGCAAGGATGGAGCGCCTGGCCGGGAGGATGAACATCACCCCGGGAGGAGGATGATGAAGAACATCACCCCGGCCCCGGGAGGAAGATGAACATCACGGGTCCGGGAGGAAGATGATGAACATCGCCCGGTGCTTCTGCCCAACAAGCAGAGTACCAACTCCGGATGAACCTGCGGCACGAGGAGTGCCCAGTGCGGGAGAAACCCCCGCGAAGCGCCCGGTCCAGGGGACAGGACACAGAGGTTCAATCCCCAGCACAGCAGCACGGCTCCCTCCTCATCTTCCTCCTCCTCCTCCTCCTCCTCACCATCCCCGGTGCTCCCCGGCCCAGCCCGGCCGTACCGAACTGGTCGATGCTCCGCAGGTACCCGATCAGCGTCCGGCCGTCCCTCAGCAGCACCAGGTGTTTCTCTGCGGGAAAGGAGAGCGGAGCGTCGGGCTCAGCCCCCGCGGCACCGGGACCCGCCGGGCTGCACGGGGAACGCGGAACCGCGGGGCAGGACCGGGGGGAGCGGGATGCCGGAGCCCACGGCGGGGCGGCCCCGGGACACTCACTGTCGATGTCCTGGATCAGGCTGGCCGTGCCGGGCATGTAGTTCATGGTGCCGCCGCGCCCGCAGCGGAAGCGCCGCCATGCGCCGGTGCCGCCGCCGCCGCCCCGGAACCGCCCGCGCCGGGCGGGGCCCACCCGCCGCTGCCCTTTTAAGCCGCGCCAGCCGTGCGCGCGGGGCCGCCGCCGATTGGTTGGAGCCAGAGGGGAGCGGCAGCCGATTGGGCACGGGGCGCGTTGGGGGCGTGGCCTTGGCGGCGGCCATGGAGTCCCGCACGGCCGGGCCGGGCCCGCCCGCGGCGGCCGCGCAGGTAACGGGGGCGAGGGGCGGGCACGGACACCGGGATGGAAACGGCCCCCGAGGAGGGCACGGCCCCGGGGATCGGATAGCGTCCCTGGGATGGAAACGGCCTTTGGAACCGGACAGGGGCCCCGGGACGGGCACGGCCCCCGGGATGGACAGAGCCCCCCGGGAGGGCACGGACCCCGTCACGGAAACGGCCCCGGGGCGGGCGGGCAGCGCTCAGCTCGGCCGTGCCCCGGTAACGGGCGCGCAGGGCGTCCCCGGGCGGGCCTGCCCGGAGCCTCCCACGCCCCGCCGCTTCTCGCGGCTCTGCTCGCGGGGCCCTCCGGGCGTGTAACGGGGCGGAAAGCAGCGCGGGGAGGGAGGGAGGCGCTGCACCGGGACGTGTCTGGGGCGCTGTGCTGGTGCGGAGATCCCGGGAACCCCGGAGCGCTTTGCGGAGCGGGAGGGCCACGGTAACGGGGCCGGGCATTGCCGGGTCCGGTACCACGGCTGGGCATTACCGGGTCCGTTACCCGCGGGGTTGATGGCAGCTGGGTTTTGGGCTGCCGTGCAAATCCCGGGTGATGAGAAGGGTTTGCCTTGGTTTGGTTTGGTTTGGTTTGGTTTGGTTTGGTTTCTCCTCTGGGCTGTCAGGATGGGCCGGCCCTTCCATAAATCCCGGCACACAGGTTGTGCAGCCTGCACTGTGGGAAGCAGCTCAGGGTGGAAAAATGCTGCTTTGCCCGAAGGTACAGGGAAATCCCGTCCTTCAGCATCCCCTCTGCCAGGTGGAAACTCACGTTACCTACCCATCAGTTATGGGACGGATCCAGGTAAATTCTCAGATGTGGCCTGGGTGTGCACACAGAGACTCACATGAGCTGCACAGAGACTCCAGGAGCTGAACACTGGCTGGCAGAGCTTGTCTGTTTGAGAATGAACTTTTAATGAACACTGGCTGGCAGAGCTTTCCTGGAGAGTTTTCCATCCTCCCATCGGTCATGCAGAGCTGGCATTGAACCCTCCAGGAGCTGCTCACTGTGAGGGGCTGCACAACTCCCCCTGAGGCCAGCTGGTACAGCCAGGTTAGACCAGGACAGTCTAAAATTGAGGCAAATCAGCTGCAGGGCAAAGGAACCGCCTGCAGAAGGGCCAGACTCATTCCTGGAGGATCTGTACCCATGTCCCATCACCTTCCCTGTGCTCTTCCCCTGTCCCCAGGCGATGGATTCTCCATATGCCAACGGAGCCTACAGTCCCCCGTACCCACACTACGCCAGCCTGCCCCAGCCTCGGGGCTTCTACTGCTCGGGTCCCCCGCGCAGCCCGTACCCCCCGGAGCCCTCGGGCCTCTACCGGCCCCCGTCGCCCGCCCCCGCCTGGAGCTACGTCCCCCCGGAGTGTCCCCCCGAGGGCTCGGCCCTCCGCAGGCAGCAGGTGCCCGGCTACTCCCCGCCACAGGTGAGGGCAGGGCGTGTGGTTCATGGCATGGGTGGTGGGGATGTGCTAGGGAAAGTGGCTCTGGTGGCTCTGAGTGCTTGGTGCTGCCTGGTTTTGCTCTGAGCAAAAGTGGTGGGCACCTTGTTCTCTGGAGAGCCTGAGGTTTTGGGTCAGGAAAGTGGGAAAGGGGCGACCAACCTGAGCTGCTGCTGTTCCATCCAGCTGCCAGGGCTGGGTGAGGGTGCAGTGACCCCCCTGTAATGCCTGTCCCAGCTCCCAGGGCTGTGTAAGGGTTCAGTGACCTCCCTATGATGCCTGTGCCAGGGCTGGGTGAGGGTGCAGGGCTGTGTGAGGGTGCAGAGCTGGCAGTGCCCCCCCTATAATGCCTGTCCCAGGGCTGTGTGAGGGTGCAGGGCTGTGTGAGGGGTCTGTGCCCCCCCTGTAACGCCTGTCCCAGGGCTGTGTGAGGGGTCTGTGCCCCCCCTGTCACTCCTGTTCCCGTCCCTGCAGACCCCAGCAATGCCGATGCCGCAGTATCAGTACGGAGACAGCAGCGCAGGGGTGACAGGGCAGGGCCCGGTGCCACAGCCCCGAGCCCTGGAGGACACCTGGAGCCCCCACTCTGGATTTGGGGTGCAGCCCCGCTACGCCTGGCCCGCCTCAGGGCACGGCAGCCTCTACATGTCGGATTCACAGCCAGCCTGGAGCAGCAGTGGGGCTCCTTCCCACCCTCCCTCCTGGGACTCACAGGCACAGGTGAGCTCCTGTTTGCACTCAGAGCACTCAAACCCATGGCTGGGATTCTTGTGAAGGATTAAATGCCCTGGGTGGGTCTTGAAATGAGTCTGACAGGATTTAAAGTGACTCCACTTTTTTGGTGCCCGGTAGCAGCCCTGATGTGACCGTGCTCACAGGGGTCTCAGGTTGAGGGAAGAGATTCTTTGTTTCAGAAGGCTTGATTTATTATTTTATTATATATATTACATTAAAACTATACTAAAAGAATCGAAGAAGGGATTTCCTTAGAAGGCTAGCTAAGAATAGAAAAAGAAAGAATGAAAACAAAGGTTTGTGGCTTGGACTTTCTGTCCGAGCTAGCTGACTGTGATTGGCCATTAATTAGAAACAACTAACATGGGCTAATCAAAGATCCACCTGTTGCATTCCACAGCAGCAGATAATCAATGCTTACATTCTGTTCCTGAGGCGTCTCAGCTTCTCAGGAGCAAAAATCCTAAAGAAAGGATTTTTCAAGAAAGATGTCTGTGACAGCTTGATGGGGGTTCAGGGGTTCAGACTCCTCCTCTGCACAGGTGCTCCTTGCTGGGCTGTTGTTTTCCACCATGGGAGCAGAGCACAGCTCCCTGTCCCAAGCATCCCCAGCCCTGTTGGGTGCAGGATGAGAGCAGGAAGCTGCAGATTAAAAGGAAATGCACTTAGAGATGTTTTCTCCCTCTGACTGCAGGACTCTGTCTACAACAGAGCTGAGCAAAGCCCCACCCAACACAATTACTATCCTGATGGCAACCAGCGGCACTCAGGGCCAGGAAACGAGCACAGGGTGGCCAAGGCTGCCCCATCCCAGCCCAGGGTGCAGTACAGTGCCCAGCCCCAGCTCTACGACCTCACCTCACGGAAACCCACAGCCAGGAGCCACGAGCTGGGCTTCAGACCCGCTGAGCAGCCTGCCACACATCCTGCAGCCCTGCAGCCGGAGATCCAAAGGATCCTGCACGTCATGGGCGAGGCTGAGCAGCTGGAAGAGGAGGTGGATGAGTTTGTAGGGAAAAAGACAGATAAATCCTACAGGCTGCTGGAGGAGATGCTGACCAAGCTGCTGCTGGAGCTGGATTCCATTGAGACTGGGGGCCAGGACAGTGTCCGGCAGGCCAGGAAAGAGTCCGTCCACAGAATTCAGGCCATACTGGAAAAACTGGAAAGAAAGGGGTTGTGAAAGCACATGAGCCACAACACACAGCCTGTTGTTGAGGTCCCAAAGAGTTCTCTTAAATCTCAGCTCGTTCTGCTACGCACTATTGACAATGGAATAGCAATAAGCCCTGAGTTAACAAATCGAATCCAACCCACCAAAAAAGCCAGCCCAGAAGCTCAGCACTGACAAACAGCTCAGCAAAGGACAAATGCAGGGAGGTTTGAAGCAGCAGAAGTGTTGGTTGAAGATGTTGAAGAGAAGTGGGCCGAGGATGGAGCCCTGTGGGGTTGTGCCCAATCTCTGGGTGCCTCCCACAGCCACAGCCAGGCTTCAGACACTCCTCAGATGTGCTGCAAGGTGCAGCCACCAACCAAGACTCTGGGCTTGTCCTCACTGCCTGTAATTTCAGCTTCAGCTCCCTTGCCGTGAGCCCCGTGTGTCCTCAGAGGGGTTGTTTGGGTTTAGTGCCCTCAAGGAGCAGCACTGAGGTGCTGGAGGGAGGGACTGTGCTGGCACATGTCACCTCAAGTGGTGCAGAGCCAGTGTGGGGTGTCCCTGTGGGCACAGGAACAGACCTGAAATCCCCGTTCTGCCACTGAGAGGAGTGCAAGTCAAGGCAAGAGCAGGGGCAGGATGCTTGGGACTGATTTCCAGGTCACTTGGGTCAGAATCCCCTGTTTTATGTCCCTCTCCATCCTGTGAGTTCTGTGTCCCACTGTGCAGCACCACGGGGAGGGAACAGCTCGGCCTGTTCCAGCCTCCTGCACAGCAACTCACTGCTATGTGTGGCACCTAATAAACCCTGACCAGTTTTAAATGTTATTTTGTAATTGAGCTGTCTCAAAGTCTCTTTTTCTTTGAAGAGAAGTGGTGAGGAATGTTTTGTACCTCAGACTAAAGCTCCAGCCCAGCTGTACCAATGAACAGAACATCTGAGAAGGCTCTTTTGGGGTGCCCCATTGCCTGCCAGGCAGTGCAGATGCTCCAGGAGCCTCCAGCTGTGGCTCTAGGGCTGGTGTGGAAGAGGGTTTGGAAGGGATTTAGGATGCCTGAGGAGTTCCCTGGTCATGCCCTGTGTGCTCCCAGCCAGCCAGATGAGGTCCTGGAGGCAGATCCCACATTCCCAGACAGGGCTGTGGCCACAGCATGACCTTTGGAGCTCGTTGAGATGTGTCCATGAGCACACGTGGTCAGTTTGCGCAGCCAGCCACGTCCAGGCTGAGCTGGGAGTGAGCTGGGACAGGGAAGGGCTCTGCTGCTCCGCTGCTGCTTCATTTCATGTTAGACAGGGAGCAATTCTGAGCTGGGAGTGAGCTGCATGTCCTGGGACAGGGAGAGGCTCTGCTGCTGCTTCATTCCATGTCAGGCAGGGAGCAGTTCTGAGCTGTTCTGTGCTTCCAGCCTGGCATGTGCCTCCTGGGGGCTGCTGGCTGTGCTGGGAGATCAATAATTCACATATCAGAGAGTGCTGCCCTGTCACTGTGCTGGTGAAGTGAGTGCCACCCCTTCCCAATCAGCTGAACCCATCCAGGTAGGATATTCCTGAGCAATATTTCTTGTCCCTGCCTCCTTGGCGGAGGGTTATGTAAATCCCTGGAGAAAAGCCCAAGATGAAGGAGTGGGCTGAAATTGGAGGTTATCATTGCAGGGTGTGGGGATCCCACAGCTCCGTGGGGCACCGTGGCTGCCTGGGACACTCCACATCCCTGGGTGGGTTTTGTGTGTTTCCCCCGAAGCTGAGCTGGATCAGGGGTCAGGCACACGTCCCACACCTCATCCTGCAGGAAGCTCTGCTGTAATAACCCATCCCTACCTGCTGCCTCTGCCTCTTCCAGGCAGGACCAGAGTGTGTCACAGCTCAGGGTGACCGAGTGGGGACAGTGTGACACAGACAGGAGCTGTGTCAGCACCCACTGCTGCAGGGCCTCCAGCTGCAGAATGGGCACCTGAGCACTCCTGACCCTCCTGTGTTCCTCACCAGTCCCTGCTGTGCCGCTGGGATAGCAGTTCCTGGCAACTGGTTCATCTTGCAGCATCCACCCACACCACAAGCCCCAAATTAGAAAGTCTGTCTCTGTTTATCGCTGGGCTCATCTCTACAGAAACCAAACTCTTACTCTGGGGTTGCCCCTTGCTTCTCCAGCACTGCTGGAGTTTCCCAATCACCACGGAGGCTGAAGTGTCACAGAGGGACTGAAAAACAAACATGAAAGCAGCGCCGTGTGGTTTGTGCTGCAATCAGCCCATGCTGGGGTGTTTGTTCGTGCTGCAGCTGGCACAGGGCTGGTGTTTCCCTGCTCCGCGGTGCCCCTCATCCAGCTGGGGCCAGCATCACCCCAATGTGGGCAGGGGGCACAGGGAGGGACTGGGGCAGGGAACAGGGACAGGGACCAAGGGAAGGGAACACGGGCAGGGAACAGGGACCAAAGGAAAGGAACACGGGCAGGGGGCACAGGGAGGGACCAGGGGCAGGGGTCCAGGGGTAGGGACCACAGGAAAGGAATAGGGGCAGGGAGCAGGGACAGGGGTCACAGGGAGGGGACAGGGAACAGGGACCAAAGGAAGGGAACATGGGCACGGTTCACAGGGAGGGACCAGGGATAGGGACCAAGGGTAGGGACCAAGGGACAGGGAACAGGGATAAGAATACGGGCAGGGACCGAGGGAAGGGAACACGGGCAGAGGTCACAGGGAGGGAACAGGGACAAGGACCAAGGGACAGAGAACAGGGGCAGGGAACAGGGACAAGGAATACGGGCAGGGGTAACAGGGAGGGACCACGGGCAGGGAGCAGGGGCAGGGACCAAGGGAAGGGAACACAGGCAGGGTTCACAGGGAGGGACCAGGGTCAAGGAACAGGGACAGAGGCCAAGGGTAGGGACCAGGGGCAGTGGTTGCGGGCAGGGATCAGGAGCAGGGGCGCTCCAGCGGGCACTGCGGGCAGGCACTGCGGGCACGGATTGCGGGCAATCCCCGCTCCTCCCCGGCCGTGACGGCGGGGGCGGGCCGCGGGCAGCGCCGCCCCGGGCTGGGCGGGCACCGCGGCCGGAGCGGAGCCTGCGCTGCCGCCCGGGCCGGGCCGGGCCGCTGGGGCCGCGGGGGCACCGGGGCCGCTCGGGGCCGGTCGGAGCCGCTCGGGGCCGGTTCCCGCGGAGCCCCCGGTGGTGGCGGCGGGAGCGAGCGGCGCTCCCGGCTCGGCCGCAGCAGCCCCATGGCGGCGCAGGAGCCGCCGCGGCCGCCCCCGGGCAGCGCCGAGCCGCTGGAGCCGGAGCCCGGCGGGCGCTACGAGGCCGTGGTGCCGCACTGGTTCTACTGCAAGGTCACGGACACGCGGGAGCGCTGGGTGCCGTTCAGCGCGCAGGACTCGGAGCGCCTGGAGGCGGCGCACGGCGCAGGTACGGCCGGGGCGGCGGGCGGGGGTCCCGCGGTGCCCCCGGGCACGGCTCCCGCCGCCCTCCGCTTCGCCATCCCCCTCTTGGAAAACCCTAAAGAATGGGCCTGCTGAGCTTGTGTTTGCGATTCTTCCCGTGGCTTCCACCTGCGATGCGAAATTCCCTCGAGGGATTCTAAATTCTGGCTTTTTTGGCCGTGTGCCTGCTCCCAATAAGCGAGAGGATGCATCAAATGGTCTGACCCCATTCAAGTGATGCCGCTCTGAATTATATATAATCACGCTGCTAAGCATCCTCTGGCGAGGCCGGGAGAACGCTGCCAGGATGGCAGGAATTCCTCTGGGGATTCCTCTGTGCCTGCTGTGGCAGCGAGGATTGGAGGTGTCAGCTCCAAGCCCTTGTGTGCCAGATGTCACCATCTGTGCCACCTGCTGCTGCTGCCGCGGGCACAGCTCCGATTGCCCAAGGATTGGCTCCTGTCCTCCCTCGCCCAGGAAGTTTCGGATTAGAGGCTGTGCTGCTCATCCCCAGTGCTGCTGCCTGGCACAGGGTCCATAGGCAGCCCCAAAAAGCAGCAAAATTCACAATTTGAGGTCTGTAGAGAGTTCTCTGTTTTGGAGAGAGACAGGAGACCCTGGTCACCCTCACTGTTACACAATGCCCTTCCCAGGGCCTACCAGTTTCACTTTTACCCTCCAGGCCAGGCAGGGAGAGGCCACGTAAGCCTGTGCCCGAACTGGAGAGAAGGACAGGGTACAAACTGGAGAGAAGGGCAGTGGAATGTTTTCCTCTTACCTCCTGGAGCATTGTCCTGGATGTTGTTTGCTCTGTTGGTGCTAAAACCCTGCCTGCTCCCTGGGATTCCAGTGCTAATCCAGCCTCAGAAATGATGGGAATTGGCTCTGCTTGGCATCCTTGGAGCAGGAAAACCCTCCTGGAGTGGCTGCACCCCCTTGTGCCATCATCCCCCTGGTGTCACCAAGGGCATGCTTGTATTTCCAACCATATTTAGCCTCATTAAAAGAGGGGAGGAACCATCTTCTCCATAAAATCCCACCAGATTTCCCTCTGGGGGAAATCTGAACTGGGGCATCTCACCCTGAAAATGAGTTTGGTGGTGGTGCTGTGGTGGCTCTGAGCTGCCCGAGGGGGTGAGTTTGCCATTCCTGGCCGTGTGAGGGTTCACTGCAGGTCCTGTTCTGCAGGGAAGGAGCAGGCTGGCGTGGTGGTGCCCACCTCGGGGGGCAGGTACGACGTGCACCTGCGGGAGCGGCGGCGCGTGGCCGTGTACTGGGAGGAGGAGGCGGCCGAGGTGCGGCGCTGCACCTGGTTCTACAAAGGGGACAAGGACAACAAGTTCATTCCCTACTCTGAGGCCTTCAGTGAGGAGCTGGAGGTAAGCACACCCTTCCTCTGCTGGTTTCCATCCCAGTTTCTCCTGGTCACACAGTGCCCCTGGTGTCCCAAACCCCGTACGAGGCCGCTGGGGACATGAACTCCAAAGAGGCTTTGGCAGGAATTCCTGCAGCAGATTGATGTGACTGTGAGCTCTGCTGTGAACTCCCCTTCCCCTGCCCTCAGTGCATCCTTCCAGCACTCCTGGAAATGCCAGGTTGTCCTTTGGGATCATGCAAGTTCCAGCACACCTGAAAGTGCCAGGCTTTCCTTTGGCATGGTGCAAATTCCAGCACACCTGAAAGTGCCAGGCTTTCCTTTGGGATGGTGCAAATTCCAGCACACCTGAATGTGCCAAGCTTTCCTTTGGAATCATGCAAATTCCACCTGAAAGTGCCAGGCTGTCCTTTGGCATGGTGCAAATTCCAGCACACCTGAAAATGCCAAGCTTTCCTTTGGGATCATGCAAATTGCAGCACACCTGAAAGTGCCGGGCTTTCCTTTGGGATCGTGCAAATTCCAGCACACCTGGAAATGCCAGGCTTTCCTTTGGCATCATGCAAATTCCACCTGAAAGTGCCAGGCTTTCTTTGGCATGATGCAAATGCAGAAATATATAGGCAGATGTATAAAAATACCCATCTTGGCAATAATCTCCATTCTGATGTACCAAAACCAGCTCTGAGGGGATGGGGAAATCTGATGCTGCTGCTGTCAAAGTGAGGAGCTCTTAAACATTCTCAGCATGTGATCCTGGGATGACCCTGCTGCTCCTCCAGCTGATTTCTCTGCTTCTTTTGCACAATATTGATAAGAGGTTCTGAAAATTGGGTGGGGAGTGTCCCAGGAGGGTGAACAGTGATGGGCAAGCTTCCAGCTGACTCACAGTGGGTGTTCCCTTCTGCAGGAAGCTTACATGATTGCCGTCACCCTGGGTGAGTGGAAGAAGAAGCTGGAGTCCCCCAACAGAGAAGTCATCATCCTGCACAACCCAAAGGTGAGCAGGGCCTGGTGAGGACATGCCCTTGGGTCCCTTGGTGCTGTTCCCTTCAAATGGGTTGTCCCAAAGGCATTCCACTCACCTGTGCCAACAGCTGAGCCTGCCGCCAGCCCCACATTCCTTTCCAGCACCTCTGTGGGCAGAGCTGGCTCTGGTTCCACCCCGTGTCAGCCACAGCTGCTGTCGCTGTCCTGCTCTGGGTCACTGACACAGGCTCTTCTTGTTCCCAAGCTGATGGTTCACTACCACCCCGTGGCCAGCTCTGATGACTGGGTCTCCACCCCCACGGAGCAAGGCCGGCCCCGCACTGTGAAGAGAGGAGTGGAGAACATTGCTGTGGAGATCCCCAATGGTGAGCCCCTGCTCCCATCCCAAACCCTGGGTGAGGGTGTCCACAGGGGTCTCAGAGTGAGGGAAGAGAGAGGATCTGACTCCATGATTCAGAAGAGTGGATTTATTATTTTATTATATATATTATATATTTTTTATTTATATTATTATATATTTATAAACATATTTATAAATATATATAACGTATCATATATAATAGATCATATACCACATATATCATAATCATATATATAGTATATTATATAATATATAGTATATAATATATAGTATACAATATATATTATATATTATATATTATATATTATATATTATATATTATATATTACATATTATATATTACACATTATATATTATATTTATATCTAATATATAATATCTAATATATATAATATATAATATATTATATATTATATATTATATATTATAGTTTATATTTTATGATATATATTATATTTAAACTATACTAAAAGAATAGAAGAAAGGATTTCATCAGAAGGCTGGCTAAGAATAGAAAAGGAATGAATGATAACAAAAGCTTCTGTCTCGGACAGAGAGTCCAAGCGAGCTGACTGTGATTGGCCATTAATTAGAAATAACTCTATGAGACCAATCACAGATGCACCTATTGCATTTCACCGCAGCAGATAATCAATGTTTACATTTTGTTCCTGAGGCCTCTCACCTTCTCAAGAAGAAAAAAATCTTAAAAAAAAATATTTTTCATAAAAGATGTCTGTGCCAACCCTGGGTGGTGTTTTCCACCCTGATCGCTCACAGAGGCTGGAGGGAGCTCCCGTGATCCTTTAAGTCAAGTGCACGTCAAAACATTTTGTGCCAAAAGGATCCAAATGGTTTCAGAAACCTCCCCAGCCCCTGCAGAGCTGCAGGTCCAGGGGAGGGTGCAGAGACAGAGCTGCTGGCAGCTCTGCAGTGCCTGAAATGACCCCTGAGGTCTCAGTTTGTACAGGAGGGGAGTTCCTTCCCCTGCTAGGGACACAGTGCTTTGTCACTCACCTTCGTGCTGGTGACTCTCTGGGGCACGTGCTGTCCCCATCTCTGTCCCCTCCCAGCTGCCCTGAGCTGCCAGTGGTGCTCAGCCCTTGTCCCCATGAGGACACCAGGCAGTTGCTCCATTTTCCATGGGTGCCTGCCCTCATATGCAAACGAAGGTGTGTGGGAAGCAGGGAACAAGCCCTGACTCCACCCGGGCCCTACCTGGGCAATGCAGCTCCCGTGGGGCTCCTCAGGGTGGGCTGGGCATGGGGCAGCTGCACTGAGCCCTCCTGATCCTGCAATTCAGCACTGACACCTCCTGATCCTGCAATTCTGCACTGAGCCCTCCTGGTCCTGCAATTCTGCACTGAGCCCTCCTGGTCCTGCAATTCTGCACTGAGACCTCCTGGTCCTGCAATTCTGCACTGAACCTTCCTGATGCTGAAATTCAGCACTGACACCTCCTGATCCTGCAATTCTGCACTGAGCCCTCCTGGTCCTGCAATTCTGCACTGAGCCCTCCTGGTCCTGCAATTCTGCACTGAGCCCTCCTGGTCCTGCAATTCTGCACTGAACCCTCCTGATGCTGAAATTCAGCACTGACACCTCCTGATGCTGAAATTCAGCACTGGGACCTCCTGATCTTCCAATTCAGCACTGACACCTCCTGATGCTGAAATTCAGCACTGACACCTCCTGATCCTGCAGTTCCCTGTGCTGGGCACTGGGGATGAGCCACCACCCCTTCCTCTGCTGTCCTGTTGGTCCAGATCCATCCCAGGGCAGCAGAGCTGAGCAGCCCCAGCAGCCTCGAGGTGTAAATGCAGGCACTGAGGAGGGTTTTCATGGGCCCAGGTGAGGGTGGGAGGCTCCAGCCCTGCTCAGGGCTGTCTCCAGCAGTTCTGCTCAGCTGCCATGCGCTGAGCTGCCCTGCCCTCCCCAGGAGAGCCTCTGCAGATCGATCACCTGGTGTTCGTGGTGCACGGCATCGGCCCCGCCTGCGACATCCGATTCCGCAGCATCGTGCAGTGCGGTAGGGCTGAGATGGGGGGGAAATGGGGGGAACATGGGGGGGAAACTGGGGGGGGAAACCTGGAAGGGGAATCTGGAAGGAGAACCTGGGAGAGGAACCTGGTGGGGGATCCTGGAAGGAGAACCTGGGGGGAAACTTGGGAGGGGAACTGGGAGAGGAACCTGCCGGGGAACCTGAGAGGGGAACCTGGGGGAAAACCTGGAGGAGAACCTGGGAGAGAAACCTGGGAGAGGAACCTGGGAGAGGAACCTGGTAGGGGAATGTGGGAGAGGAACCTGGGAGGGAAACCTGCAGGGAAAATGTGGCAGGAGAACCTGGGAGAAGAACCTGGGAGGGCAACTTGGGGGGGAGTCTGGGAGGAGAAACTGAGGGAGGAACCTGGGAGAGGAACCTGGGAGGGGAATCTGTCAAGGGAACGTGGGAGAGGAACATGGGAGAGGAATCTGGGAAGGGAACCTGGGAGGGCAAACTGAAAGGAGAATCTGGGAGCGGAACCTGGCAGGGGAACCTGGAAGGAAACCTGGGAGGGAAACCTGCAGGGAAAACGTGGCAGGAGAATCTGGGAGAGCAACCTGGAAAGAGAACCTGGGAGGGGAACCTGGGGGGCAAATCTGGGGAGAAAATCCGGGATGGCAACCTGGGATGAGAACCTGGGAGAGGAACCTGGCAGGGGAATGTGGGAGAGGAACCTGGGAGTGGAACCTGAGAGGAGAACCTGGGGGAAAACCTGGAGGAGAACTTGGGAGAGAAATATGGGAGGGGAACCTGGGAGAGAAATCTGGGAGGAGAACCTGGGAGGGAAACCTGGCAGGGGAACCTATAGGAGAACATGGCAGGAGAATCTGGAAGGGGAACCTCACCCTGGGGCTGGCACAGCTGCCTCAAACCAGCCTGACCCTGGCAGGCTGACTGTGGGCAGTGTGAGCAGAACGCTCCCTGGCCCCCAAATCCACCTCCTGAAAGGGTTTGGGCAGCTGCTGCTCCTCGGTTTTGCTTCAGAACAGAAGCAAATTTATTTTTCATAAGTTTCTGAAAGTTTCTTACCCTGCCCCTGTGAAGGAGGTGCAGATGGGGCAGCGAAATCCAGCAAGCACACGTGGCAGGACATGGAGCCTCCCCTGATCTGTAGTTAAAGATTCAGGGACTTAGGGGAGCAGCTGCAGCTTAAAGACCCCACTGGGATTTCCCCTTAATGATCTTTCGTGGCATTAAGCGTGGTTGGTGGCAGGGGCTGGCCCCAGAGCCTGGTGCATCTCGCTGAGAGCTGTTGTGTTTCACAGTGAATGATTTCAGGAACGTGTCCCTCAGCATGCTGCAGTCCCACTTCAGGAAGGCCCAGGAGCAGCAGCAGGTGGGCAGGGTGGAGTTCCTGCCTGTGAACTGGCACAGCTCCCTGCACTCCACTGGCGTGGATGTGTGAGTATCCAGCAGCCCCTGCCCCAAAAGGGGCACAGGCAGCCCCTGTGAAATCCACTTCTTCTGTTGGGAAATCTGTGAGTTTTTAGGGTAGGAGGGAGCAGGGACCCCCAAAGCCCTCCTCACTGCCATTCTGCAGCTCCCATCACATCCTCAGAACAGAAATTTTTGCCTTCCCTGGCTGCTCTCAGGAGGGACAGCAGATAAAATCAAATATGGCAACCAACAGGATGCTCTAGTTCCCTAATGATTTTCTTTCTCTTTTCTTGTTTTATTTTTGGTTTTGTTCCCATTCATCATTGCAAATAGTTTATTTGTGTTATTTCCTCAAAATAAGGATATTTTTTTCTTTTATTCATCTCCAGAGCTATCACACACTAAATCAATATTGAGTATTAAGGTTTTAGATGAGAAAATTCTCTTGCAGGCTTCAGTATGAGGTTTGCATAACTTACGGAATTCTTAATGTACTTGGAGATTGTTTTTAGCCTTCTTATTTAAGTTACGTAGTTACATCAAACAAAAATGAAGCTTACAGTGATCTCAAATTGAATATTTGAACCTTGCCATCGTGCCGCACCTTGCTGAAGCCTCTGAGAGCTGAGTGCCCCAGCAAGGGCAGAGAGCAGGGCAGGCTCTTTATTCTGGGAGTGTAATAGCACAGGCTGTGCTTTGCCTTCTGAGGGTCTGGATTACAGCACACCACGCTGGGAACTGTCAGAATCCTCCTCAGAACTCAAATTTTGCTGTAGAAACAGGGTGGGGTTCAGTGGTTTCCCCGTGTGCAGCCTCATGTTCTAATTGAAGGAAGGACTGTTTCTATTGCCAGTTTTACTTGGTTTACTATTAGATTGTTTTTTTGACTAAAGGCAACTCTTTTACTGGCACACCAACTAAACAGGTTGAAAAAGGCTTTTCTGGTTCCGAATTAGACAGACATATAGTATCTGATCCGGCAGCTTTGGCTAAGGTCACCCAAACATTCGTTTTCGGTTGATCTACAGGCAAATCTGCACGACAAAAAACAATTAAAATCAAGCAAAACAAGCATACCATTTGATTTTTCCCCGTCTCTTTCAAGAACTAAGTTTTGGCAGAATTCTTTCTACACAAAAACAATAACCTAAGTTTTCAGCCAAAAATTAGCTTCGTTAAACAAACATTCAGCATTCAGTTAGCATACTCATGAATAACATTGGCACAAAATCAGAGTTCATGGGTTCTAAAGATGCACAAAGAACGTCAGGCACAGGAGGCGTCAGGCGAGACGTGGGATCCTTCGGTTCGGTTCACGTCTGCGTACTTGCTTCCTCGGTTCTGAAGTGCGATATGCTTTGACGTTTTTGGCAGGAACCCACTTAATTCCAGCACCTGTGGAGACAAAAGCATACCCTTTCCCCAAATTATTAATCAAAATGGACCTTCACTTGAACTGTTTAGAAAATTAGAAACGCACAGAGCCTTATTCAGTCTCATCTGTGGGGTGATCTCCGTTCCCCCCCCCCCGCCCTCTCCCCGCAGCGACCTGGAGCGGATCACGCTGCCCAGCATCAACCGCCTGCGTCACTTCATCAACGACACCATCCTGGACGTGTTCTTCTACAACAGCTCCACCTATTGCCAGACCATCGTGGACACGGTGGCCTCGGAGATGAACCGCCTGCACCGGCTCTTCCTGCAGAGGAACCCGCGCTTCACGGGCGGCGTGTCCATCGCGGGGCACAGCCTGGGTGAGAGCCGTGCCAGGCGCAGGGCGGGCACGGCCGGGCTGCTCGGGGCTGGGAGGGACGCCAGACATGGGACCAGGGTGCTCCAAGCCCTGTCTCAGCTTCCAGAGGTGTGGCGGCCACAGATTCTCTGGGCAGCCTCTGCCGGTGCTTTACCGAGTAATAATTTCTTCACTGAGTAATAATTCCTTCACTGAGTAATAATTTCTTCCTGACATCTAATCCAGCCTGTCCTCTGCCACTTTAAAGCCATTGTACCTTGTCCTGTCCCTTGTCCTGTCCCTTTTCCTGTCACTGCCTGTGAAAAAGCCCAGAGTGCAGCTATTCCATCCCAAAAGAGGATTTTCCCTCTTTCCCTCCCTCCATCCCCAAAAAAGAGGTGGCTCAGGCTCTTCCCCTCTAGGTGCTGATGCTCTGCCCCTAGCTGGTTTCTAGGATCACTCATTTTGTTAGAAGGGACACCAGCCATGGAACCAGGCTGTTCCAAGCCCTATCTCAGCTTCCAGGGCTGTGGCAGCCACAGATTCTCTGGGCAGTCTGTGCTGGTGCTTTACTGAGTAATAATTCCTTCACTGCGTAATAATTTCTTCACTAAGAAATAATTCCTTCACCGAGTAATAATTTCTTCACTAAGTAATAATTCCTTCACTGCGTAATAATTTCTTCACTAAGTAATAATTTCTTCACTAAGAAATAATTCCTTCACTGAGTAATAATTTCTTCACTAAGTAATAATTCCTTCACTGAGTAATAATTTCTTCACTAAGAAATAATTCCTTCACTGCGTAATAATTTCTTCCTGGCATCTAATCCAGCCTGTCCTCTACCACTCTAAAGCCATTGTACCTTTTCCTGTCAGTGTCTGCCTGTAAAAAAGCCCAGAGTGCAGCTCTTCTATCCCCAAAAAGAGGATTTTCCCTCCCTCCATCCCCAAAAAAGAGGTGGATTGCGTTCTTCCCCTCCAGGTGCTCATGCTCTGCCCATGCCTGGTTTCTAGAGTCACTCATTTTGTTAGGAGGGACACCAGCCATGGAACCAGGCTGTTCCAAGCCCTATCTCAGCTTCCAGAGGTGTGGCAGCCACAGATTCTCTGGGCAGCCTGTGCCGATGCTTTACCGAGTAATAATTTCTTCACTAAGTAATAATTCCTTCACTGTGTAATAATTTCTTCACTAAGTAATAATTTCTTCCTGACATTTAATCCTCTGTCACTTTAAAGTCATTGTTCCTTGTCCTGTCAGTGTCTGCCTGTAAAAAAGCCCAGGGTGCAGCTCTTCCATCCCAAAAGAGGATTTTCCCTCTTTCCCTGGTGGCTCAGGCTCTTCCCCTGCAGGTGCTGATGCTCTGCCCCTGCCTCCTTTCCAGGGTCACTCATTTTGTTTGATCTCCTGACGAACCAGAAGGCTGATCCCGAGGAGAAGGAGCGCTGTGTGCAGGTAGGGGTGGCCACTGCCCCCTCGTGCAGCTGCATGGGGATGGGGCAGAGGAGCAAAGAGGTGAGCACAAAGTGTGATCCCTCCTGGATCTGTTCACAGGGGTCCGGGACAACCTCAAGCACGGGGGGTGTTGAGGAGGTAAAAGAAATCCTGAAGAAGCTGGAGCTGTCTGAGTACTGTGATGTTTTTGAGAAGGAGAAAATGGACAGGCAAGCACTGGTGAGAAGTTCCTCTGTTTTTCTGGCTCTTGTGGCTCTTCTTTGCTTTTCTTCCCCATCATCCCAGCCCTGCACATCTCCTGGTACTGAGTCACACATGAACCATTGTGATGGTGTTCACAGGGGTCTCAGGATGAGGGAAGAGATGAGGATCTGACTCCATGTTTCAGAAGGCTGATTTATTATTTTAATATATATATATTACACTAAAACTATACTAAAGGAATAGAAGAAAGGATTTCATCAGAAGGTTAGCCAAGAATAGAATAGGAAAGAATGGTAACAAAGGTTTGTGGCTCGGACTCTCTGTCTGAGCCAGCTCACTTTGATTGGCCATTAATTAGAAACAACAAACGTGGGCCAATCAAAGATCCACCTGTTGCATTCCACAGCAGCAGATAATCAATGCTTACATTTTGTTCTTGAGGCCTCTCAGCTTGTCAGGAGGAAAAATCCTAAAGAAAGGATTTTCCATAAAAGATGTCTGTGACAAACCATCTCTGAGGTTCACACAGTCCCACAGGACAGACACCTCACCATCCCTCTGCTCCTGGACTAACACCAGCCTTGCTTATTTTCCAGCTCTTGTGCACAGAGAACAACCTGAAAGAAATGGGAATTCCCTTAGGGCCCAGAATGAAAATACTCCATTACATCAGCTCCGAGACAGGGATGAAGGTTTGTTCTCCACATGGCTTGTGCTCATCCCATCCCACCCCAGTGCACCCCTCTGACACCAGGGTCCCTTTGTGCTGCTGCAGGGTCGGAGCTCTGAGCCAGGGTCCCCATCCCAGCTTGGGGACAGCTCTGAGGATGGCAGGAGCTGCCAGTACCGGGACGTTGGCTTGGGACAGGTACGACAGAGCTCTGGCTGCACCCAAAACCCTCATGGCACAGCACAGGGATTGTCTGATGAGCAAATCTGAACATCCCCCATTGCAGGTGTCAGCAAACTACCCCCAGCTGAACTACAAGCCCAGCATCTTCTTTGCCTTTGGCTCTCCCATCGGGATGTTCCTCACGGTGCGGGGAGTGAAGCGCATCGACCCCAACTACAGCCTGCCCACCTGCAAGGGCTTCTTCAACATCTTCCACCCCGTAGGTATAAGAGCCAGAGCTGTGTCCTGTGTGACACACAGGTGGAGCACGAGCCCTGGCCGCTGTCACTGTCCCCCTCTCGTGCGCAGTTTGACCCCGTGGCGTATCGGATCGAGCCCATGATCGTGCCAGAGATGGAGTTCGAGCCCATGCTGCTGCCCCACCACAAGGGCAGGAAGAGGATGCACCTGGGTATGGCACAGGCAGCCCCTTTCCCCCGGGCTGGGGTCGCTGCTGCACCCCCCAGCCCCACAGCCAGCCCCCTCCTGCCTTGCAGAGCTGAAGGAAGGGCTGACCCGCATGAGCGTGGACCTGAAGAACAACCTGCTGGGCTCCCTGAGGGTGGCCTGGCAGTCCTTCACCCGCTCCCCCGTGCTTGCCCTGGAGGCTGGCAGCTCTGAGGCTGAGGCAGAGGCAGAGGCTGGCACTGAGAAGCAGCCAGGTTGGTGCTGGGGGCGTGGGGGAGCCGGGGGTGCAGCCCTGGGAGCTGTGCCCACAGGTGGGCACAGGTGATGGGCAGTGTGGCTGTGGCGCTCCAGGCACCTGCATCTCCCTGAATGCTGTGGCCTTCCCCTTTTGGCACCTTATGAAGGGGTTTCTGAGGGGGTCTCAGCACACCACGCCGCATTTTAAGCCCACTCCCCTCCTCTGGCAGCACTTCAGCTGCCTCTGCCCTGAGTGAGGGAGGGCACGGCCCTGCTGTTGTATTGCCACGGCTGCTGGTGCCCTGGGGCTGAGCCAGGCTGCTCCTCCTCCCTGCAGACACGAAGGCAGAGGAGCCCCCAGCAGCAGTGAAGGAGGAGAGCCCTCCCATCAACGTGGGGAGGCTCAACGGGGGGAACCGCATCGACTACGTGCTGCAGGAGAAGCCCATAGAGAGCTTCAACGAGTATCTGTTTGCACTCCAGGGGCATCTCTGCTACTGGTGAGTGTCTGTGCAATGCTCAGGGCTTCAGATTTACCTGTGGTGAAGCAGGATGGCATCACTTTCAGAGGCAGTGTAGTGAGAAAAGCCTCAGGTGGGCGAGGGAACGAGATTTTGTCCTGTCTGTGGCACACAGAGGGTGGGCAGGGACAGAGGGAGGAGATTTGTGCTTCTCCTGGTGCTGCCCCAGCTATCACAGAGGGCAGGGAAGCATCCCCTCCTGATGGCCTTTCCTCCCCTGCAGGGAGTCAGAGGACACCGTGCTGCTGGTTCTGAAGGAGATCTACCAGACACAAGGCATCACACTGGACCAGCCTTTACCAGGGAGCCAGTGACCCTCCTGTGCTCTTCTGGCTGTAAGTCACCTCTGGATTTCCCTTCTGGATTTCCCAGGACACCTCAGAGGAGATCTGCTTGGTTTAGGGGAGAATTATCCATTATCTAAGGCAGGGAAAATGTGTCAGCTTTCTTCCTTAGCCTGTCAGCACCTTTGGCTTCTTCCCTCCATGATCAGACATGAGGGGAGGAGCAGGGAGGGTCCAGGGGCTGCATTCTGACTGCAGCTGTTGCTGTGTTCTCCTTTTGCTCTCTCAGGTTCAATCCCACAGAGCACTCACCAGGAAAGTCCAGATCTCATCTCTGCCTTCCTCTCTCCTCTGCTGCCGTGTCCTGCATGCTGCTTCCTGGAGATCAGGATGCATTTTCCTCCATTTTGGCTAGGGCTAGGGGGAATAACCATCAAGGAAAAACCACTTCAGCTCCAACACACACACACCACCTGTACAGTGACTCCCTGTGGCAACGTGTGCTTTCAGCCTGCACCCTGTGAGCCCCCACACCAGCAGACGAGCTGTCCGGGCTCAGAGCCCACACCTGGACACTCACAGCCTGGGACTTGAGGAGAAAAAGCCTTAAAAACACAGCGTGGGAAGAGCTGCAGCAGCCTTGGAGCAAGGGAGATTGCTGAGTGCTAACGCAAAAACACAAAACAGGCACAGGAGGTGAAGCCCAGGGCACAGAGAGCTGCTGAGCCATGGGGGCTGGCCAGCATCATCCCTGCACTGCTGCTGCACCTCTGGGCATCCCTGCTGCATCTCTGGGCACCCCTGCACTGCAGCCAGGCGGGGCTGCCCCTAAAGCACCCCGTGAGAGTGGCATGCTCGTGCTCCTCCCTGCTGTGGGGTGCTGCTGGGGGCAGCTCAGCACCCCAAACCCAGCCCACCCTGAACACCCAGGGCTCCCCAGTGCTGGTGGGGACAGCTCAGCACCCCAAACCCCCCATCCTGAACACCCAGACCCTCCCCAGAGCCCTGACCCAGCCAGTGCTGCTGGGGGCAGCTCAGCACCCCAACCCAGCCCACCCTGACCCAGCCAGTGCGCTGCTGTCCCTGCTCTGAGCAAAGTTCCCCCCCAGCTGGCAGTGCCAGCCCTCTGAGCCCTGCAGGGACACAGAGCAGTGTGAGCAGCAGCTGAGCACAGAGATCTGTGCCCTCTCCACGCTCCCATCCTGGTTTAGCTTTAAATGTCCGAAATGCAGCCATAAAAGGTGGAGCCCAGCTGCAGCAGGGTGTGGGCACTGCAGGAATGCCACCAGCTCTGTAGGCAGCTCAGTCTGCGCTGCCTTGAAGCTCTTTTTGTGAGAGGGCAGGGCTGGAGAACCTCTGTGATGCTTCCCTGGGGCTCCAGTGCTGTGTGAGGTGTTGCTGTGCAGCCTTTGGAGAGCCAAACCACTTTTCCCCTCTCTCCTGCTGACTTTTGCCCTGCATGGGGTAAGGAGCCTTTTTTTCCCCCCCACAGAGCCTGTTGGTTTGTTTTTCCTCCATTGTCTGTTATTTGCACTATTGGAAGGGTTTTGTTTGCAGCCTCCATCCCTCCTCCCCTCCCAAGGAACTGTACCTGCCTGCAGGAACAGCCAAGCTGCTTGGTCAGCACCTGACTGGCTGAAGTCTCGTGGGAGCAGGAAAAGGGACAGTCTTAACATGGGACACTAATGATCAGCTTTTTAAGTTATGCACTTTGTTAAAAAAAAAAACAAAAAAAAGGAAGTTAAATACATTTTAAATGTTATTTAATGTCTTTTCCAGTAAAAGCCAAAATAAATAAGTAGATGACTGTGGTGTGTGCATGTCTGGGGGGAGAGGGAAGGGCTGGAAAAGTCAGATGTGGAGTTTTGGGGGAAAGTGAAGCTATTTCTACTTTTTCTATTTCAGTAGAATTATTTCTGTGATTCAGAGTTACAGAGGGTGCAAACTGCAGCTGATGGGTTGGTGTTTCATTGCAGCCTTGCTCTGCTGCTGTTTGCATGAACACAGACCTGAAATCTGTCTTGGAAGGGAGCAGGGACAAACAGCTGCTCCCAGAGGAGCTTTGATCCCTGGATCTCAGCAGCACCCAGCCCTTCCTTGTGTGAGACACACCAGGGAAATGAGGGATGCTCCCAAACACCATTATTTCATTTTCTGCTGTCATTTCCTTAAAACTACTAAAGCTGCAAGGAAAGAGCACCCATAGAAACCCCTGCAGGAAAGATCACCCATCAGGAACCCCTGCAGACACCAGAGGGAATGGTTTATAAAGCAACAACCCAAACCTTGAAATGAAAGCTTTAGTACCGCGGGTCATTACAAAAATTAAACTCCTTTATTTGGGACATTAGAAAAGCTCAAGGTGGGCAGGTGCTGCGCTTCATTTCCCAGGAGAAGGACTGCAGAGAGGTGGCCAGTGGTGCTTCCTGGGCTGGACACAAGAGCTTCCACCAGGCTGGGCACACTGGGCTGTGCCATTTTCCCAGCTGTGTTCAGGACCTTCACACCCATCTGTCTCTGTGCAGGTTGGCACCCTCAGTGCCCCCCTCATTTCACAGTGGGCCTGAAGAGGGGGTGGCCTAAAAAATCCAATGAAATGCAGCAACACAAGGGCCAGGGCAGGGAACTCACCAGCTCAGCAGGGAACACCTGCCCAGGGCTTCATCCTCATTTCTGAGCAGCCTCCCCCCAGCCTCACCCTGCCCTGGCAGCCAGGGAGAGGCAGGACAGAGCCTGGCACTAAATGTTCATGTGGAAGCCGGCAGCTGGAGGCTTCTCCTCGTGCCCTGGCGGCGCTTTGGGCTTGGCCAGAGATGGTTTGTGGCACGTGGTGTCTGTCAGGGGAGGGTAGTACTGCCTGTAGCACAGGTATGCCAGCAGCAAACCCATCGCTGAGCCAGCCAACACATCTGTGGGTGAGACCAGAGCAAAGTTAACAGCCCTTCACCCTCCCAAGCCTTGTGAGCAATTCCTCACGATCAGTTCCTCAGCAGCAGCTTTGCTGCTAGATCCATAACCTGATTTAGCTGTAAATCCAAATCCATAACCTGATTTAGCTGCAAACCCAAGCTTGGTATGGATTTCAAAACCATTTCCCTGCAGGTGGCAGCAAAATTGCCACTGGAGGAGTGAAAAAACAAACCCCAAGTTGCTGTTGGGGGGGTCTGAACGTTTCTGTGGCACCAAAACCCCCCATGCCTGGTGCACCTGGAGCCCTGTTCAGGTGCACCAGAAACCCTCACCCACCTTCCCAGTGGTGCTTGTAGTCGCAGGTGCGGGACACGGCGATGAGGGTGGCGAGGAAGAGGGGCAGGAGGAAGGCACAGAAGCGCAGGGCCCGGCCCCCCCGGCCTGGGACGAAGCTGTGCAGCTTCCCTGCCAGGTAGAAGGCAGAGAAGGCAAGGCCAGCAAAGGCAACTGGAAGAGAACAGAACAATGCGGGTTCAGAATAGCTCCAGGTTTTGCTGTCAGACCCTGACCCTGCTGCAGGGAAAGGGTTGTGAGTGGTGTCTGTCTGTCCTGTGAGTGGTGTCTGTCTGTCCCTGTGAGCCAAGAGAAATACCAGCTAGGAGTGTGCTGGGGAAGATGGAACAGGAAAGCCTTATAAATATGATTGCCTGGCAAAAGATTTTGAGAATATGGAAACTATAAGTGAGATTGAAATGAAAGCAAGCTTTGAGATGCCTCAGTTACTGAACAACTGGAAAACAATGGTGTGGCCGGCTGAAGGTGATCCCCTTTGGATGGAACAACACCCTCTGCTTGCAGACAGCTCCAAGGGTCAGAGCAGACCCTACAGCTTGGCAGAAAGGCCCAAAGAGGAGTTTTTAGGGTTTAAAATGTAACACAGGATGGTAATGTAATGATTCTTATAGGCTGTATGGAAATGCTGTAGGATTTGTATCTTATACTGGATTGGTTAGTGAGAATTAGAATATTCAACACAGAAGATGATTTATTGTATTGGAATGGGAACTTCACTCTCTTACCCCTTTTCCTCTCTCATCCTCTCTCTCTTTCTCACCCTCTTTACCCCTCTCCTCTCTCAGGCCTGCTCTGGGCTGTGCCTGGCAGCTCCCAGCAGGGCCCTTTGCAATAAACGCCAAATTCCACCACCTGGCTGCAGAGATCTCTCATCTCCATCCGCCCCAACCATCCTACCCCCATTGCTCCTACAGCAGTGATGGATCCTAGAAGCTGCTCCCTGGCACACATCCCTCCTCCTGGGTTGCAGACAGCTTTGGACTGCATTTCTCACCCCATTGCTTTGCAGAGGGAAACCTGAATTCCTCTCAGAACTCAGCCAATGTGATTGTGTTCACAGGGGTCTGAGGATGAGGGAAGAGATGAGGATCTGACTCCATGCTTCAGAAGGCTTATTATTTTATGATATATATTACATTAAAACTATACTAAAAGAATAGAAGAAAGGATTTCATCAGAAGGCTGGCTAAGAATAGAATAGAATAGAATAGAATAGAATAGAATAGAATAGAATAGAATAGAATAGAATAGAATAGAATAGAATAATAACAAAGGCTGCTGTCTCTGCTTCTCTCTCCGAGCCAGCTGACTGTGATTGGCCATTAATTAGAAACAACCCCATGAGACCAATCACAGATGCACCTGTTGCATCCCACAGCAGCAGATAACCATTGTTTACATTTTGTTCCTGAGGCTTCTCAGGAGGAAAAACCCTAAGGAAAGGATTTTTCAGAGAATATCATAACTACAAGCCAAAGCTGTGGGGTGCAGGCCAACCAACCCAAGCTGCCCAGGGCTGTGGCAGGAAGGGACAGACCCTGTGTGGCACTCACAGGACGCGTGGCCGCTGGGGAAGCTCTTCCTGCCCTCGCTCACCCTGCGGGCGTCCCCCGTGCACTGCAGCTCCGCGTTGGCGCGGCCGTCGGGGAAGCAGCGGTGGAAGAAGTCGGGTCGTGGCCTGGGACAGGGAAGTGCAGCTCAGGGCCCTCCTGTGTGGGCACTCCCTGCAGCCAGGGAGCAGCCTGTGCCAACGCCATCCTCCCCAGCCTGTGCCCAAGTGAGCCCATCTGAGTGACGGCTCAGCTCCCCAGTGCTGCAGCAGTGTGCGTTGCTGCTGGCATAGTCCAGGGTAAGGAAGCAAAAAGGATTTTTGCATAAGATCCACAGATGTTTTATGTGTGGATATTATGCAAATAATACCCACGGTGAGATGTTCAGGTCCCAGCACCCCCACACACACACAAAGCACCCTGCAGCTTTCTCCCTACAGGGGCCTGGGGGCTGTCCCTGCTCTCACAAAGGTGAGGGCTGATCAGGGAATAGGGGACATAGGAACAGACATAGGAACAAGGGAAGGAGCCAATGGGGTCTAACAGCTTTTTGAGGGAAGCTTCTTGTGTCTCCCGAGACCAGGGAATGCCTCCCCCCCAGGGTCCCCACACAAAAACAACATTTCTAAATTGTTTTTACAGCTAGGAAAAAAACCACATTCTTTCCAGGCTGAGCATGTCCAAGTTCAGCTCCTGGCCCTGATGTGGCTGTCACAGAATCCCAGAATGATGAGCTTGGAAGAGACCTCTAAGATCATTGAGTCCAGCCTGTGCCCCAACACCTCACCCAGGCCATAGCACCCAGTGCCATGTCCAGGACTTGTTTAAACACATCCAGAGATGGTGATTCTACACCTCCATGGGAGGAACACTCCAGTACTTTATTATTCTTTTGGTGAAAAATTTCTTCCTAATATCCAACCTATCCCTTCCCTGATGTAGCTGGAGACTGTGACCTCTGGTTCTGTCAGTGCTGCCCGGTGGAAGAGACCAATAGGTTGGATATTAGGAAGAAATTTTTCACCAAAAGAATAATAAAGCACTGGAATGCTCTTCCCAGGGAGGTGGTGGAATCACCATCTCTGGATGTGTTTAAAAAAAGCCTGGACATGGCACTGGGTGCTATGGTCTGGGTGAGGTGTTGGGGCACAGGGTGGACTGGATGATCACAGAGGTCTCTTCCAACCTCATCATTCTGAGATTTTGGGATTCTGTGATTTTGGGATTCTGTGATTTTGGGATGCTGGGATTCCTTCCCTGCCATAGCTTGAGGCTGCATCCTCTGGTTCTGTCAGACCCCACTGTCTCCAAGCTCCCTTCAGGAAGTTGCAGAGAGCAATAAGGGCACCTCTGAGCCTCCTCTTCTCCAGGATAAACAACCCCAGCTCCTTCCAACGTTCCCACAGCAGAGCTGCCTCCCCCACAGCGCTGGGAAGCAGCCAGTCCTCACCTCCCCACCACGAGCTTCAGGGCGTTTGTGAAAACCCCGTTCAGGGCAAGAGCAAGGCTGGCAGCTGGGAGAGAGCACAAGGGTCACGTCAGCACCGTCCCCACCTGAGAGTGCAGCCTGTTCAGGCACGGGCAGGGCTCAGGCTGCCTTTCCCTGAACAAGGAGGAGCTCACCAAGGCAGGCTTCCCTCGTGTCCTCGTGGTCAGCGCCCATGCACAGCCTCGCCAGGAGGATGAGCAACAAGGGAGACAGAAATGCGATGAACTGCACGACACAGGGAGAATTTTAGGTCAGTGGAGCAGGTTTAAGTTCTCACTAGAACACAAGAGCACTTACTCAAGTCTCTGAGTGCATTCCCTTCCCCAAAGCCCAGCAGCAATCTGTCCTCAGCAATCAGAACACAACCCCTCCAGCTGGATTTGCAGCAGGCCCTGATGAGCCCAGCACGTCCTTTGGTTCTCAGACAGCTCTTCTGGCAGAGTGCTGCCCTGGCTGCTTGCTGGGGGTGTCCCCAGGCACAGCACCTCAGCTCTGCCCTCCCCGCAAACCCCAGCATTAGCGCTCAGTCAGCAGCACCCTCGCTCCGTCAGCAAAACCTCGGCAGCTGCTGATTCAGAGCAGGCAGTTCTCATCATCCCCAGCTCTGCCCCGGGGGATTGCACCCCGGGACATCCTCAGCACTGCCAGGCTCCCATGGAGTCTGCTCCCACCTGGCACATGTCCTGCTTTACACGTTTACACTGCCTGTTCCAAATGCTACCCCAAGGTTTGGTCCTTAATGTTCAGCAGCCACCTCTTGCAGGAAACCCCACCTGGATTTCCCAACAGCCATTCACCTCACACCAGTGACAAACCAATCCCTTCACCAATCCCTCTGACACACTGCTCTCTCCTGGAACTCCAACACAGACTTAGTCAAACTCTTCTAAACAAGCCTAGAGCCATTAGGAAAACATTTGACAATAAAATGATGATAAATCCCTGCTATAAATAGCTGCTTGCAAGGAAAACATGCCCTGATAGCAAGAGCTGTGCTATCTTCCACACACCCGCTAAGTGAGACGTGGAGTGGATTATGGACAGCAGTGCAAAGTCCTGATCAGTTTATGAACTTCAAATCCCAACAGCAACGGATGGTAAAGCCTCAAAATATGACAAAAATCACTGCGTGTTCAGCCTGGTTGGGGTTAATCTCACAGAATGGGTAGAAAGGGATCACTGGGGACCATCCTGCCAGGGTCCACATCACCCAGGGCTGTGCCCACATGGATTAGGAGTATCTCCAGCTAAGGAGACTCCCACTGTCTGGGCAGCCTGTGTCACTGCTCGGTCACCCACACAGCAAAGTTCCTCCTCCTGTGCAGGTGGAAATGCTCCAGCTTGAGCCTCTCGCCCCACTGAGCAGAGCCCGGCTCCCTCCATCCTCACAGCCCCTCCCCGCAGCCATTTATCCACATGGATCCGATATCCTGCACTTTCTGCAACGCGCACTAGGAGCTCCAGGTACGAGCTTGTATTGCAGTGCAAGCTTTTAGCCAGCAGCTTTGCTTTAAAAGGAGAGCTGGCGATTCGAGAATAAATCCAAGTAAATGCAGGAAACATCGGTACAGGCTGCCCGGAGAAGCTGTGGATGCCCCATCCCCGGAACTATTCACAGATTATGCAGGCTCGATCTGCTGGGAGGGGGAGGGAGGGACAACACGATCCTTTAAGCTCCCTTCCGACCCAAACCACGTCAAGAACCCGCTAAACTCACAAACATGAAGACCGTGGGGACGTGATCCGCTTCCACGTAGGGATGTTTGTAGAGCCACATCTCCTCGGGCTGCAGCACGCGCTGGAAGGGCGGCAGGAACTCCATGATCCTGCAAGGAGACGAGGAATGAGCGGCGGGGGAGGGCTGGGCAGGGCTGGGCAGGGCTGGGCGGGGGTCCCGCACCCACCCGAAGGTGGCGAGGAGCAGCACCCGCAGCCCGGCATCGAGAGCCAGCTCCGATCTCCGCATGGCCCCGGCCCGGCTCGGAGCGGAGCGCAGCGAGTCCCGTTATCCCTCCCCGCGTCCCGCCCCGCCCCGTAGACGGAACTGAGTCATCTCACCATTGGAACATTCAGAACGATTTATTGAAGTCAACCTCAAGCAAAAAAAAAAAAAAAAAAAAAAAAAAAAAAAAATTTTTTCAGATCAGTGGAATGTCATTAAAAATTTTTCCTCACGGAAAAGTAAAAGGAAAAAAAAAAAAAAAGAAAATAAAGCAAAAAAAAATCCAAACCAAAACTCACATCTTAATTCCAGAGTATTCGTAAAATAAAATAAAAAAAAAAAAAGGCAACATCTCAGTAAATAGAATGTACAAAAATTATATGTTCTACCATCACACACAGTCAGTAAGAAGCTAAAATATTACAGGCAAGTCTCGATACGCTCTACCTAGAGGACAGGAGCTATCTATGTACAGGGAACCAGCTTTACAGGCTTCACACTATGCAAGAGGACAGAGGCCAACACAAACCCCCCAAAATATTGGATATCTCAAAGTCTATGCGGCAACATCAAGTCATGATACAGTAATGCCCCGTGGAATCAGACACTCCTCGTAGTGCCAGGGCTGAATCCGCGTCCAAAAACTCTTCCAAACCAACTCCGGTGAATATCGACGCTTCGCTATTAAAGACTCGAGTGATTTCCTTAAAATAACATTTCACGGAATCTACAAAGTTTGTTACAGATAAACAAAGTCTACAGAAAGAACGACTCTACAAAGGTCCATCTTACAGAGCACGTGGGGATGGAGACGGATCCGCGGGGATCTGCGTTGTGCAACGTCACCGGTGAGGAGACAGGCGGGCTGGGGTCCTCAGAGCACCCCAAATGCAACCCCCAACCCCCGGCTCAGATGGGACAGGATCACCCTGGGGGCTTGGTGGAAAAGTGACACCAAAATGAGATACAGATCCACCTGGAACAGGGAGCGCAGGGGTTCGACTGGTCTGGTTACAACCCAAAAGCGAGAGAGAGCTGCAAGGTGGGACCCCAGGCAAGAACCCACTGAACTTACAAACAGTGGCATCTCCAGAGGCAGCTGAGATCTCCAGAGGCACCCCAGGCAGCTGAGATCTCCAGAGGGACCCCAGGCAGCTGGCATCTCAGAGGGACCCATGCAGCTGGCATCTCAGAGGGACCCGTGTAGATGGCATCTCAGAGGAACCCATGCAGATGGCAACTCAGAGGAACCCATGCAGATGGCATCTCAGAGGAACCCCAGGCAGCTGGCATCTCAGAGGGACCCGTGTAGATGGCATCTCAGAGGGACCCATGCAGCTGGCATCTCAGAGGAACCCCAGGCAGCTGGCATCTCAGAGGGACCCGTGTAGATGGCATCTCAGAGGGACCCGTGTAGATGGCATCTCAGAGGGACCCATGCAGATGGCATCTCAGTGGAACCCCATGCAGATGGCATCTCCAGATTCAGATCCAGATTCCCCTAGAGGGACCCCAGGCAGCTGGCACCTCCAGAGGGACCCCCATGCAGCTGGCACCTCCAAATCCCCCCAGAGGGAGCCCAGGCAGTTGCCTGTCCCTGGAGCTGGTGGTGGTGGCACAGCCCCGGGGCACAGGGAGTGGTAAATGGCTTTGGCAAATTCACACAAGTTTTCCCTTTTTTATTCACATTAAGCACAGGAATCCCCTACACAAAGCACAGTTCCAGCTCCCCAGGGGAACACAGACCTGAGCTGCTCACTGGGAAATACAGTATCACAGGGAACAACCTTTCTTTTCTTCCTGTTTTTGCCTTTTTCTCTTCCTCCTTTTTTCCCTCAGAACAACACTGGGAATACATCCAACGTGTAGGAGTGTATCTTAAGTGCAAATGTTTTTGCTACACAAAGAGAAATGGTGGGGAAAGCTGATGGGGATGGGAAGCAAAGGGACAGCACTGCTCCAAGGTCAACGTCTCCCACGCAACACCTGGTGAGCACAAACCTCCCAAACCCTCCTGTCTGCCATGGATCCACTGCACAGCAGGAGCAGGAAGGAATTTGGGGGGGAAGTCAAGGACATTTTTCAATGCAGAATACAAAAAAAATCATGTATAAATAAAAAAAAAGCTGTAAAAGGAACCGCAGAGCTTCAAGTACATTAAACCCTGAATTCAATGAGGCAGAGGTTTCCATGTTAAAGTGACTTCTCCGTACCAGCGTCGGACACCCCCATCCCACCCTCCCCCCTTCCCCTCCCACATAATTCTGTAAAGTTTCAATATATACAGATTTTATGCTCACTGATAATTATGTCTAGTAATTGTGTCTTTCCCGTTCTATCCTGAAATGAAGATAAAAGAAGGGTTTTTTTTAAGAAGAAAGGCCAAAAATCCACATTCCAGCCCTATTACTCCATTTGAACTGATTCTCCAAGACCATGTGGTGACCAGAGAAGGTGATTTGCTCATGAAATTTCCTTCCTGAGCTTCAACAGCCTATGGACAGGACAATCTATACAATAATCTGACAGCTACAACAGCTAATGCTTGCACAATGTGTTCAGGAATGGTGGAACCAGCCCCTGCACCACTGGAATCACAGAATTGTGGAATTCTTGCTTCTAAATTCATCTGGCCACAGGTGCAGCTGCAGAGGAGAAGCTCCAATAAACCACAAACCCTGTTCCCTGGGCAGGGCAGCTCAGGCAATGCCCAGGTGCCAGAGATGGAGGCAGGAGGTCACCAAGAGTGTGGGGTCACCTCAAAAATGTAACAAGAAAATAGGTGAAAAACGTGTCACTGTGTGCCCATGAAGGAAAAACAATGTGCTGGGACAGCACACTGCAATTCTCCACCAAAATTAGCAGTTCTGTGGATTTCCCCTAGGTCTCAGCACGAAATGACCCAACTATCCAAGATTCCTTATTTTGGAGCCCACACAAATGAATTCAGCAGCTGCCTCCCACTCTGCTGAAGCCAATCCATCAGAACAGCTGTGCAATCTTTTCCTTACAAAGGAGCTGCACTAAGCAACTGCATTCTGGTTGCTCAGCTTACAAAGACGTGGTTGAAATGTACATTTTAGCATCTGAGCCTGGCACTCAGAACAGTCACCAAGATCCTCTGAACTGGGTTGTTCTCAATGTTAAAGCTTTTTGAAAGACTCACCTTCTCTTCAGTTCAGAGTTTTGCTCACAAACTAAACAACCTCTCCTGTTTTCCCTCCTGAGTCCAAACCCAGCTGCTAGGAATCATTTTTTTGGTGGAAAAAAGAAGCATCTCTAAGAAGTCTGAACACAAAGTGAGCCAAGACATGGAGTGGCACAGGAGGAGCAGCAGGCTCCATCACAGCATTTGAGGAGTTTAAAGCCTTCTGTGCCCTGGCACAGCACTGTGGCAGTGCCAGGGTGCTGCCAGGGACAGTTTGTGCTCCTGTCCAATGCTCCCAAGGTGCCCTGGTGCTGCCACACCTGCTCAGCAGGTCACCATGGACACAATAAATGGAGCAGGCTGGGGCACTCACACAGCAGCACAGCACCAGCAACATATCTGATATATATATATATATTTTTATACATACATATATATATATATAAAATATATCAGCTGATAGCTGCAATATCAGAATGCTCTGACCTCAGAGAAAATCACTGAACATTATCAAGCCTAACAAAGAATATAAAGTGAACACCTCAGGCCTTACAGACATGGCAGCAAGAGCTGTGTTTGGAATTTCTGAGAAGGTTAAACATCCTCAATAAGAGCATAAAAAGAGACATTTCTCACACAAAACGTTAAGAAAAATAAAATCCTTTTTGTACCTTATTTTTTTTTTTTCTTTAAAAATACCAAAATCCAGCAGGGTTAGTGTTGGAGCCTGGCTGGAGCATGGCCCACAGCAGGAAGTGCTTTAGGGGTCCCAAAGCTGCTGGCCCAGGTGTGCCCCAGCACCTGTGGGGTCTGGCACCCCAAGGGAGGCGTGGGCAGCTGCTCAGGGACTGTAGTGTATCCATCACTGATTGCACACACAAAAAACTCCCCCTGCACACCAGTGTGAGGATGAGAAGCACACCAGGCAGAGGTCTAAATTCCACACAGATTCTTTTTCTTGATCTGAGAAGTCTCTGTGTTCCCACAGGTTTGTGGCAGCAGTTTTGCAGAGACAAGGTTCTTAATTCCAAGGCTCAGATGCCAGCATGGTTTGATTATTTTCAGTACCCACGAGCAGAGGCTGGCAGGGAGTAGCTGTTATCAGCACACACTGCACCAGGGCAGGGGAGGGACAGTGCTTGGTGAGATTGTGGGCTGAGGGGGGGAAGAGTCACCAAAACTAGCTCCAGCCTGGGGACACCAGTGCCCTGTGGCTCCTTGCACAAAAAATGGAGGAATATAGGTTTTCTAAAAAATTCTGGAGCAAGAGGCAACCTAAGCCACCTTGAAAGCCTCACTGAAGGAATCTGTCTCTCTGATTAACAGAGGAAATCCAAGACAGAACCATCTCCTGAGGCATCAGCTGGCTGCTGGGATATGGCCCCTTACCCAGACACAAAATACCCTGTTCATTGAGGAAGTGCTGAGATGTTCCTCAGCTCCATTAACAATGAAGATTAAAGTTAGAAGATCTCTCTCTCAACAAAACAATATTAACACTCCATCAAAACCAACATGCACATGGGTCAGGTCCCTCACGTAGCCAAGTCTCCCTGAAGCCAAGGGGAGCCTGAGAAGGCAGGACTGAAGAATCACTCAGGAACTGCCACCAAACCAGGGGAGGAAGCCACTGCCTTCAGCTCTGAGGCTGGGAGCCTCTCCTGCCTGGGAGGGGCTTCCAAAATATAGGTGGGATACAGGAATGACCACTGTGCAATTCAACTCTGAATTTTTGCATGTCTGCAAACACCCAAGACAGCTCTGGAGCAAGGCACCACCATTTCCTCCTCACTGCCAGACCTTGTGTTCCGAGCACTTCCCAGAAGTCACACACCTGATTTCTCACAGGAAAAGCTTCACAATAATATTCAGAAGTAAACATGAGAGACAACCTACCTTCTCCAATGCCTTTACCAATAAGTAGTGGAACAGAGGCATTGCAGAGCCACCTGGTCTGACACCCACACCTGTCTGTTTGGCATCTCAGTGTTACAGAGGGGACAGGCTTTGCTCTTTCCATAAACTAGACACAAAAGTTACGTTGGCTTCGCTGTTTTGTTTTTAAAGACACGATGACTGATCAAAGCCAGATCTTCAACACCCTTTCAAAATTAAATAAATAAATATGTGGCTATGCTTTGCTTTCTACACTCAAAAGAACATTATTTTAAACAGAATATTCTTTTCACTGTCAAAAGGTTTACGGTTTTCTTCAAAGGCCAAGACGCTCCTGGTTTCCAACAGTAAGAGCTGCTGTAGCACATTCAAGGGTAAAAGAAAGACCAAACAATAAAAACCCAACACCACTGCCTGGTCCTTCTCGCTCAGCTCAATGGTCCCACTGCAGCTCACACGTGACGGCTCCGAGGACAAAGCCGAGTGTGGCGCTGCAAACTCCGAGTTCATCGCCTGCTGCCCCTCTTCTCCCCTCCCGTGTTTGTTTTTAAACCAAATTCACTCCTTTGCCTCTTCCACAGCGTTCTGTGCTTCCAATTTGCACTTGATCTTGCTCCAGTACTCGGGGGCCACAGGAGATTTGGGATCGTGGGCGGAGCAGCAGAGGCGGCCGTCCAGCGCCGACGGCACCAGGGCTCCCTTCTCGTGATCCTTGCAGAAGGAGTGGGGGCAAAACTCACAGAAGGACACGGCAGGATTGCTACAGATGTCACACTGATGCCATGGACATTCCCACTTTCCTGAGGAGGGGAGGAGAGAGAGAAAGGAGCTGGAATTAGTGCACTTTGGAGACAGCGCTGGCCTTTAATCCTCACTCTATGCTCAGATAAATGCAAACAAAGTTCAGAAAAATCAGCCACTACTTCTGCTTCTCATGTACAAGAATCTGACTGAACACAGTTCTGTTCTGCATTTTTTAGGCAAAAAGATGATGTTCATGTTTCAATCAAAATAAGAGGAAGTTTGATTGATTCAAGGAGAGGAACAAGAGCAACATTAAAAAGTATGACAAAGCCTCTGCCCACCAGCTCCATTTAGGAACAGTCACCTGATGTACTGCTAAAAGTGAGTGGTATTGCAAAAGCAAATTTGGTGCACATGAATACTGCATTTAATGTAAGTGAACACTGTATTTTATGTACATGAATGCTGCATTTCATCTCCAACACTGCCTTGTAGCAGGAAGGAGAAGCTGAGCAGGAGGAGCCACTGTTCTTACCAAAAGGTGGTTGAGTCAGGTTAAGGCATAGGAGGTGGTATGCTTTGGGACAGTCCTTCTTATCACACATGACCAGCTCTCCCCCATCTCCACACTGGAAACAGTTATCTTCATGCATCTGCTTCTGCTCTGTTTTTATTTTCCGTTTCTTCTGCTTTAGTTTTGCGTTTTTCACCTTCTCTTCATTTGCCGATGCAAATGCTGTCTGAGAAGGAGAAAATAACAACACAGAGTCACTTATAAACCCCCAGCATTCAAGTAAATTTTGGGCTATTATTTGCATGAATTCTTCTTAAATGAGACCCACTTAAAATAGTTTTTAAGCTCTAAAAGCCAGAAGTGCTCATTCAGATGTTTCTGAATTAACTTCCTGCCAGATACAACAGCATGGCAGGGCAGACTATAGAATCTTTGGAGACTTCCAAGGGTAGAAAGTATTATGCTAAATAAATAAATATTTTGAAATAAATCCAACCCCTCTTTGCTCTAGAGAATCTCTGGGTTTGGGAGGAGAAGCTCCAGTTCCAGCCATGTACCTTGGGCCGCACTCCCAGGAAGCCGCTGCAGTTTTCTGCTCCACAGTGACACTCGGTCCTGCCGTTGCCCAGGCAATCCAGGTTGTAATTGAATGTTAATTCCATTCCTGAAATGAAAAGAAAAACAATTCACCCACATGGACACTCGGTCCTGCCATTGCCCAGGCAATCCAGGTTGTAACTGAATGTTAATTCCATTCCTGAAATGTAAAGAAAAACAATCCATCCACATGGACACTCAGTCCTGCCATTGCCCAGGCAATCCAGGTTGTAATTGAATGTTAATTCCATTCCTGAAATGTAAAGAAAAATAATTCACCCACATGGACACTGAGGGAAGACAGGCCTGTGACAATGACATTTCATTAGCATTTGTTACCATGAGACCCCTGCTAAAAGTGGAACCTTAAGTATCATCTCCACTCCAATGAATGAAAAGTTCCTAAACACTTCACTGGTATTAATCACTTCAAAGAAAAAGCCATGATACTAAGTGAGGAACTTGGCCACTGCAAGACAAAAGCAAACATGCCAAATAGAGCCATGCTTTTACCTGCAGGAATGTCACAAAGAGCAAACAGTCCAACTCTAATGTCACCATTCACTGTCCACTTCTGTGTTTCACAGTTTGGGTTACAACTATGGTTCATAAAACGAGAGTAGTTCCCCTTTGGGCCAGCATCTATTATTCGGTCCTTCAAGGAAAAAGACAAAAGATGTGTTTAGTGCTTACAAAGCAAAGAGTTTTCCTGCTGCTGAGTGACATTTGCTATCAAACAAGACACAATATTCACCTTGGTTACAGTCAGCATATAAAAATTGGTGACACTGTTCTCGTGAGCACGTTTGATCCGCAGCCGGCACTCCTCCTCGTCAATCAGCTCCCCAACATATTCATTCACAAATTCACCCTGCAAACATGAACAAAAGTAAGTCATCTCTGCATCCTAAGCACAATCATAAAGGGAAGCAGCACAGAAAAAAGCATTTCTTATAAAATAAGACTCTGATCATCACAGAAAGTGTTACACTTTACTGGTCTGGTAGGCACAGTGTGAATACATGCACCAGGTAACTGCTGTCCTAGAATTACACCCAGGCAGAATAAAAGGCAGCCCTGATCCTGCATTCAGTACACAAGGCAGCTGTCAGGTCTATAAAACCCTTTCAACCTTCTCATTTTCTTTCAAAGAGGACAATGTGACAATATTCACAGACTCCTCAGGAAACAGGAACTGTTACAGTAAGTATTTTCACTATATACTTCACTTTTATTAGGACTTTAGTAGTCAATAAGCTCAGAACATTTGCAGTAGCACAGTTTTCATGAAACACAGATTTTAAAAGTTCTGAATTTAATAAAACTAATGGCTAAACCCTGTGTTTAAAAGTATGGCCTGCTTTTTCCAGAAAATATGACTGGAAGGGATTTTTCCAGAAAATATGGCTGTGACAGTGCAGAGTGCAATGCTTTCAGCCAGACCCACCCTGATGGCTGTCACAGCCCTGCCCTGGCTCACTGCACTGTCACTGTCATATTTTCTGGAAAAATCTCTTTGCCCAGGACTTTGCTCCTGAGAAGCCTCAGAGAAAAATGAAAACAATATTATCTCATTTGTTTCCCTTGTGTTTTGCTGCTTTAGAATGTGTTTGGAGATTGTTTCATTGGTTTCATGTGAATTGTTTTTGACTTATTGGCCAATAATTGGGGCCAAGCTGTGTCAGACTCTGGGGAGAGAATCAGGAGTTGCAATTAATATCTTGCTTGCCTTCTGTCTGTATCCTTTCTGTATTCTTTAGTATAGTTTAATTTAGTATTTTTAAATATAATATAAATAATAAAATAAATTAGAACATGGAGTCAGATTCATCATTCCTCCCTTTGTTGCGGTTGTTGTGTTGTGAGGTCTCCAGGATGAGGTGAGAGATGAGAATTTGACTCCATGTTCTTAGAAGGTTGATAATAATAAATTATATTATACTATGCTACACAATACATTAAAACTATACTAAAGAAAGAAAAAGGAGATAACAGAAGGCTACAACAAGAATGAACAATAAAAACCCATGACAGACCAGAGTCCCAACACAGCTGGACCGGGATTGGTCATTAAGTCAACACAATTCACATGGAACCAATCAAAGATGCACCTGCTGCTGAGTAACCTCTAGACCACATTCCAAAGCAACACTTATTTTCTGAGACTTCTCAGCAGAAAAACCCTGGGCAAAGAAGATTTTTCAGCAAATACGACCCCGTACCTTTTTGATGCTCCTCTTGGTGCGCAGGCCCCAACCGCGGCGCTCGGTTTTGATGATCTCAGCGTCGGGGTAGAGCCTCTTGGTGAAGCACTGGTTCTGGCAGCGCTCCCCAGCTGGGCACACCTGAGGGTGGCACTCGTACTGCAGCATCCTGTTGAGGCACTCTGACTCCAGCCCACACGGGTTCTCATCTGAGGGCTTGCAGTTACAGCGCGGGATCTCCGACAGGTCTGCAACCTGGATCTGCACCTTGCCGATCACCTTGTTGGACTGGGGAGAAAAGGGCACAACAAGGCATGAAGGCAATGTAATGGAGACACAGAGTCAACAAACGATACCAAAAGGCAAAGAAAAATTATTTTATTCTGTAAAAAATTATTTTATTCTGTGTATTCAGTCGGCAACCTGGATCTGCGCCTTCGCGATCGCCTTGCTGGACTGGGGAGAAAAGGGCACAACAAGGCATGAAGGCAATGTAATGGGGACACAGAATCAACAAATGACATGAAAAGGCAAAGAAAAATTATTTTATTCTGTGTTTTATTCTGTAAAAAAATATTTTATTCTGTGTTTCCAATTGGCAACCTGGATCTACACCTTCCCGATCACCTTGTTGGACTGGGGAGAAAAGGGCACAACAAGGCATGAAGGCAATGCACTGGGAACACTGAGTCAACAACTGATATGAAAAGGCAAGTAAAAATTATTTCATTCTGTAAAAAATTATTTTATTCTGTGTTTTATTCTGTGTTTCCAGTCGGCCACCTGGATCTGCACCTTTGCGATCACCTTGTTGGACTGGGGAGCAAAGGGCAGAACAAGGCATGAAGGCAATGCATTGGGAACACAGAATCAACAACTGATACAAAAAGGCAAAGGAAAATTATTTTATTCTGTGTTTTATTCTATAAAAAAATATTTTATTCTGTGTTTAATTCTGTAAAAAATTATTTTATTCGGTGTTTCAAGTCAGCCACCTGGATCCGCACAAGGTGATTGGGAAAGCAAAGGGAACAACAAGGCATGAAGGCAATGCACTGGGAACACAGAATCACCAACTGACACCAAAAGGCAAAGAAAAATTATTTTATTCTGTGCTTTATTCTGTAAAAAATTATTTTATTCTGTGTTTTAGGGTACTGTAAAACACAACAAGAGATTAGTGAAAAGAACAGCAAAATTATTTACGTGAATTTCTTTAGGCTGAACACCTTGGTGTAGGTACATAACTTAGAATTACAGAACAGTGTGAGTTAGATCTGAGAGAATATCCATCCCAACCACTGCCATGAGCAGGGACACCTTCCACTAGACCAGGTTGCTCTGATCCCCACCCAAACCACCCTGAAACACTGCCACACCTTCTCTATGCATCCTTACTCATGCACAGGGCAACAACCTCACACACAGAATAAAAATAAAATAGAAAGAGGCCAACTCACTTTAATGTGTTTATAGGGTGGAGGCTTCCTTGAATTCCTTTCAATTTCCAATGCCTCTTTGCTTTCTCTTTGTGCTTTCAGTTCCTGGAAACGCTTTGCTGCTTCTTCAAGTGCTGTGCAAGGAATTCAGAATAGAAAGCAATCAGTCCCAGTTGCTGCTAATCAAATATGTACATCTATCTATTTTTTTAAGACTAGGAACAGAACTTTATTAACAGAAAGACAAGTTAAAATTAGTTATTGCAATTTATCATGAATTTATCAGCAGGTACCAACATACTGAACAATGATCCCATGCAGCAGAGCCCAAGATCCATCTCAACATTCCCCCATTTGTGGAAGCACTGAACTGGCCCACAACAACACACAATGAGTAGGCACTTAAACACATTTTTATCTGCAGTCAAGGGATCAACACAATGCTCGGATTTCACGTGAACACAGAACACTAGTCACATAATATTCCCATGCAGGTTAAGTGGTGATGGAGACACAAACACGTGGAATTTTTGTCATAAACCACTATAAACTTTGTTTGATTTTACCTTTCTTGAAGGTCTTGTTAATACTAGTTTGCCCCTCAGCAAAGCTTTTATCTCCTTCAACATAAGGGAAAACTCTGCCCTGGTGTACCCAATAGTAGTCATGTGAACCAAAGAAAAATACTGGGAAGTCCCCGATATCATGTTTGAGGCCCTGTATGTTGAGAGGCACAGACCTGGGATTGCAGATCTCTGCTGGCCACCACCTGCAGAGTAGGAGAGAAAAGAAGAATGTAAATTCTCTGAACCAGAGCTTCCCAGTTTCCCTATGGGATTGAGAAATAAAAACCAGTTTTCCTTTCCTGGGAGGCTCCATGCAAAACACAAGCAACGTTCTTACTCCAAATTCTGGGAAAGCCTTCTAAGAATATCCATGGCCTGAGAGTGGGTTTCAGGACCACCTGCAAACACCTGTATTGCTGCAGCTGACTAAAGCAAACGCCAGCAAGGACAGCTGGGCTCTGGCAGCCCCTGCTCTCCCACATCCTGCTCTGCAGAGCAAAGGTGGTGCAATCCAGAGTCCAGCACCTGGGAGAAGCAGGAGCATCACATTTCATCCATATCTGACCCCAAACAGAGGAATTACTGCATTTCTAACTCTTGCTCATGATGACCGAGCTGCTTTATCTTCCTGCAATTCCAGAGTGCATTAAAACATCCAAAAGTTGAACTTGCCTGTAATTCCCAAGCTTGACCCAAACGATCTGCTTGTACCGCAGCTTCTTGCCAGCTTTACAGTCATTGCAATTCCAGCAGCCCTCAGGCATTTCTATGCTCAGACACTCGGGGTGGAAGGAAGCTGGGCACGACTCACAGCACAACAGTTTGCCACCTTGAAACAAAGAAGCCCTGCTTGGTTTGTAGAAGTCAGGATTGCTCCCCCCTCCCCGTGCACAGTAACTGATATTTATTTTAGATCATCCGCTCCAGATTTCCCACAGAAAAATGGCAAAAGAAAGGGATCAAGTCAAGCTTAACAATGTTGGTTAAAAAGGACTGTGCAGGGTTTAATCTAAGCCGGGACTGCATCAGACAAAAAAGCAGCTGAGGATTCAAACAAGAGGTGAGCTGGCAGGAGGAGCACCACAGCCAAGGGAAGCACTGCAGCTGAGAACAGTGCTAGCAGCTTTTAGTGCTCTGGTGATGGCCAAAGCAACCACAAAACTCCACATTTTTCAAGAATCCTTTTCAATCAACATTGCTCTGACTGAATCCCCAGCAATCATCAGCGAGCACCAACCCCACAGCCTATAGGTTGATCAATACTTTTCTGCTGCAAGGACAGGAAAAGGAGTTGTAATAAATGCGTTTATTCCACAAAAAGTTCACCAGGATAAGCCCAGTACATAAAGCAGAATGAGACACACATGAGTTGTCCCCATCCCAAAAATTCCTGGTGCACAGAGGGAACCTCAGCGCTGGGGTTCACATGAATTTCTGAAGTTTACACTAATTTGGGCAAAAGTTATTTTGGTTGGCTCACATTTTGGACAATGTGTTACATGTGGAGAGCCACAGCACATCTCTAAGCCACCCTCAGCAAAGCAGCTCACGTAAGATGACATTACACATACTGTAATATTTTATACATGTAGGTGTATAAAATATATATACATGTTCTTATATGTATATATATTTAAACATTAACAAGATTTTGTCTCCCAGATGGAAAATCTGGGAGATATTTGAGAGTATTCAAACCAATTTTCAATCACAGTATCAAAAGAAGTGTGAATAGTCACTTTCAAACCTTTATCAGAAAATCTTGTTCACCTATAGACTTCCCAAAATATCATTGCATTAATTGATCATTGCATGTTACAATAAGCATTCCTTAAACAATTCAGTTGCATGACCAACACTGTATTTCCTCTGCTAAAACCAGTAAAATCCAGTCACACAGATCCTCCAGAGCTCCCAAACCCATAATGAAATTTTTGAAGTATTTTTTGCAAATGTAATTTCAGAGGAAATACAGACAAATCACTGAAACATTATCCAAGATGAGAAAATGCCAAGAGATGCAAAAAATCAAACAAAATCAAACACAAAACTGTCAATGCTAAGCAAGAAAAAACCCAACATTGCTCTCGGGATGCATTAGGCAGATATGGCTCAAGCTAAGCACAGGGCTCAAAATAATTCTTGTTTTCAGGAATTACAGGACTACTGCAAGCCATTGATCTCACAACGCTGACAGCGACCTAACTTGGGCTGGGAAATGGGGCACCGGCTCTGAACGCTCCGGGGAACCAAAGTTCTGTGGGGAATGAAACACCAGAGCTGAGCATTGCACACAGACAGCAGCAACTGCCCCTCAGGGGCCTGGGGAGCCTCAGTCCCCTTGGCACCAGGAACTGCCCCAGAGGGATTTGGAGAGCCTCAGTCCCCTTGGCACCAGGAACTGCCCCAAGAGGGGTCTGGAGAGCCTCAGTCCCCTTGGCAGCAGCAACTGCCCCCAGGGATGTGGGGAGCCTCAGTCCCCTTGGCACCAGGAACTGCCCCCAGGGATCTGGGGAGCCTCAATCCCCTCAGCAGCAGGAACTGCCCCAGAGGGGTCTGGAGAGCCTCAATTCCCTTGGCAGCAGCAACTGCCCCACAGGGATGTGGAGAATCTCAGTCCCCCTGGCAGCAGGAATTGCCCCCAGGGATGTGGAGAGCCTCAATCCCCTTGGCAGAGGGAACTGCCCCGGAGGGATGTGGAGAGCCTCAATCCCTTCAGCAGCAAGAACTGCCCCCAGGGATGTGGGGAGCCTCAGTCTCCTTCGCAGAAGGAACTGCCCCAGAGGGGTCTGGAGAGCCTCAATCCCCTTGGCAGCAGGAACTGCCCCCAGGGATCTGGAGAGACTCAGCCCACTTGGCACCAGGAACTGCCCCTCAGCAGCAAGAACTGCCCTGCAGGGATTTGCAGAGCCTCAGTCCCTCAGCAGCAGGAACTGCCCCCAGGGATGTGGAGAATCTCAGTCCCCTTGGCAGCAGGAACTGCCACCAGGGATGGGGAGAGCCTCAGTCGCCTGGGCAGCAGGAACTGCCCCAGAGGGATATGGAGAGGAACTGGCAGCAGGAACTGCCCCCAAGGATCTGGAGAGCCTCAATCCCCTCAGCACCAGGAACTGCTCCCAGGGGTCCGGAGAGCCTCAGTCCCCTGGGCAACAGGAACTGCCCTGAAGGGATCCAGAGAATCTCACCCCCTTGGCACCAGGAACTGCCCCTCAGTCCCCTCAGCAGCAAGAACTGCCACCAGGGATGGGGAGAGCCTCAGTCCCCTCGGCATCAGGAATTGTCCCAGGGATCCGGAGAGCCTCAGCCCACTTGGCACCAGGAACTGCCCTGCAGGGATGTGGAGAACCTCAGTCCCTCTGGCACCAGGAACTGCTCCAGGGATCCAGAGAGCCTCAGTCCCCCCAGCAGCAGGAACTGTCCCAGGGATCTGGAGAGCTTCAGCCCACTTGGCACCAGGAACTGCCCCTCAGCAGCAGGAACTGCCCCTCGGGATCTTGAGAGCCTCAGTCCCCTCAGGGGCAGGAACTGCCCTGAAGGGATCTGGAGAGCTTTACCCCCCTGGCACCAGGAACTGCTCCTCAGTCCCCTTGGCACCAGGAACTGCCCTGCAGGGATCTGGAGAGCCTCAGTCCCCTCAGCAGCAGGAACTGCCCCTCAGCCCCCTATGCACCAGAAACTGCCCCCAGGGATCTGGAGAGCTTCAGGACCAGGAACTGCCCTGCAGGGATCCAGAGAGCCTCAGTCCCCTTGGCAGCAGGAACTGCCCTGCAGGGACCCAGACAGCCTCAGTCCCCTCGGCACAGCAGCAGGAACTGCCCCTCAGCCCCCTCAGCAGCAGGAGGCGTCCCTGAGCTGCAGGGTCCCTGCAGGGTCCCATCCTGGCTGTGGCAAGGATCCATCCCCATGGGAGGGGACAGGATGGGGCACTCAGGCTCGGTGGTGAAGGTGGGACACGAGGCCCATGGGGCACACTCAGGTCAAACCTCCCTGCCCTCCTGCTCTCCGCGAGGACACAGCACCCACCCTTGTCCAGCCCCAAACACCCTCTCTCCTCTGAGGACCTGCAAAAGATCTGAAGCAGCACAGCCCCCTCTGCTTCCAATCCCTTAAAGAAGTGTTTGACATCATCCAGGTAAATACTGAACTGCAACAACACCAACATCCATCTGCCTCCTCTTCATATTGCTGTGCCAACAGCTCCCTGAACCTGGAACAGCCCAGGCCAGACAGAGAGTGACCAAATCTCTTCCAAGGAGAATTTAGTGACAGCAATTATTTTAAGCCCTTTTATAATTAAAAAATAAAAATTAAAAATTGCCAACAACATGAACACAGGCTCACAAAAACCATGAGTGAAGGTCACTGAAAGCAGTCAGTGTCAGGGGACAAGCAGACATTTCTCCGTTGATTTAGAGAGAAAAAATAGAAAAAAGCGAAAGTAAATTAAAGAGAAAGAAACTATTTTGGTTACCTTTCTCACATTTCTTTTTGGAAGCTGACGAAGGAGGAGGAATCATAGGTAATTTCATCAACTCAGCACGATTTGACTCATTCAGTAGGTAGTGGGACTTATAGGCATAGGAACTGAACAGGGGGTCTGAATGGTCCTGCACTACCAGCCCTATACGAAACAAACAGAAAGAGATGAGTTGCAATGAAACTACCCATGATTCCATGAAGGAAAAACCAAATACACCCAATGAACACCTCTAATGCAGTATGTGGGAATGAAAAAAAGGATAAAATGAAGAAAAAGGAAAGTCTGAGTCTGACAAAGTGTCTGCGCTAACAAAGAGGTTGTGCTGGAGAGAGTCAAACTTAACTGGAAAATCTTGCAATGAAGTGGAATTTCAATTGTTTTTTTACTCTTCTAGACAAGCATAAGAAAAGCAACAAAGTTTGAATCCATGGGATCCCCTCTCCTTCCCACAGGGAAAAAGGAAGTTCCTCAGCAGACCTGGGGTGATGGTCACTGCAGCTGGGCTGTGCTCTGAGTTGGGGCTACAGATGGAACAGAAGTTGGGAATGAGAACTCACTGTCCCACTCCCTACAAGCCAATCCCTGAGATCTTGCCTACAGAAGAGTTCTGCCTCTGTCATTGTGCTGGAAAGCAAGGAGGAGGTCAGTGTTCTGCAAGGCACCAAGGGGGAAGCACAGATGGAGGTTCTGCCCTAGGCTGTGGGGGTGAAGCTGCCCCACCCAGCCCTCCCAGGGCTGCTCAGAACAGTCCAGCACTCAGTTCCCTACACAACTCCACCCCAGGCCTTTGCAATTCTCAAGAAAAGCTTTTCCTTGTTATCTAAAGATCCAGGCAGCCCAGCTGAGAGCCCAGAGCTGCAGAGAGAAGCACTTGGCAGTAACTCGTGGCAAGAGCAGAGCTGAGCCCCAAAGAAACAGGAAAGATGAGCTACCAAGAGAGCCCCCAGCTCTTCCCCTGAGGGCTGGACAGAAACTCTTGGATGGTGCCCAAAGCACTGCTGTAAGAAGATTGGGGTCAGCCCACCTGGACATGCATCACTGGGAGGATTCCTAAAACAAGGGGCCCTACACATGAACTGCACCATGCTGACTGCTGTTATTGCAGGGTGCTGAATAAGAGGTCTTTAAATATCTTGTATTTCAAAGCAAGTTTGTCTGTCTCATAGATTGTCTCTCATCTACATTTCTCACTTCAGTAACTGCATCTAAACACAAAGTCTCTGCTTCTGATAGCAACTAACACTAATTAAATCAGCACTAATTAAATTCTCATAGAGATGTCCAAGGATTTCTGAAGTGTTCAGTTCCCTGTTTCTATCTGAGCAGGTGGCTCAGTGCTTTCACTCCTGATTCCAGCCAGGCCTGCTGGACACAAGCCCCACAAGAATGTTCTAGAGAAACAAGTACAGAGCTGCTCTAAGACACACAGGATTCAGGCAGTGGCAATGGTTTGGAACTGTTCAAGTTCTCCTAATTAAGATCTGGGGAATACACAGGACAGGGAATTCTATCCGTCAGGGCACAAGAGGTTATTCAGATTGCCAGGAGAAAATCCAGACTTGTGCAGTTGCATCTCTGATGGAGCCAGATTCAGGCATAAAGAGAATTACTAAACAAATGTAAAGTGGAAGGAAGGAAAAAAAAAAGGCATGAAAAATTCCATCTGCATTTCTTGTCATTCTGAGATGTGTAATTATTCCTCAAGCCAAACTAAACTTCCACCTGAATGAACATAAATGAAAACAAGTAACTTCAGAATCCAGCTCACTTTCATTTCCCTATTAGTGACTCTCAAAACTGCTGCAGAGACCAGATCCAATATAAACTGTAGAAAGTACACATTAATATTATTCCAAGAGAATAATGGTACTTTTGAATCTTGAGACCAAAGTAACTGCTGCACCAATGTTTTTAAAGCTGCTCTCTGGTAGAACTCTGGTGATTGAAGAACCATAAAAGTAACAAGTGGGAAAAAAAGTTAAAAAGAAAAAGAACTTTGACACATGGAAAAGCTCAGCATGAAACCTGCTCATACAGTACTGCTAAAGGTTTTCTTTCAAAGTTCTCAAATGTGAAGGCAGTTATAAATGGAGTTCTTCTAGTTCATGAGTAAATCCCAACTTTTAATACTAAAACTTAGTTGTAAGTTTGTAGCAGTGAAAGAATCTCCTTCTGCTTAATTTAGTGGTCAACAACACAGCATTCTCAGCATGAAAAGGCTGGAATGGGGGGATTGGGATCTGCTTTTCCCTCCTTTGCTGGCAGAACAAGTGGGCCTGAGTGCCTGGTGCTGCTTCTGGCTATCAAATGGACCAACCCAGTGAGCTGAATCTCATGAGAACTGCTGACCAAAATAAAATAAAATTAAATTACATTAAAAAATCCCAGGCAGCATTTAACCCCAGCAAGCCCTAAGGGAGGAGTTCCTCACGAAACACTACTTTTACAACTAAACTACACAAATGACAACTATAAACTATAATTGACAACTGTAAACTATAGAACTATAAACAGGGAAAAAACCAAGTGTCTCACCTCTTGCACAAACGAAACAAAAGCCTACATTTACAGCTGATGAGGAGTGAGTCCTTTTGGAATGGTTACTACAGATGAGGATGTGGGATGACACAAACAAGCTTCCTGCAGCGATGCAGCCGTCTCCAGAGTGATACGCCACGGGGCAGCGCAGACATCTCGCCATGCGACCTGCTCAGGAAACAGCAAACACACCCAGGGCTAGCACCAGCCAGCCAGCTGGAAAACACCAATGGGGACTGTGGGAATCTACAAAATTAAAGGGTTTTGGGTAAGCTGCAAGGTGCAGGCTTCAGAGACAGCACAACTGTGAGTAGAGCTGAGCAGCTGCCACGAGGTAGATCGGCAGAAAAAGCATTTGTCCCAACCAATGCTCAGGTCAGGACAGGGCACAGGCAAGGCTGGGTCTATTCCAATGGTGTAAAAAAAGGAAACAGCTTCATCTTTTTTCTAAAGAAAGTTTCAAAATATTACCCCTTAACTTTCGCTTTAAAATTGTTAAGAAAAGCTTCCATCATTCTAGAGGTTATTTGTTTGCTTTAAACATTTTAGTTCATTTCTAAAAGGATCTTCTTCCTTGAAAAACAATTGTTCACTACAAATTGCCTTCAATTCTTTGGCCTAGTACTGTGAACCCCTGGCTTCCATTAAACCTGTCCCTGTTCTTCTAAGCCTTCTGATGTTCACATTCTTGTAACAAACTTTCTTATGCACTTTTTACTTAATGACCAATCACCATCAGCTGTGTCTGACTGAGGGGTCAGCCACCAGTTTTTCATTATCATTCTTGTTAAGCCTTGTGTCTGTATCCTTTCTCTCTTTCTTTAGTATAGTTTTAGTATAGTATTCTTCAATATCATATCAGTCATGTAATATCAGCCTTCTGAGAACATGGAGTCAGATTTTCATCTCTCACCTTGTCCTGGGGACCCTCACAAATATCAAGAGGTCCTTGCCCCTGGTAAAACACCTCACAAAAGGAATTCATTTCTTTGTTCTCTTCTTTTTCTAGTAAATTGCTCAGGCAGGACTTTTTGGCTTCTGTGCAATTGGGTATCCTTAAGTTTGAGGTGAAGTCCTCTAGGTCCTAATGAGGATTAGCCTTTTTCACCTAATTGAGGAGTGAAACTTCTGGGCTTCTTTCCTTTTTAAGGGGACAAAGGACAGTTTTGTCACTCTGTCAACAAGAAGCACACTCCTATAGGGGACTTTTTGGCTCCTGTCCAGCTGGGTATCCTTAAGTTTGAGGTGAAGTCCTCCAGGTCCTATGAGATGTCTTTCCACCTAATTGAGGAAAGGGTTTATTTCCTTTTTAAGGGGACAAAAAATAGTTTTGCCACTCCATCAACAGGGGGCACATTCCTATACAAGACTTTTTGGCTTCTGTGCAATTAGCTATCCTTAAATTTGAGGTGAAGTCCCCCACGTCTCTATGAGATGTCTTCACCTAACTGAGGAGACAAACTTCTGGGGGACAAAGAATAGTTTTGTCACTCTGTCAACAAGAAGCACACTCCTATAGGGGACTTTTTAGCTCTCTGTCTAGTTGGGCATCCTTAAGTTTGAGGTGAACCCCCCAGGTCCTATGAGATGTCTTTCCACCTAATTGAGGAAAGGGTTTATTTCCTTTTTAAGGGGACAAAAAATAGTTTTGTCACTCTGTCAACAGGGGGCACATTCCTATATAAGACTTTTTGGCTTCTGTGCAATTGGCTATACTTAAGTTTGAGGTGAAGTCCTCCAGGTCCTACCAGATATCTTTCTACCTAACTGAGGAGAGAAACTTCTGGGCTTATTTCCTTTTTGAGGGGACAAAGGATAGTTTTGTCACTCTGTCAACAAGAAGCACACTCCTATACAAGACTTTTTGGCTTCTTGTGCAATTAGGAATCCTTAAGTTTGAGGTGAAGTCCTCCAGGTCTCTATGAGATGTCTTCACCTAACTGAGGAGCGAACTTCTGGGCTTACTCCCTTTTTAAGTGGACAAAGAATAGTTTTATCACTCCTCCAAGGGGACAAAGGATAATTTTGTCACCAGGGGCCACACTCCTGTGGCTGGCCTCACCTTTGCTGGCTTTGTGCATGTCCTTGTCCATGGAGCAGGCGGTGCAGCAGTGCTGCGGGCAGCGGAAGCCGCGCGACTCGAACAGGGCCGTGGCAAACTTGCGCACGCAGGACTCGTGGTAGAACTTGCCACAGGTGCTGACAGAGCAGCGCTTCACGTCCTTGCCAGGCTGCTTGCAGGAAAAGCACGTGTGCTCTCCTTGGAAGAGAAGGAATAAGGAATGCCAGTTGTAAAAGCAAACTCTGATGTGGAAAACCAGGGCACCACAGGGAATATTTCCCTGTCTGCTCTGACCCCCAGTGGAGCACTGACTTTGACCCTCATTCATGAAGAAACTTTCCCAGACTTCAAGATAGACCAGAATCCACAAAAGTGTGAAATAGATTATAGAGAGTAGTGTAGGTGTATCACTTGGTGAGAAATTTAGGTTTTGGGATTTTTAGTATGTTGTGGATGGAAGCAAGATGGAGGGCATGGGGTGCCGTCCTGGGTTTCTTCTTCATGTTTCTTCTTCATGGGTTTGGGTGGCATTTAGTAATTGGGCAGAAAAGTCCACATTGGGATCAGTTATTGGGTTAAAAGGGAAAATAATCTAGGTGTCAGGTCTTAATTGGATGGCTTAGTCTTAAAACACCTTGTAACAAGAAATTGTTGGCCATTTTGTGCCTTCTAATGAAAAGCTGTCAAACTCACAGTAGTGAGGCTGTTTTACTGATAAGAAATAATAAACACCTGAGTCTGAACATGAATTACTGCCTCAAGTGCCTTCAATGCAGACTCAGAGAAACCCACAACTGAAACCCCCACACTCTGACATACTGATATTATCCAAACAAATTCTGAAGCCAACAGACTGTGAGCAATACAGGATCCTTCCCATCCAGCAGGCTGGGTTATTGTGATCCACAGTAACACTGGAGTAGCTGCTCACATAAAAATCTCTTATTCCAAGTAAAACCCTAAGCAGCTCATTATTTTTTTTCTTACAAGGTACTTGCTAAATGGAAAATGAGAATCTAGTCTCAGAGGTTAAAAAAGCAGCGGAATAACCCAAACTTAACTCAGAAACCCTCGGAAAGCACCACCTTGGTTCGCTCTGACCAGAATGGGAGGAAAGGGGGAAATCCCTCCCATTTTCCAGGCACAGGAACACACACTCACCATTCTTACACTCGGTGCAGATGAACTTTTCCTCAGGCATGGCCTTCAGGCCGAGACACTCCAGGTGGAACATGCTGCAGCACTCGCCCTCGCAGGCCAGCAGCGACTCGCCAGAGCTCTCACAGATCTGCAACAGGGAACAGGGCACCCTGACACACCAGGAGCCAGCAACACAACTGCCTGGAATTGCTTCAGAATTAGGGTAAGGCAGAACTGAACCTGGCAAGCCACAGGGTGAGGACAATCGCAGCACTCGCTGCACCTTGCTCTGGTGTAAGCCATGACAGAGACAGGAGAGGCACCACAGCACCCACCTGCCCTCCATGCCTCAGGGAACAAGCTGCTCTGGCTCTTCAGGTCCTTTACTACTGACCAGGGAACTGGGCAGAACATCCCAGGATTTATGTTTTTTTAAATACTGAAAAATTCTCGCTCTGTCCTATCCTGACCAACCATCTGGAATCTTCAAATGGAGCAGAAAATAGCATCTACTTTTTCTACTGATGCTGGCAGGTATGGATTAGACACCACCTTCCAGCTGCTGGCCTGCAGGGGGGCTGAGGAATCATTTAATATGAATCATTTCCAGAGCATAAAAACTCCTTAAAACCTGGATATTTTATCTGAGAAGTCAAATTAAAAGAACTAAAAGAAATAGGGGATACATATTTAGTATCCATCACTTCCCAATGTCACCAGTTACCTGACAAACAGTGTCTTTTTTACTTGTTCCAGTTCCTCTCCTGGATAAGCTGGAGTCCACTGACTGCACATCTGAGGCATCAGCATCAGCAGTGGCTGAGGGGCTGTCTGAACGCTTCCCAAAACTGCCCTACAAAGAGGAAAAACCCATGGCTCTCAAACCAGGCATGCCAAACCACAACCACACCGGGAAAAACACTTCTGTCACTGTTGAGCAAAAGAACATTTGGTAGGTCAAGAGACACAAAGGTCCTGGACTTCACTGGCATGACACAAGTGCTGCCTTCTTGATATATTTTACCTGTAAAAGCCAAACACCATAAGGAGATCTCTAGGAGTTACACCAGACACAGCAGCATCTCCCAATTCCCCAAGAATTTCAAACCTTCCACAGAGCAAATAATGATCTAAACCAATGCTTTGCCAGAAGAAGTAACAGGAAAATTTGTAAGTAAATATCGTATTTTTACAGCAAATCAGTGGAGGGGATTAGAACAGAATAGGTTTTATGTTTTCAGATAATAAAAGATTCAAATTTTGTAGAAAATAGCGTTCACATATTTAGCAATGATCAACTGAAAAGCCTCTTGTACACTGACAGCTTGTTCAGGTTCCTGGGAGAACCAACCATGAAACCTTTACCTGCAAATCATTGAGTCCTCTGGAGTCAGAGTCAGACGTGTCCCTGTAGGCTGAGCTGGTCAGTTCCATGTCAGTGGAGGCACGACTTCTCTTCTTTAAGGGTTTACAGGAGTCTGAAATCTCACTGGCACCTTAACACAACACGCTAAAATTAGTTCAATACATGGTCTCGACTTTTTGCTTCAACTTAATAAAGGAAAGAAAGATGAGGGCTTGGATTCCATTATCTGTCTTAATTATTCAGGTTGCAATTTTGTTACTAGTTGAATTCTCCCTGAAAATTAATTGAAAACCAGCTTAGGCAGAGTTTTGACACACTTTTTACATGGTGATGCAGTGGAGGAAGGCAATAAATTGTCTCTAAGGGAGGATAAATCCTTAGATTTGCTCTTCATCATCCATCTTTAACTTTGGCTAAGCAGAGATTTTTAAGAATGCCCAGAAGGACTTGGGGGTTACAGCTATGAACAAACACCATCCTTCCCCAACAATACACAAGGAAAGAACCCCAAACACAGCCTGTCCCCAGGGAAGCTGAGCTCAGCCCTACAGAGCACCAACATTGTGGCTCACATGCAGCAAAGCTGCTGCCAAAAGGCCACAGGCCACCAAGGTCAGCTGAGTTAATTTTCACCTCTCACTCACCTTTCTGCAACCCCGTCTTCACTGCTGCCAGTGGGACAGCTTCAACCTGTTTGAAAGGAAAATCCACAGTTAACACCAGAGGAAAGTTTCTCCCTAGTACCAAAAAGCAAACAGGTCAGTTCAAGGGGGTTACAATTCAGGTGGGAGCTGCCACCCCCTCCTCAGCCCGAGTCTCCACGTCCTGCTGGATCCACTCCTGCCTAGGCTGGTGCCCACAGCCCTGGCAGCCAGGGGCCACTAGGCAGGGCCACCAGGCAGGTCCTTCCTCTCTGCCCTGGGGCAGGAAGGTGCCAGGAGCGCTGCATCCGTGTCCAGCAGGCAGGAGCACCCTTGGCCAGTCGCTCCTGGTGCTGTGCAAAGCCCACAGAGCTGTGTGAGCACACTGGGTGCCCCTGGCAGGGCTGGCACTGGGCTAGTGAGGCACAGGGTGGGTCACTCGCTGCTCCCTGCAGCTCCTGCAGCCCTTGCTCCCCGTCTAGAGCTCTGCACAGGCTGCCCAGGTGCCGTGGTGTGCAGGGCTCTACACAGCTGGAACTCCAGGGCACAGGCACTGCAGCACACAAATGCACAAGTTTACAGTCTTGCAAAAGCACTTCCAGTCCTTGACCCTAGGGAGAAGTTTAGGAACTGTTCTGTCAACACACATGGAAGATGTGGGAATTTGGTGACTGGGTAATATTTACAGATGACAGCTGTAGCCTAAAATCCTGTTTTCAAGGTTAAGAATTACAAGTTACTGCTTTGCAATGTGGTTACATATGCATGGAGAAACACATTTAGTAAATATTTAAGGATTATTCTATAATTTTTTTAAAAAATATTTTATTTTGTTGTACAATAGGTAAAAACATACAGTAGAAGGATTTGTATAGGATACATTTTGTAATACAAATATAAAATCTAAACAATCACTTTTATTTCTCCACTAGTCACTGTAACAGTAGCATCAACATTTTGTTTTTCCCATTAATTGTACTCGTTCCAGTTATAATTTTATACCAACTTGTTGCAGACTAACTGGGGAATCAAGAAAACTTGACTTTGGGTAACAAATATTGTTGCATAATTGTAAGAAGTTAGTAAGTTTTCTTTTTTTTAAATTTAACTTAATACATTCAAGGTGTAGCGCATTACCCCTGGGTTTCACTTTAGCCAGATACTTCTCCTGAGAAAAGCACTTTAATTAAAGTCCACAGACTGAGTCAGCCAGGTAAGAGAAGCACATGAAGCTACCTGGCATCCATGAAGTTCATCTTGTTGGTTCTTATACCTTTGTTAAATTAAGAAACCTTTACAAACATAAAACAACTCTTTTGAAAGGGGGAGGCTGCGACAGCTCGTGCCAAGAGGCTCCACAGTCCACATCAGGTGTCACACACCCAACACTTGAATTGCTTTAAAGTTTCACCAAGAAACTGCCTCGAGCTGGAGCACTCCTCTGCTGCACAGCAGTGCAGAAATGCTGCAGCATCAAAGGAAAAATAGGGAAAAAAACCCCAAAAAAGCAACTGAGTTCACTTTCAGTCTCTGAAGTGAAGGAAGTGCAAAACAAAGCGCAAAGGGCAAAGAATAAATTAAAGAGATAAAAATATTTTTTCCCCTTCCCATATAAATCTTCATCCTGACTGTCTCTCTTTAAAAATTCTCACTGGGAAAAGCTAAACTATGAAACATTTATATAAAATTCTCAGCTTTCAGACAGAGGCCTTTGAAGTGGGAAAAATCAACCGTGCAAGGAGAAGAACCAACAACTTTGACAAACTTGTTTGAAGTGTATGCAGGTTTTGGTATTTCTGTCCATCCACTGCACTCTCCTACTCATTTCCACGCAGAAATTTGTTATCATTAAAATTTTCTCAAAGCAACAACATTTGTCTGTCTGACATCCAGATTAAAGGAAAGCCCTGTACATGTTAGAACTATTTCAGGAAAAAATGGTATATCCCAGAACTGTTTTGCTGATGTCTGCCAACATGAAAGTCTGACTATTCATCTTTAAGTGAAACCATTCTTGAAGTCCATCTTCAGAAGTGGTCAAATTAATCACTCTAACTTCATTTAAAAAAACAAAGCCTCAACACAAACCAGCAGCTAAATCAAGAGCCAAAGGAAGGAACCTGGTGGCAATTCCATCCAAGAGAAATCACTGAAACAAACCCATTTTGCTCAGAACAGAAATCTCAAAAGGAAACATGGCAGGTTCATTAGGAGTCATCCATCACTTCCATAGCCTGACTGATACTGAGAAGATGCCAGTAGCAGAGTCACAGCAATGGCATTGACAGGGGGATTTCATGGAGGATAGTCCAAACCGAAACCCGATGGGGAAAAATGGAGAAAAATAAAAAGGCACCAATATAAGCCACAACATTTATGAATACAATATATTTTAACTCTCTACATGGAGGAAGCCAACCTGCTCCTTTTTGATCTTCTTCTTTGGCACAACTTCAGTGGATTTCTCAGACTCGGAGCGGGTTCGAATCGATCTTCTCTGTTGCTTCTTTTCTACAGAACCTGAAGAAGGAAAAAGGTTTCCATTATTTGATTCCTTGGATTTCTGAGGCACAGCAAGATGTGCAACACCAAACCAAGAGGTAAAGGAACGAAACCAAGACTTTGTCCTCTTTTGAATGTTTTATTTTTCAATTCAGTTCCAAGCTATTGACCAGCTGGTGCTGTGGCTGCAGACACACATTCTGATTCCAGAGATCAGCTTCAGAAAACAGACACAAGTAACAGACTGGAACAAAAGGCTGGAATTCAGATTAGGGCAAACAGATTTCCATAATCCATAACACACCTCTCTGGCATGGTCTTCACCTGGGTAATTCTGAACCAAACAGTCCATCTTTGGTGTTTTGGGAAGGTAGCCACAAGCAACTCCTTGAACAAAAACAAACTAGAAATTTCAGATGCAAAGCACAGCTTCAGGATCTCCTCCAAAATGCCAGATCTGTGTCCCCCTCTGTGGGGTGATGGCCTCTGTCACATAACTACAGCCAGTCCCACCCTGGACCACCTGCAGCCACACCAGACCTCAATGCTCACCTGAAAGTTTTGAGGTGAAGAAAAACTCAGCATAAACAGAGGCATCAACCATGATGTGTTACCATCATTGATGAATGCGAAAAACAAGTTTTTCAAAGCATTAGCATCGAAAACAAACTCAGATTAATGAAGGTTACTGTGACATTTCAACAGATGAAGAGGGAGCTACTGGAATTTTGGTAACTAAGGCTGGCAAAATCAAAAGATCTTTCTGTGCTCCGGCATCTCCCAAACAGGCACATGGAGAACCATGGACACAACACCATGGGCAGCTGTTGGAACAAGCACAACACCTGGGGCTGACAAAACTGGCACCTGAGCATTTACAATGAGCTGCTGGGAAGCATTTTGCTGGGTCTTCAGCTTGGGAGGTTTCACCCATACAAGACAACTGGGAAATACTTTGTTTTCTTCCAAGCAAAACTGCAAACTCTTGGGAGCTGACTGTGTCAGATGGATGCACTGTTAGGAGCTGTAAACCTGCCTGGTCTTGTCAGAAGATCAAGTATCTAGAGACACACACAGGCTAAAACCAGACTGAAAGATAGCCTTGCAAAAGAACTGCAGAGAAAAAAAATGAAAACTTTTTTCCCCGTGGCTGCATGGCTTGGGAATGTTTCAGTAACTAAACTACACAGCTGGAAATGTTATCATGTTACAATAATTGGATTTCTGAGGGGAAAAAATTGTTTTTCTTAGAGGGAAAAAGCTTTTACAGCATATTAATTAAGGAAAAATAGCAATTAGTTATTAATAATTTAGAAATTAATGGCTGAGGTCAACATCCATCATGTCTGTCCACGAGTAACTTCTGGTTAGGCCCCATCCCTTGAGGAACTTGCACAGCAGCAGTGGATCTCCATATCAGAGCTGGGGAATACCTTTTGTCACTTTACTGTGTGACCAAAATCCCCTGAAGCAGCTTCAGGTAAATTTGAGCAGATGTGACCAATTGTTACTTTAAGCAAGAATGGATTTTCTCCCTGAAGCCAAGGAGAAAAGATCAAGCCCTGGATCAGAGAATTCCAGAAACTGGAATTTGGCTGACAGCAACATTGACCACTGCAATGGGCACTTTCTCCTCTTCCTGCTCTCCAAGGATCCAGTCAGCACCTTCACAATGCTCCCATCCCATCTTCAGGTTTATTTTCATCCAAAGTTTCAGGAGAGATGTTGGACCAGCCCTCCACCTTGCTGGAGATGAATCCCAGTTCAGTGTCTGCAGGCCAGGGATTCTCAGGGCTGCTCTTGCAGTTTCAAGTAAGGGAATTAGTTATCTTTCCAGCATTATTGAATTCTGTGTATCTAACTGCAGGTTAGCAATAAGGACTCCCAGAGTCAGTCTGGCAAATACTTTACCATAAAGGGATCCTGAAGTTCCACTGACCTTACATTTGAAAAATGGACTTGGCAGTTATGTTCCACAAGAGGGGACCAAAAACTGGGCTTTGGAAATGGCTTTGAGAGTGACTGGAGTGTGCACTGCAGGTAAGCTCAGGCACTTACAAGGTGTTAGCAGGTGGAGTGTTACATATCCAAGAAGCCTGAGAAAATGAAAAAAGAGAGGCTCAGAATTCCCACCCCCTACATCTGAGGAGCCAAAGGGAAGCTGAAGCCTTTAGATCCTAGGTGAGAGAAGCAGATGGAGATGGCCTCTCCTGCTGCAAGGCAATTCAAGGAGCCACAGCAACCACAGCTGGAAAGAACCACCACTGTCAACAGCAGGGGAATCCCCCCTGACAGCAGGAAATTCAAGTGCTGCAGTCCCAAACACTCCATGAACCAGCAAATAACCCTGCCTAAAACCAGCACACACCCAGAACCTGAACTGTGTTTGCACAGGACTCATGGATGCTGACCACTGAGATTTCTGACTCTGGTTCTCATCTATTTCACGTTTGGAAAGGGAGAAATAATCAAATGGATGGATAGTTAAAGCAGAAGTGACATCTGGCCACATTATGAGATTCAAACAGCTCATTCAAGGTTTTCCCATTTCAGGCCCAAGTTCCATGATTTGCTTCAGTGGTTCTTCTCTCTCAGACCTGATAGTTCAAAACTTTATGATGTACCCTCTGTGATGGCTTCAGAAGGCAAGCACCACCTCATTTGGATGGAGTTAGCTGAAGCAGTTTTTAAAAAATCCCTGCAAAAACTGAACAACAAAGCCTAGGGAGTCTCCAGCTTGAATCAGACATTCCCTACTGAAATGTGCCACTTCCCAACTCTTTTTGCTTTTATGACAGCTCTCATATTTTCCATTTGGGACCAGCCCTGCTAACACACATCCACTGGACTGTCTTCTAAACCAACCTTCCATTGCTCTGCACAGGACATCATCCCTTGAGTATGTTGCCTCAGGCTGTGAGTTGCAGACACAAAGTTCAGAGGCCAAACCACCAATCCCACCCCACAGCCATGCTCTGTGTGTTGGTTCACCACGTGTGACATTAGCCATGCTCATTACAATCACTCTGTGAACAGAAAAATGTTAATAATTCCTAAGCAATGAGAAAATGCTGGGTTTGATATTTGAGTTCTCATGCTGCAGGCTCAGGTTCAGAGCAGGATTGCAGTTTCCCTACCTGCTGCCCCAGAAGTTGTCTCAGGAGAGGATGCATTTTGCACCACAGCTTTCTCACTTCTCTGAGCTGATGAAGAATTCAGTTTCTCTTGTCCTTTGACGCTTATTTCTGTTTTGTTACCAACTCCCTTGAAAAGAAAAAAGGAAAAGATTGTCTTCCCCTGTTACAAAGCTGTGCTGCTACCAGGTAACAGGCCTGCCCCTGAATCTCAGAACAGAAACAATCAATGCTCTCCAAGCCAACACACAGACAGGATTAATCTGCTATGGAGCTGCTTCCCTGCACAACTTTCCACCCCTCTCAATCTCCCCTCACACACAAGGAAAAAATAATTCCAGTGACTTTTCTAAACATTACCTTCTCTATAGGGCTTAGGATGAAATAAACACTCTCCAGGTAGAGAGGCAGAAGAAGGAGGCACAGAAATAGTCCTAAGCCTTTTCCTTACACTGACTGTGGGAAGCTGCTGTGCACCTGAAGGAAGCTCAGAGGCAGAACTCAATTTAAAAGTCTGTTACACAAAACGTAGTTATTATTTTTTAGTACATTATGAACAGTTTTGTCATCTGTTTCCCACAAAACCACTGATTTTATCAAGAATTTTTTTGTACTATTTCAAGTAGGAAGCTGAATAGATCTAATATATATTCAATATATTAATATATTAATATTCATTATACATAGATATAATACAATAATAGATAAGACTATAATGATATATTAATAACAATTATATTAATATATTAATATAAATAGATAGATATTTAATATATTTAATGTGTTATAAACAAAAATACAGCCATCTGTAGGGAGCTGCTCTGCCACCAGCAAAACAGTTACTGCCAGGGCTGCACTGAATGTGGGGTTCAGTGCCCTGAAAGATTCTATTGTCACATCTGTCTGTTAATCTCTCAATTAAAGGAACATGGGTGGTGAAAGCTTGGTGGACACAGCTCAAGCTCCCCAATAAGGCAGGCTTGGGATAACTCAGGAGCAGAAAAAGGGTCACTGCACCAAGCACGTACCTTGGTGGAATAAACAAATTGATCGATGAGCTTTCCATCCCCAGCAGCATTCTGAAGGGCAAAAACCTGCTCAATTTTAACAACCGGAGACATGTTACACTTTTGCAGATCCAGGTTGTGCATGGTGATGGAAGCTGGCAGGGATTTCCTAGCTGCAGCTGTTTTCCAGGCGATTTTCACAGGTGGAGCCTCCTCCTCCTCGGGGCCGGAGTGCCTGCGCTGGCCCTGCCGGCGCTCACCGTGGCAGGGTGAGGAGCCCGGGGCCGCAGGGCCGTGCTCCGGCTGCGAGCTCGGCGCCGCCTTCGGCCGCCGGTTCTTCTTGGCCTCTGCTTTGGAAGCAGCAGTCTTTTTGGCTTTGGCCAAAGCTTCCTCTGGCTCTTGGTCTACGTAAATGAAGGTGTACTGTTCTATCCTCTCCTCCCGGGTCATTTTCAGCGCTTTCTCGGCGTGGGCAATGCCAATGTCCCACTGCGCTCGCTCCCGCTGCGGCCGCGGCTTGCGAATCTTAGGGGACAAGACAAGCAGTGGTTACACTGAAGATTTTGCCACTACAGCATTTAAACACAACCCTGAGGGTCTCTGCGTCTCTCAGGCAGCAGTCTGCTCTCCATTTACAGGGTATTTTTGACACTGAATGTATGGTGCCACGTTCTCTTCATAGAGAAAAATCAAGGCACAATTTTTCCCAAGAATATTTCTGAGATTCACGTTCTCTGAACTTCAGAGAAAGAGAGACTACAATTCTTATCACTTCCTCTGCCTGTGTTGTGCCAAAGTAGAATGTAATATGGAGATTGTTTATCTAAAGTGAAGATGCTTTATTTCCTTGGCCTATTAGGGCTGAGAGAGTGTATGTCTGTCTGCTGACAGTCACAAAGCAATCAAGAGAAGAGTGCAGTTGTGTGCAAAGTAAGTGCTTGGCAGATTCAGTTTAGAAGAAATGTATAATAAAGTGTTATACATTTATAGTATAATAAAGTAATTAATTATTAATATATTATAGTATAATAAAGTAAATAATTAACCTTTTAATAAGTTAGACTCAAATACATCATTCTCTCCCCCTCGTCGTAGTCGTCCTTTACTTTAATAAATGTAGACACAGAATTCTCTGCTGGTGAGATCCACCCAGTCCTTCTCAGGGCAAAGCCCTGAGGAGTTCCAGACCTGCCCTGGAGCATCTCCCTAACAGAGATGATCCCCCCAGTGCCCCCTGTACCTTCTGTTTCTCAGAGTGGTTGCTGGCTTGCTTGGCTGCCTCAGCCAGTAACTGCTCGTACTGTTTGTGCCCTTGGTACTCGCGGACGCGCTTCTCGTGCACCCAGGCCCGCTCTGGCTGGTTGCTGAAGAACTGAACGTGGTATTCCCGGGCACCTGAAAGGACAAACACCACTCAGCAGTTGTACCAACACTGCTCTGTTCAGCTCACACCTTTCTCCTCCTTCCTGCAAGTGGAGGTACCTGGCTCAAGTGGCCCAGATCCAGAATAGTGTGGGATGGATTCTTGTTATCATGTTTTCTGAAAAATCCCTTTGCTAAGGATTTTCTCCTGAGAAGCTCCAGGAAAGGAATGTAAACAATAATTATCTGATTGCTTGGAGTGCAGTTTGGAGGTTGCTCACCAACAGGTATATCTTTGATTGGTTCCATGTGAATTGTTTTAATTTAATAACCAATCAGAGCCAGTTGTGTCGGACTCTCTGAGTCTGTCACAAGTTTTTATTATCATTCTTGTTCAAGCCTTCTGATGTCTCCTTTCTCTTTCTTTAGTATAGTTTTAGTATATAATTTTACATGATATGATAATTTAATAAATCAGTCTTCTGAGAACTTGCAGTCAAATCTCATCCTGGGGACCCTCACAACACAACAACAGATGCTCAGGACACCCTGCCCACACTGAACTCTCTCACTGACTTGAGAAAAGCAGAAACACCTGTGCACCAGCCCATTCCCACAGTGCCACCTGCAGAGGTCACATACCAGTACCAGTTTTGTGTGTGCCAGTTCTGTCCTGTTCAGCACACACAGAGCAGAATTCACCCCACAAAGGCAGTTTAGCATGAGGATATTTTTAATAACAGAACAGCTACAGACACCTGCCACTCTGGCAAAGAGCTTCCTGCCTCACCTCTTGTATTAATTTTGGTGTGCACATCAAGCTGTGGATCACAGGACACCATGCAAGGCCACCATGGGTACGTCCCCACCTTGGACCAAACCAGATCCCCAACCTGGAACTTGACGTCGTGGGTGACCTGCGCTGGAAGGGATGGCACGAGCTGCTGGACCTGCAAAGGAAACACCAGATTAAAGCCACAGGAGAGGATTCAGAGCACTTGGAGATGCACACACCATCCACAGGGACTTCTTGTTGTTGCTCTCTCAGATATCCCTGAGGTTTGATAATCCAAGATGAGAAAAACATTTCTTAGGAACGTGAAAGAAAGGAGCTGCACTCAGCTGGGATTTATGTAACAACATCACTGACAAACAGAGACACAAAAGAGCAACTGCCACGCCCCCCAAAAAGGATTCTGCTTCCTAAGTTGATTAGAAATACTGCTTTTAGGATAAAATAAAATAATAAAATAGGAATAAAATAAAAGAAATATTTAGGAATAAAATAAAGCAATAAATCCTGTACAATAAGAGATGTGTTGATGCAGTAATGAGAGTAATAAGAGTTTAAAAGAAATGACAACTGATTTGGCAGATAAATTAAAGAATTAATGGAAGAAACAGTCCAAAAATAGTGACATTCTGAGTTCCCAAAGTGTTAATTGATGCATGTACTAACCGGGGCTTCCTCCAGCACTGCATCTTCTCTTGGTCTCTCAGAGAGTGTGCTAAGCCTCTCATTTGGTCTCTAAGAAATGGGTAACAATGAAGAGAAAAAAGGAAAACAGGACTTACTGTAAAGGGACAGTAAAACAACAGAAGATAATAGTGAAACCAGGCAGAAAAAGATAATTCATAGAGAGAAAGGCAACCATGAACCCAGAAAATGTGAATATGACTATTAATTAACACAGTAACATCACAATAAAGAATTACCTGGTTTCCCCTACACTATTTACATTACTATCACACCTAAATATAACTGTGCTCTCCTGTAACAGATGACAGAAGAACATCCATTCAGAAACAGCAAATCCAAGTAACTTTCCACCTAAAATAACACACAATTTTAAAAAACCAGAGAACCCCATGTGAGGATATCCACAGTGATGTGGTGAGTCTCACTGTGCACCAGTCATTTCCCAGAACTGCAGTACATAAATTATGCTAAGCATACAACATGACCATTGCAAAATCGATGTTATATTGCATAGAGTTGACAAACATATTTGAAGGATCAAAAATCCACAACACAGAGCAGAATCAGCCCCAAACAGAAGCTGACACTGATGTGGAATGGGTGTGAGGGAACAGGGGCTGAGGTTCAGGAGACAAACGCCACCCACTTGCTTTTCCTGTAGCAGAGAAGTCAAAGAGCAGCAAAAGGAGCAGTCAGACACAAGCAGTGAGGAATTAATAATGCTGAGGACCCCCTTATTGCCAAGCCACTCCAAGCACAGACCCCACATCAGTCCCTGCTGTGTGCTGCAGAGAACTGGGGACACAAGGAAGGGACAGGGCAGCTCAGGGGGGCACAGCCCATGTCTCATCTGGAGCTGTCTGTACACAACCTCCATTTCAGACTAATCACTTTGCTCTTTGCTGGGCAGAAATTCTTCCTCCCTGCACAGCAGGAAGCACAGCACTGACTGCTGCCCTTCTTTAGCTACAGGGAGTTGGTGAAACCTCCCCTCTGGCAGGCTGCAAAATTCCAGCTCCTCACAGAACACAATTTCTGAGCAGAGAGGCTGATTCTCAAAATGAGGATTCAGAGCTTGATGTTCACCAGTGTTTTCACAACATTTCCATTTTAAATCAGCCTCTCCATTTTGGGCATCCCCTCAGAGTCAGTGGATTTTCCTCTGAAATTACAGCATCAGAATAAGGAACAACTGGTGACCACCTGACTTGCCACAGCCTCATTGAGTGCAAAACTATAAAACCACAGTTGTACCAAAAGTTGTTTGTTCCTATGAAGATGATCCCAAGCCACAAATCTCACACCTTTAACACTGAAGATGACAAAAGTGTACACGAAGATGAAATCATGCAGTGGAAAGTGAAATGATGGGACAATGGACCTGAGACTGCCCTGGCAAACTCATACTGAGAAGCACCAGCAGAAAATCCTGCTCCTGTCAGAGCAGGCCATGTCTGAAACAGGGCTGGGTTCTACAAAACATTTATTGCAACACCACCTTTAGAAAGGGAAATGAAAGCAACAAGGAAGACAATAGCAAGACCAAGATTTCTGGTGAACTCTGGATGACACACATGACTAGGAGCTTGGAATTCAAGATGCAAGGTTTTGGTTCAGTCGGTGAGAGACAGAAGATTCCATTCTCATGGCAAGCAGGTAACAGAGCCAGAGGGACAAGCTGAAGCTCCAGGAGTAGAACAGGAGTCACGGGTAAGAGGGGAAACAACCTGACAGCCTGATGTGGGGGTGATGGAGCCTGGCCAGAAAGCAGGAACAGTGCAAGAGATGCTGCTCAGGGAGTGCCAGCAAAGCACAGCAGCTCCTACAACCACCTCACAGGGGCCCCAGCAGCTCCCTGCAGCACAGAACCCACTCCACCAGATCACAGCTGGTGCTGCAGGACAGGATCTTCTCCCTGAAGAGAACAGCAAGCACCAAGGGCTTCCACAGGCCTGACAACAAACTCAGCTACGTTCTGTAACGTAGGCAATTTCTGTCCCTGCCAGAAATGGCAACTTCCCCATTCCTGGCACTTACCAGCCTCTCAGCCACCCATTCCCTCAAAATGGGAGAGGCAGAAACCAGCACCACAGAGGTGGCAGGAACAAGCAAGAGGAAAGGAAACAGAAGCATTGGAGTGGCTTATGAAACTGAAAGAAAAAGAATGAGAGGGCACCAAGGTAATCTGGGTCTTTGCTTCCCAGAATCTCAGTTAACACCACCTGATGTACATCCTCTGGATATGGACAATATGGTACATGATTAATTAATGTTTCACTGCTGAATACCCCAAGGAACCTCACTTTCCACTCCACAACCTAGCACTCTTTTGAGAGGCAATTTTAGGAATGTGTCAGCTTTCATCCAGAAGTTCCATCTTCAACACTGACCAGAGTGTAGCAAACATATTATAACACTAAATAACATTTAAAAACAATTTTCTAAGATATGTTTTTCACATGAGCCTTTAAAGCACCATTGTGTTACCTACAGATACAGCTCCTGGCAACCTCATCCTGAGGCTCTGATGAGTAACTACAGCCTGGTGACTCAGCGTGCACACAGCCAGAACAAGGACAGACCCTGCTGGACACGCTCTCCATCAACAACACCAGGTGTACACATGGCTCAGTTACCATTCCACTTACATTTTGCTCCTCTGGTTCTAATTTGGGAATTTTGTGTGCCTTGCGCTCTTCCGAGCGGGAAGAGTCATGCTTGCTACTTTTTTTCCTTTTCTCTTTCCTCCCTTCATGTTTTGCCTTAGCGTACTCCCTGGCTTGGACTTCATTCAACAGGTCCCCACACAGGGAGGACTCAAACAATTCCCTGCCGTTCTGGATAGTTTTGGTTATTTTCAGTTTGATCTCTGGTGAGCCAGTCTTCTTTGGAATCCCCACTTGTGGAGGTGGTGGTGGTGGCGGTGGTGGAGGCGGCTGGGGAGGAGGGGAAGGCTTCTCCAGCCCTTCGTGCTGCCTGCCATTGGAGTTCTCCAGCTGGTAATACTCCGTGGGGCTGAAGTTCCTGCCCGTCCCAAAGCCATTGGCAGACCCATTGGGGTACCCAGGGTAGCCCTGGTACTTGCCCTGGGGTTCATACATGCTGATGGCCGGGGGGTAGCCGTTGGTGAGGGTGGGCAGCTCCTCTGAGGGCGGGGGGTACTGGAAGCCTGGCTGCAGCGCGGCCTCGTACGGCGTCCGGCCCCCATCCTCGGCAATGTCACTGCTGCCATCGAAGGCCTCCTCTTGGCGGATGTTGGCCGAGTCAATGAGTTGAGGTGGTTGCTGAATTGTGTTTCCCATGATCCCTTGCATGAAAGAGAAAGAGAAATCCATTGTTCTGCTCCAGCATCCTTAGCTTTCCCTTTTTCTCATAGGGCCTAGAGGCAGGGGAAGGGAAATAAGAAGTCAGTGTAAATTAAAGAACGGTAATTAAGCAAATTAAACAGTTGAGGAAAAAAGGGATCTCAAGAATGATTTCCCCCTCTCTATTCAGCAGACAAGCTCACGTGGATTTAGAGAGGACTGGTGTTACTGAGCCTTTACTGGCATGTCTTTCATATGGCAAATTTCTTCTTTCCCAAGACATTTCAAAAAATATCAGAAGCCCCTAGGAGTGCTTAAGAACTATAAGCCAAAGTATTACAAAGTCAGAGTAACAGTGCCAAACTCCCCAGCCTTCCTAGCCATGCCCTAGGAAGGGTTATTCCAGCCTGAAGCAATTCTGGACAGCATTTCACCCTGCAGCAGATAAGAGATACCAAGCTGTCCTGACACAGTCACTGTAAACTGCACAAACCAGGAACACCACAGAAAGGCAAACAGAGAAACCTCTTCTCCCTCCCCACCTCCTTGCCAAAACTGGGCAAGCCATGGGATGCTCTGAGCAACAGCACAATGAAAACAAGAGGGTCATTCCACCTTGGCCACTGGGAAACCAGTGCCCTGCAGCAGCCTCAGATTGAGCTTCCAAACCTCCTTCCTCCCCAGAAAAGCAGGGTACCATCTGCACTGGCTCCCAGCAGCTGTGTGAGGAGGGTTATTCTCCTGCCCCTCACACTTTATTTTAATATTAAGCACTGTATGGATCAGAGCCTCAGAGTGAGATTCCACACCTCAACCTTCCAGCGCATATTAAAACACCACAATCAGACTCAATCAAAGACTTCCAAAACTCAACTGCAGGCTCAGAGAAGGCTTTGGCATTCATGTAAGCAGCTCAATGTTCAACAAGAAGCAACACAAAGTGACTGACCTGACCTGCAGGTAAGAAAAACCAGTTTGCTTCCCACAAGGTTAGCTCAGCCCTTCCAAAGCAAACACAGCCCCATGGGATTTGTTGTGCCTGTGTGGGCACACAGGACGGTGACTGTGCCCTTTTGGTCTGGGCTAGAAATGACATTAATGCATCCCACAGACACTTCTTCTACAGGAAACCTCCACTGAACCTGCCCACATGCAATTCTCACCCTCTCAATACCTCAGAGCTTTCCTAACATTGAGAATTTCCCTCCTCTAAGACTGCAAAAAGTAACTGAAGTTCCAACAGGAATAAAAACTCTAACAGCTCTGTGCTGGATGTTTTGGGGTGATGTTTTTTGATGATCTTCACACTTGATGTTTGTCCTCATCTTCACTGTCCTGTGAGATTGACTTGGGCACGTTTGTCACTGTAATTAAGCGATTCAAGGCAATAACAGCACAAGGCTCTGCAGCAGAATTTTCTCACTGCAGGAACTTTTAAACCTTGGGGCAACTAAACCATCCCTTCCTCCACAGCTCTGCACATCAGCCAGCAAACCAACACAGGCAGCACCATCAGGGGCAGCAGATCTGAGGAGCAGCGCTGGGATTGCACAGCAAGGTCAAAAACCCCAAGCCACCCCTGTTCTGGGAAGAGGAAGTGGGACTGTTTGTACAATTTACCACTGAATTGTTACTCTCCATCTGCCAAACCAAAGAGCAAACAGTAGATTCTCCCACTAGGCCGGGTTTTATTTTTTACTAAAACCAGGTTCAATCTTCTGAATACTTATAAAAAACTCTTGGGAAGCTGTGGCAGCACTTCAGGAACATCCACAGCTGGGAGGGCACAGTCCCAGCTGCCAGTGCAGCTCCCACAGGCTCTGCAGAGGTGGCTGCCCTTTGCTACACGACAGAAATGTGGATTAATGAACTCCAAAGCACTGCATTTAGGAGCCACCAGTTAAAGAACAGAGTTATTTGGTTTTTTTGTTTGTTCTGGAGCTGTTTCTCTCAGCCTGTGCTGCATAGCTGGGATCAAACCCCATCCCAAACTGGTTCCTCAGGAGCTCTGAGCAGGCTGAGAACCAGGGTCAGGGCTGCACAAAGTGCCCCAGCAGCCCCAAAGCACTGAGGCTGCTCTCTGCCCCTCACTGCCATCACTGATCACACACCCACACCTTCCCACTCTCCTTGCCCAAAATTCTGCCCCACATGCTGCCCAGTGAAGTGGCAGCTGGGCAGGGTTACAGTGAGAGTGACCACAAAACCAGGACACAGGAATCTCAACAGCCAAACCCAAGCAAGGATCACTTTGTGTCTGTCCCCCCTAAGCACTAATGTGAGGAACACCCCACTGTCACCACAGAGAGCTGTCCCTGCCACACAGCAGCACCACCACACCACAGGGTAACGGGATTTCCAGCTGATCTTGCAGAAAAGTATTCCAGAATAAATTCTTCTCACTGTGCCAGTGATTTCTCTATGAACCCACCGTGGCAGCCTCTGTGAACTGCAGAGTTTGGCTTCCAAACATGACCCATAACAGATCCTGCACTGATACAACTGGAGATGAACAGATAAAGAAACTATTTCATCACTTCAACGTTTGTAGGAAATGGACACTTCACAGTGGCTGCAAACAACTTGAAATCAGTGAAACAATTTGAAATTAACACTTTGAAAAGTACAACTGCATTTCCTAATGAGAACGTTTCCTCTTAGAAGGTGAGACCCCCATTCTGCTCAGTCCTTTCCCAGGGCAGACAGGGACACAGGGCCTTTTACAAACACTGAGACGTGACACACCTTCAGTAAATATTTTCCTGTCATCCATGGGAGAGGCACAATTCAAAGGAACAGAGGAAAAGGTAAATGGTAAAATAGAAGCAGCACAGGATAAGGCAGGGCAGCCTAGCAGAGTGAACACCGATAGTTTCAGTTCCCATCCTGAGCACAACCCAAAAAACCAGTTCCACTCCAAGAGTGAGTGCTCAGGGAGGGGAAGGTTTTGCAGAGATTATGGATCCTCCAGCTTCACTTTTTCACCAATAATTCCACTTATCTAAAATCAGTTTTAATACGAGTATTTTTCAACTTTGCTTTCTGAAAACAAGACTTGAAGTTCTCAAACCTTGCTTCCATGCTGCATTGGACTAAACAACAACTGACCTCAGATTATCAAACAACTCCAATCCTGTGTGATCACAGCTTTTCTTATTCCCAATCAGGGAGCTCTGTAGGACTGGCTGTGACCACAGCAAGGAGAAAAACAACAGCTACTGATGAAGTCCAGCACACACACATTTTAAAGAGGTTTCACCAAACCTTTTGTGTTGACAGTGCCCACCCAGGGCTAGAGCAGGCAGAGGTAAGGCGTGTTTTGGATGGAAGGTGTGTGCTGGGAGGCAGGAGCTGGAAGCACTGCTGTGAGTCAGTGTGTGTGCTCAGAATGGTGTCACTGCCTCGTCACCCTGAGCTGGGCTTTCTATCACCAACCTCAAAAGCAGAACTTCCAGGACATCTCAATGTCCAAACACCACCCAGTTCCTGTCCACAGAGACCTAAAGCAGAGAGATTCAAACCTCTGCTCACATCCTACCAACCCCACAGATGTTTACTGTCGTTTCCTGTGCTGTTTCACCCCAAAGTTTCACATCCAAGCTGCACTGCTCTCCTCACTGCTGCAGGTGTTTGACAGACAGACAGACAGAGCTGCCTGGCTGGACAGGCCGGGTGTCTGAAGTGATGCAATCACTCCTGACCTCTCAAAGCCCCAAGTTCACACACACCTCACTCTCACACCTCTCTGCAGTTCACACCCTCTGCTCCTGGTCACATTAACCACGGCCCAGAGAGACACCTCTGTCACCTGGAACAGGGACACCTCTGTCACCTGGAACAGGGACACCTCTGCCACCTGGAACAGGGACACCTCTGCCACCTGGAACAGGGACACCTCTGCCACCTGGAACATCATCCTGGTGGGCCACAACTGTATGAACTGCAGAGAGAAATAAAACAAACGTTCCTACTAATCCCTACACTCAGTCTGTGCAATCTGCTTTGCCCCATCCTTCTCTGCATGTCCTTAACAAATCCCCCAGACAAAGCTCTGTTTGCACACCTTAAGACAACACCAAATTTTCACCTGCACCTGAGTCTTTAACAGGAAACCTGTGGATTTTTCCTGACTCCCGCTGGGCTGAGCTGTTCCTCCTGGCAGACACCAGTGATGAATCAGAGGCCTCTTGACAAACTTTAAAGCATGAGGTGAAGCTGCTTCCCCGTGCACCTTTGTAAAGGTGTTTTGTGTTTGGTTTGTGAGTGCCAGAAAAAACAGTCACGTCTGTAACTGGGCTAGATAAGGGCGTTTGGAAGGAGTTTCCCACGGTGCTGCGGAAAGAAACAACTTGGGGTTTGTCTGAAAAAGGAGCTCAGAGACTCGTTTGTTTAAAGAGCCATGGGATTCAAATGGAAAACACGGAGCAAAAACTCTGGATCTCCAGGAAAAATCATAGGCTAATACTGCTAAGAAGCCAGAAGTCAGGTATCACAGCCAGGGCAAGAACCACAACGTGTCTCAAACAAACCCTCTCAAACTCAAGCAAAGTTGTGAAACAGGAAAATGCAAAATATGCTTGTATTAAAACAAAACATACAGAGTTTGACCACCATCCTTCACTCTTACCCTGCACCTTCATAAAGCACATAGTCAGGAGCAAAATCCTTCCAAGCAGTTCATAACAATAATAAAAAATAATATATATATGTAAGTACCAAAATATTCACTGTGCATCTCTGCAAAAGGCCACTGAAAGACTTGAACAGCCATCAAAGCACGCTACAGTTTTCCCACCAACTATAACAACTGGCTACTTCATACTGTCCTTCGGGCTAGTTTATATCTGTAGAACCGTGTCATCGTTCAGACTTTTAACAACAAATTCCACCGAAACAACCCAGCGCACCGCCAGCGAAACGAAAGCACAGCGAGACCACAACAAAGTGCAGCACAACGCAACAGCACCGCAGCAAAACAACAGCGGAGCGACAACAAACCCTCGGCCGATGCGCAGCTCTTCCCGCGCGCAATAACACCGCGCTCCCCGAGCTGCGGAGGCCGCGGCACGGTGACACCGATGGCTCCGGTGGGCGAACCCCGCACAAGACGGGGCACGGCCCCGGTGAGAGCGGCGGGGCCGGAGCGGGGAGTGCGGAGCCGGCCGGGGGTCCCGCAGAGCCGGGGTTTGTCCCGACCAGGCTCTGGTCCCGCAGAGCCGGGGCTTGTCCCGACCAGGCTCTGGTCCCGCAGAGCCGGGGTTTGTCCCGACCGGGCTCTGCCCGGGGCCCGGCCCCGCCGCCCCGGTGCCGCCGCAGCTCCCGCAGCAGCAACATGGCGGCCGCGGCCCCTCCGCCCCGGGGCGGCCGCGGCCCCGCGCTCACCTTCAGTCAGTTCCATTCTCACGGCCCCGCCGCGTCCGCCCGGCCCCGCGCAGACAAAGGCGGCGGCGGGGGCGGCGCGGGGCCTCCGCCTCCTCCTCCTCCCGCAGCACCAGCAAGGCCGCGATGGAGCCCCGGCCTCGATTTCCGCGCCCCCGCCGCTAGCGCCGGCTCCGCCCCGGGGAGGCCGCCCGCCCCCAGCGCCCGCCGCGGCCGAGGGAGGCGCTGGCGGGGCCCGGCGGGGTCCGGCGGGTCGGCGGCCGAGGGAGGCGCTGGCGGCGGCGGCGGCGCTGGAGCGGCTGTGCCGGTGCGGCCCCGCCGAGCGCCTCCGCCCCCGCCCGCCCCCCGCCGCCGCCGCACTGCGCAGCCGCGCGCGCACGCGCTGCCCTCGCCCATTGGCCGCCGGGGCGGTGCCCGCCGCGAGGCATCACGGGAGGTGTAGTTCGGCCCGGTGTGGCGGCGGCGTGACCCCTGAGGGGAGCCGGGGACAAGGGGGGACTGGGCGGAATTTGTGTCCATTTCTGGGCTTCTCGGACAAGAGGGACGGGGGGATGGGCTGGGGAGAGCTGTAAGAATGGAAAGTTAAAAAGTGATTCTGCTCCTCACTTTAGGGACCTTCCTAAAGGCCCGTGCTCATCACAGGAACATCCATAGATGAGGCTCCTCGGGAACAGGAGCGGAGGCTCATCTATGTCCCTCATTCCCACAGGAAAAGCTCTTTTATACATAATCTAAATGTATTTAAAGCCCAATTTGAAGCCCTTTAAACTCTGTAAACTGAGAGCTCTGGCAGCAGTCTCAAAAGCTCTGTCCCCTTTTTCACCCCTCTACCCCATTTTATTTTCTACTTTTTAAAACACCGTTTAACTGTTCGCCATCCATTAACCAAAGGGTTCTTGACCCTTTTTTCACTGGGGCAATGAAATGGTTTTCTCCCCTCTAGTCTCTGGAAACCAGGTAGGATTTAATGGAATCTCAGCATGGCTCTGGTTGGAAGGGTCCTTAAAAATTCCAAGGGATCAAGTCACCTCTCACCTGCTGGGAACATTTCTGAGCTGTCAGTGTGTTCCACCCACCCCTCAGCTGTGAAAAATGCCAATCACTTGTTATTTTTAAATTGTAAAAGTTTACTAGTAATAAAATGGTTATAAAAATAGTAATACAGTTAGAGTAATAATAATTTGGACAATTTGAATCAGGACAATATGAGACAACAGAAACAAAGAGTTATGGATGTCTGGGTACCTTTTTATGAGCAGTACGAGCCTGAAAAAGGACCCACGTTAACAGAGGATTAACCCTTAAAAACAACAGCCTGTTGCATATTCATACACCTCATCCATGATGCATAAATTCCATTTAAACACAGGATTCTGTCTGGTCATCATCAGCTTCTTCCTCTGAATCCTAACAGCGCCTTCGAGGCAGGAAGAAATTCGTTTCTTCTGATAACGGAGCAATAAATTCTCTTTCTCTGAAAGATTCAGGTGTCCTGTGGCTGCTGTCTCGCTGCGAGTCCTTTCTTTAAGAAAAGTATCCTACATAGCATCATTTCTATTTTAACATTTTGTTATAACCTAAAACTATATTTACCACACGACTTGAGAGAACTAATTCAGCATTACTTTCTAACACAACACATATAATATCCACGTTAATATTTGTGGAAAGCCAATCATAAAATACGCATTTTCCACATCCTGGATGCGCTTTAAGGCCCCGGTGTGGCTCTGTCGGAGGCCTCAGGGCCCCTTGGTCCGGTTCGGAGCGTCTCGCCACGCGCGTGACGTCACGCGCAACTGTCCGTCCCGCGATGGCGTCACTCCTCCGACACGTGACGTCATGGCTCGCGCGCCCAATCAGCGGCGTTTCCCGAGGGCTCCTCGGGTCAGGCCCCGCCCCACTGCGCTCCTATTGGGCGGACCTCCGGCAGGACAGCGATTCTGACTTCTGATTGGCTGGCGTCGAGCAGGGCGTGGCGCGGCGCGATGGCGTCACGGCGCATTCACCACAGAGCGGCGACAGGTCTGAGCAGCGCACGCGCGGGGCACGACGGGACGGGTGGGAGGGGCGGGGAGCGGAACCGGAACCGGAAGCAGAACCGGCACCGGAGCACCGGGGCAGGATCGGCATCACCGGGACTGGCACGAGCACCGGGACCGGAGAGAGGCAGCGCGGCAACCCCCGGTCCGGCCCCGACGCGCCCGGCAGCGCTCGGGGATGGGGCCGGCCGGGCCCCGGCGGCCCCCGGCGCCCGCCGGAGCTGCCGCCGCTCCCCGCCGCTACCGGGGCTGAGGGCCCGCCGCGCCCGGCCCTGCCATGGCTGCGTGCGGCTGTAACGCGCTGCTGGCCGCGGCCAGGGCCAGGTGAGCCCGCGCGGGGTCGGACGGGCCGGGGGGGGTTCGGAGCTTTCATCCATTCCCCGTTAAAGCGGCTCCGGGAGTGGCGGCGGGGCTGCCCCGTCAGGGAGGGCACAGCACGGCTGGTCGGTGCTGCAGCCGGTGCTGGGGGATCGGGCTGTCAGCACAGAAGCGATTTCACGGGGCCGGTTTGGGTGTGATGCCTCGGTGTCGGGATCTCTGCTGCTCACAGTGACCCCGAGAAAAGTTCCAAAGTCTCTTTTCCCAGCCCGGCGCTTGAAGAAGGAGTCAGAGCTCTTCATTTCTCGGTCTCAAGGTTGTTTATTGCGTCTTATCTATAAAAAGTTTTCTCCTGCCCTGCCGAGGTCCGTCCAGCAGGACAGTTCCAGGCACTCTGCCTGCCCCGGGGCAGTGTTATCTTTTTATACTGAAAACTACATGTACAATATTTGCAATTACTTCCCAATCCCTATCACCTGTGTTAGACAGTGAGCTTCTACTCTAAACCAATCCAAAAGTGCCACCATCACAGCAGAAGGTGGAGGCCAAGAAGAGGAAGGAGAAAGGCTGGACACACCCAGATCCCTCCATCTTGCCTCTTGAACCCCCATTCTAAAAGCCCCAAAATCTACTTTTCCACCCTGTGATAACTTCACTGTTATTCTGCTTAACTGTTGTGGCTTGCAGGCCTTCATCTAAGGTTGGTAATTTTCTCCATGGGTCATAATCAAACCCACACAGGGGCATTTTGGGCTCTGTGCCAGGGTCTCTGAGCCCCCTGGCAGGGGTTTGGGCTGCTCAGGACAGCCAGAGGGATGTCCTGGGTTCTCGGCACTGGGTTTTCCTGCCCTGCTCTTACCCAAACACCTCTCCAGTTTCAGGGGCTCCCGTCTCCTGGCTCACTGCAGCTCTCCGTGCTCCCCAGCCGCTGCTCTGGTCCAGCTGGTGGATCCCCAGCTCAGCTGGAGCTGCAGGGACTCCCAAAGCCAGCCCTGGGCACGCCGAGCCTGCCTGCCCCGCTCTCCTGCCCACGCCCTGCACACCTGCAGCAGCTCCCAGCAGCAGCTGCCAGGGGAGCCCCATGGAAAACCCAGGAATCAGGGGGGTAAAGCTGCTAAAAGCCTGGCCAAGCAGGTGGTGGCTCCTGCAGGGAAGAAACCTTTGAGGCAGAGGGTCGTGGATGAGCTGAAGCATTACTACAGTGGGTTCCACCTGCTCTGGATCGACACCAAGGTGGCTGCCAGGATGGTGTGGAGGCTGCTGCACGGGCAGGTGCTCACCAGGAGGGAGAGGAGAAGGGTGAGTGCCACGGTGTTAGTGCTCAGGAGCTCAGAATTACAGAATAATTATGTGCAGGTGCTTTTATTTGGGTCAGGGGTACAGACCCAGATCTGACTCCAGCATGGTTTTCAGCTGAACATGTTTTATATCCTATCAATCCTATTAGTTACATATTATGTATGTCCTATTAATTACATATATACATATAAATATATCTTTATATCCTATTAATTACATATTAATTATTAAACTTACATTGTTCTATTGTATGCATTAATTTTATCCAAGCATGGATTTCTCATGATCCCCACAAACCCCTAACATAGTTTCTCATGATTCTTTAAACAATTATTATATTTAATCACATCTAAAAATTATATAATTTATCATATACTGACTGCACAGGTGCAGTTTCACACAGTCGAGCAAGGCATAATATGATATGATATGATATAATATAATATGATATGATATAATATAACATAATATAATATAAATAATACAATATATATAATATAATATAATACAATACATATAATACAATATATATAATACAATATAATATAATATAATATATAATATATATAATAGTATAGAATAGTATACAATAAAATAGAATAAAATATAATAGTATAGAATAAAATAGTATAGAATAGAACATAATAGTATATAATAGTATATAATATAATAGTATATAATAGTATATAATGTATAGTATATATTATTAATTATATAATATATATAATTATAATAGCTAATATAAAATATCTAATCTAATATAATATATAGTGTAATATGTAATATGTTATGTATCATATAATGTTTAATATTATATGGTATATGATATGTAGTATGTAATAAATAATATATTATGAATTACATATTATATAATATCTAATCTAGCTTTTCCAAGGCCCACCTTTAACATTTCCCCAGGGCTTACTAAGCCTAATTTTCTTTCTAGCTCCCCGAATTTTCTATGATTTTAAAATCTTTTACTATCAACAACACCTGGATAAAGTGATGTGTTAAGAGGCTTAACCCCTTCTTTGGGCACACTTTGGTAATCCCTGCTGTGCTTTTCTCCCTGCAGCTGCTGAGAACTTGTGCAGATCTCTTCAGGCTGGTTCCCTTCCTGGTGTTTGTCATTGTTCCCTTCATGGAGTTTCTGTTACCCTTGTTCCTGAAGCTCTTCCCTGACATGCTGCCCTCCACGTTTGAGACGGAGTCAAAGAAGGTTTGTGGAGTGTCCCCAGCTCCTCAGAACATCTGGGCAGCTGTGCAGGGCTGCTGTTCCCTGCCTGTGCTGCCAGTGAGCATCACCCTCAGCCTCAGACATTCCCAGCTCATTCCTGGGCTGAGTGATATTACTGTCACATTTTCTGAAAAATCCTCTTTGCCCAGGATTTTCTCCTGGGAAGCTGAGAAGCCTCAGCTTCTCCTGTGTTTGCTGCTCTAGAATGTGGCCTGGAGATTGTTTATCCAACGTGTGAATTGTTTTAACTTAATGGCCAATCACAGCCAGGCTCTGAGTAGTCACAAGTTTTAATTATTCATTCTTGTTAAACCTTCTGTCTGTGTCCTTCCTTTAGTATAGTTTTAGTATAGCATTCATAACATAATTATAATATAATTACAATATAATGTAAATACAATACAATATAAATATAAGTGATATAAAAATATAATATCAATATAATATGAATAATATAATAATAAATGAGACTTCTAAGAGCATAGAGTCAAATTCTCATCTCTCACCTCATCCTGGGGACCCCTAAAAATTCAACAGAGTGGGACAGATGGAAGGCTCTGCTGCAGACAGGGATCAGGAGGAATGTGCACAGCAATTCCATTTTCTGCTTTATAACTTTGTATTTCCCAAATGAAGGAAGAGAAGCTGAAGAAGAAGTTGAATGCCAGGCTGGAGTTGGCCAAGTTCCTGAGGGAGACCATTACAGAGATGGCCAAAAGGAACAAGGCAGACACAGGAAAAGAGAAACAATTCTCCTTTTACCTGCACGAGGTAGGTTGGCAGCCATGGCACACACACACACCTTTAGGGCTGCTGGTGGGGCAGAGAGCAGGGGATTTGTACCAGGATTGTGGGCACAGAGCAGCTGTCAGGGGCTGTTCCCTGGCTGCCTCCCTGCCCACCCTGCTCAGGAATTCCCAGCCTGGCAGGGCACACCTTTCACCCCATGGAAATTCCAGTGGCTGCTCAATAACAGTTTCACTGTGACTTTGAACTGTGTCTCCAGCAAGGGCAGGAATTCCCCAGTGAGGAAGGGAAAGGAGGAGGTTCCAAGGTGGGGATCCTGCTCAGTTCAGGGCTGTTTGTGCCTTGCCTCAGCTCTGTCCCAGCCCTGCTCACAGGAATTCCCAGCCTGGCAGGGCACACATTTCACCCCATGGAAATTCCAGTGGCTGCTCAATAAGGGTTTCACTGTGACTTTTAATTGTGTCTCCAGCAGGGACAGGAATTCCCCAGTGAGGAGGGGAAGGAAGTTCCCAGCTCGGGATCCCACTCAGGGCTGTTTGTGCCTTGCCTTAGCTCTTGTGACTTCTAACTGTGAGGAGGGGAAGGAGGGGAGGCTCCCAGCTGAGGATCCCACTGTGTCCTGCTGTCTCCAGCAGGGACAGGAATTCTCCTGTGAGGAAGGGAAGAGGGGGAATGTTCCCATCTGGGGATCCCACTCAGCTCAGGGCTCTTTTTGCCTTCCCTCAGCTCTGTCCCAGCCCTGCTCACAGGAATTCCCAGCCTGGCAGGGCAAACCTTTCACCCCCTGGAAATTCCAGTGACCACTCAATAACAATTTCACTGTGACTTTGAACTGTGTCTCAGGCAAGGACAGGAATTCCCCAGTGAGGAAGGGAAAGGAGGAGGTTCCAAGGTGGGGATCCTGGTCAGTTCAGGGCTGTTTGTGCCTTGCCTCAACTCCTGTGACTTTTTAACTGTGAGGAGGCAAGGAGGGGAGGCTCCCAGCTGAGGATCCTGCTGTCTCCAGAAGGGACAGGAATACTCCTGTGAGGAAGGGAACAGGGGGAATGTTCCCAGCTGGGGATCCCACTCAGGGTTTTGTGTGTTCCCTCAGCTCTGTCCCAGCCCTGCTCACAGGAATTCCCAGCCTGGCAAGGCACACATTTCACCCCCTGGAAATTCCAGTGACTCAGTAACAATTTCACTGTGACTTTGAACTGTGAGGAAGGGGAAGGTGGGGAGCTTCCAGCTGGGGATCCCGCTCACCTCCGGGCTCTTTGTGCCTCCCCTCAGGTGCGTCCCAGCGGCCAGCAGCCCAGCACACAGGAGATTGTGCGTTTCTCCAAGCTCTTTGAGGATGAGCTGACCCTGGAGCACCTGGAGAGGCCCCAGCTGGTGGCTCTGTGCAAGCTGCTGGAGCTGCAGGCCCTGGGCACCAACAACCTGCTGCGCTTCCAGCTGCTGATGCGACTGCGCAGCATCAAGGCCGACGACGAGGTGGGTCTGCAGCAGCAGCTAGGAGCTGCCCACACCCCTCAGAACGGGGGAAATTGGTGTTGGTGAGAGTCAGATCCTCCCCAGGACACATCCCAGAAGAAAACAGAATGAGAGTTCACCTCCCTGCAGCCTTGCAGTCTTTGGGGAGCTGTAACGTATTACAGCGACCTGATGAGGTCGCTGGGGTGAGAGAAGGATGAGAATCTTGTTTCATGATCAGAAGGCTGGATTTATTGATATATGGTATATAATACATTATAACTATACTAAAAACAATAAGGAGAGAAGTTGCAGAGGCTGCTAACCTAAGAACAGAATAGAAAAGAATCTCCAAACAAGAGAGTTCTCTGTCACTGTGTTCCAGAGAGCTTGCCCTGTGATTGGCCCTTAATTGTACACATGGAACATGAACCAATCACAGGTGCATCCTATTGCATTCCACAGCAGCTGATAATCATTGTTTACATTCTCTTTCTGGGGCCTCAGCTTCCCAGAAGATGAACAAGCCCCAAAGAAAGAATTTCTATGAAAAAATGTCTGTGACAGTAACGGAGGGTGGCATTTCAGATATTGCCACTAGAACGTTTCCTTTTGGTCATGCTAATTTAGAAAAAAGGGATGCTTTGTGATGTGCAATGGAGTTATTTGGAAAATGGAACCAGTCTTACACGTGCAGAGTTAGTGGCCATAAGTTGCAGCAAGGGAAATTTCAACTCAATCAAGTGAGTGGGTAAACAGTGGAACAGGCTGTGAAATCCCCATCCCTAAAGAGGTTCAAAACACAAATACTGGACAATTTTGAGCAGGAGATTGAACTGGGGACCTCCACAAGTCCCTTCAGGTGCAGCAGGGTCCTGGCTTGCCCTGTGCTGGATGGGGATGTTGTGTTCATTGCAGATGATTGCCAAGGAAGGGGTCAGTGGCCTGAGCGTGGCGGAGCTGCAGAGCGCCTGCAGGGCCAGAGGGATGCGGTCAGTGGGGCTCTCTGAGGAGCAGCTGAAGGAGCAGCTGGGGCAGGTGAGTGTGCCCTGGCCTGGGCAGGTGTGAGATTCATCAGAGGACAGGCTCCAGGCAGTGCTGAGGTGCAGCAGGCACAGCTTCCTGAGAATTCATGCATGAATTTCAAGCTGGATCCTCACCCACAGAGCTGAGCTCTAAGGCATGAAGAGTCCAGATTATGTTCTAGACTAAACAGAAAAGCACCTTGCTCCTATCTGCCCCAGGTTCTATTTGAAGTGGGGGGTATTCCTAACTCTTCAGACCCATTTCTTCTCATGGTGGTAACTTAAAACTGTATTATCTTCACCCACAGAGCTGAGTTCTAAGGCATGAAGGATCCAGATTATGTCCTAGGCTAAAGAGAAAACCACCTTGCTCCTATCTGGTTTGAAGTGGGGGTATTCCTAACTCTTGAGACCCATTTCTTCTCATGATGGTAACTTAAACTGTATTATCCTCACCCAGAGAGCTGAGTTCTAAGGCATGAAGGGTCCAGGTTATGTCCTAGACTAAACAGAAAACCACCTTGCTCCTATCTGGCCCTGGTTTTGTTTGAAGTGGGGGGTATTCCTAACTCTTCAAACCCATTTCTTCTTATTATGGTAACTTAAAACTGTGTTATTCTTACCCACAGAGCTGAGCTCTAAGGCATGAAGGATCCAGATTATGTCCTAGACTAAACAGAAAACCACCTTGCTCCTATCTGGTTTGAAGTGGGGGTGTTCTTAACTCCTGAGACCCATTTCTTCTCATGATGGTAACTTAAACTGTATTATCCTCACCCAGAGAGCTGAGTTCTAAGGCATGAAGGATCCAGATTATGTCCTAGACCAAAGAGAAGCCCCTCACTTCACTTTTCCCCCATCTGGCCCTGGTTCTATTTGGTTATTCCTAACTTGTCAGATCCATTTCTTCTCATTATGGTAACTTAAAACTGTATTATCCAAACTCAAGATTGCTTTAAGGACAGAGTGTTGTATTAATAAATGCTCACATAGAGCCAATATGAAGCAATTTTTCCTTCTGTTTTCTTCCAACAGTGGCTGGATCTGCATTTAAAGGAGAACATTCCTTCTTCCCTCCTCCTGCTTTCCCGTGCCTTGTACTTAATAGATGTAAAGCCACAATCTGTTCCCATTCCACAGAACAAGGCAAGTGGTTGGAATAAAGCCCTTAGGTTAATAGCTCAACCATTATGCATTATAAAAATGAAGGACTTTGATAGAATCTTGTTTTCTGAGCCTGCAAGTGGACTGAAGTTGTGACTCTGTGTTCTTGAGCAGACAACTGATGCTGCTGGGATGACATCTGTGCTTGAAGGTCAGAAGACCCTCCGGGATCCTGCCCCTGTTGTACAGGGAAGAAAGGTTAGAAACAGCAGTCTGCAAGCAGGAAAACTTGCAGAATTGGGAATTGGGTGTGACCAAACCTTTCCAAAGCTGGACAAACCCAATGTTTGACAGCACAGCACAGAGCAGTGTGTTCTTGCACTGTGTGTTTTTCCCTGCAAGAGCCTCACAGTTCTGATTTGAGAGGCAAGGGGAGGGAGCAGGGATCTGCTGTGGCAGAGCTGGTGCTGTGCCTGGGAGCAGCTGGTTATTGAATGCCATGGTGCTGGCTCCCACCAAGGAAGAACTCAACCTCAACCTGAATTGCTTCAGGCCTCAGCCCAGGTACATCCAGCTCAGAGAAGCCAGTTAAAGAGGCCTTGTTTTGAGCCCTCTTAGTGAATTTGGGTTTGTTATCTGGGACAAAATGAGCCAAAATATTTGGAGTAAGAAAGCCAGAGCATATGGTTCTCAGCATCACACTGCAGTGAATTCCTTAGATTAGTCCCAGCTGATAAAAGCAGCAGCAGGAATCAAAGAATATTGTATCAACTGCCAGAAATATTTCCACATAGTTAAATTGTGCTGGGGAAACAATGGAAATGCCAGCGCAGCTTTCACAGAGTGAGCAGGGAACAGCCTTGTTAGGGCCTGGGGGGTTTGGGCCTTTCTGAGAGGGTTCTGTGACTTAACAGCTGCTTTTTCCTTAAAGACTGAAGAATTTGTGTCCCAGCCAACAGAGAAATTGCCATTCCCTGAAGCATCAGTGAAGCCTCCTCCCCCACGAGAGGTGAGCTTGTCAGAGTTCTTACACTTCCCAAAAGGGATTGTTCTTCACACAGCTTGCAGCCAAACCGAGGAAGTTTGGGGTGCAGGGTGCTGTGAATGCTGCTGGGCTCAGGGAGCAGCTGGAGAAACTGGATGAGAACTGCACAATACAAAGATACCACACATGGCAGAGAGCAGTCAAACTGGGGGGAATTACTGATATAGCCTTGTACTCTTCCTTAATAATCTGCCTTGGGTCACTGGGACAGACCAGCCTTCCCTTGGGGTCAGCAGGGTAAGAGCCACTTGGTATCTGTAAAAATATTTCTGCAGTGATTGTCTTTGTTTTGCCCATTTTCTTTCTGGGAATATTTGATTTCAATTTAGGTGCTTATGTGCACATCTGGGATGCTCCTCAAGGCAAGTTTGGGAGTCCAGACAGATTCCTGTCTCCTCTAACCTGAGGAACTTTGCTCCTTATCAACTGTTCCTCTCCAGAGCAGCTTCCCATGCTAAATGGGAAAACACCTTCAGAAAAGATTATGAATTTCAAGAATTTCTACTGCCTAAAATCTGCATTTTTCTTTTGCCCCTAGACCAAAATGGAAGCATCCCAGAGCAGCAAGGCTGGTGCCAATGGAGTCTAATGTGGAGGCAGCACTGGGAGGAAGCAGCTTCCATCTCCACACCTGCAAAGGGAGCAGGGGTTTCCCAGGAGGCTGCTCTACACAAGGAGGGCAGTAGCCCTCAGGGGCCTCTCTCTCTGTCCCAAGCTTGTTAGCAACTAGGCCACTGCTGTCTGGATGGCCCCAGACATCTCTTTTGTGCTGGATCCTTGCCCTGCTACTTTTAACTTATGGTGTAAATATGTTAATAATGGTGCTGCTGTCTGTGCTGTTCCTGAGCAGGTGTTTGTGCTTAGCAAAGGCAGCTTTTCATGTTAGAATGGCCTGTGCACAGAGCAAGCTGGGCTGGGCTCCAGCAGAGCCTGTTCTGCAGTGTGAAATCCTCTGCAGGAGCATCCCCACACAGCCAGGGCCAGCAGCTTGTCCTGAGGGTCACAGCTCAGGCTCTTGGTGCTGTTTGGGTGTTTTAGTCACTGATCAGCCCACAGCAAGCCATGTGGCCGCAGTTTAACTGAGGAGGTGGCCGCAGGGAGGGAGGGAGCAGCACTTGGTGCTGTTGCATTGGTCAGAAGGGCTTCAGGCCCTGCTGGACAGGAGCAGCCTCAGCTGGGAGTGTGGGAGCTGTGCAGGTGCCACACACTGTGACAGAATCTGACTTGCACTTTCAGGATCCCTCTGGGTCACAAGAGGGAACAACCTGGACCAGCACACCTCTCCCAAGGGTGGAGCTTTGGATAATCCTCACCAGGCTCAGAACACACACCAAGTGCTCTCCACACCTGCAGAGTGACTCCTCACATGCTCAGTTTTTGCCAGACTCTCAGAGGATTCTGAAAAGCTGTTTTTAGCATTTGTTAAAATTTTTTACTCTGTCCTATGTAAATACTGAGAAATTACTCACATTATGGATTTTAAATATGTATATATTTATACTTACTGTAAAATTAGATTTGGTGCTAAGTAGGAATGAAATGTCTCTTCCAGAGTCAGCCAGCCTTTAGAACAACCCGACTGAGAGCCAGTTCTCCAAGCTCAGGTAGGAGCAGCACTTTAAACCCAAGGCCTCAGGCTCCTGCAGCACCACAGAGCCAGCTGTCAGGTGTCCTGTGTCCTTAGCTCTGTCCCTGAGCCTCTCCTTGTTCACCCAGCCCGTCCACAGTGCTGGATCTGTGTCTAATAAATGGAACAAATGTTGTTTCAATAAAATAACACCTTGCTGTGGAGTTGTGAGCATGTTCACGGGGGTCTGAGGGTGAGGGAAGAGACGAGGATCTGACTCCGTGTTTCAGAAGGCTTGATTGATTATTTTATGATATATATTACATTAAAACTATACCTTAAACTGGGGATGTCACACTGCCACCCTAAACTGGGATATTCACAATGCCTCCCTAACTGGGGATTGTGGTGGTGTTCACAGGGGTCTGAGGATGAGGGAAGAGATGAGGATCTGACTCCATGTTTCAGAAGGCTTGATTTATTATTTTATTATATATATTACATTAAAACTATACTAAAAGAATAGAAGAAAGGATTTCATCAGAAGGCTAAGCTAAAAATAGAAAGGAATGAATAACAAAGGTTTGTGGCTCGGACAGAGAGCCTGAGCCAGCTGGCTGTGATTGGCCATTAATTAGAAACAACCACATGAGACCGATCCTAGATGCACCTGTTGCATTCCACAGCAGCAGATAATCAATGTTTATATTTTGTTCCTGAGGCCTCCCAGCTTCTCAGGAGGAAAAATGCTAAGGAAGGGATTTTCCATAAAAGTTGTCTGTGCCATGGAGTCACTGCTGCCTCTTAGCGCCACACTGAGGGAAGGCATCTCCCCCCTCCTGCTGTTCCAGCCCGGGGCTGCTCCGCTCCCAAACCCGCCTGGGTTTCTCTGGAACCCCGGGGAGGTTTGGGGTGAGATGATCAGGTAATGGCTGTGCCTGCTCCGAGGGCTCAGCCCCTGCTCCGGGCGGAGGGAGAGGAGGAGGCTGGGCGGGATGAAGGCAGAGCCAGCCAGCACATTCCTCTGCTAAGAGGTTTCACAGATGGAGCGAGCAGAGGGGCTGGCAGGGAGCCCGGGCATCACCTGGGCACTGCCCTGCTGTGGGTGAGCTCTGGGTGGGCTCTGGTGCCTCCCACATCCCCATCCTCCATCCGTGCACCACCACATCACACTGGTGTGTGTGCCAGGCCTCATGTGTCCTGTGTTTTCAATTTAGAAAGGTCTGGAAGCTGGGACTCTATTTTCCTTGGATGTCCTGCAGTGACCACCACCTCTGTTCAGCCTGAAGTGAGCACAGGCTGTGCCAACCTTCATCTTCCCAGGGCAGCCAGCCTGAGGCAGGCAGAGCAAGAGAGACCCTTTCCACACCTCTGAACAAACCCATTTTCAGATCAAAAACCAGCCAGCTTTTTTTCTTAGCTTCATTTGGGGACGTGCCCACTCTCAGCTCTGCCTGGCATGTGGGGACCCCTGGCACCTTCCCAGGACCCAGAACCCTGCAGAGGGGAGAGACAAGCAGCAATTCTGCTGCATGACCTTCCAAGCAAGGGGAGGAAACGACCCCCGTGGAGCCCCATAAATCACAGGATTCTGTTCTGCAGCGCCGGGCAAATGAAACTCTGCAGAGATCCAAGGCCGTGTGTGCTTTGGCGTGGGGAGAGCTTTTCCAGCCGTGCCGCTGCCAAACACCTTCCAGTCTCCCCTCAGCCTGGAGAAACAGCTTCTTGCCTGTTTATCCTTCCCCAGGGCATCCTCACACTCTTTCTGCTCCAGCCCCGAGCTGGGTGTTGTGGTGCCCGTGTCCGTCCCAGCGCTGTTTTGGGGAGAGAAACAAAATTCCACAACTTTTGTGAAAGTTGTAAAGCTGGTGTGTTTATTACAGCGCTGGACTCATGTGGGAATCCAGTCTGGGAACTCCAGATCCCCTTTTAACTCCTCTCAAATATATATACATGGAATTTCACCATAAGTTCATACATATTCATTCCACTGATTTCACTTGCCACTAATTGTGACCATGTTCACAGGGGTCTGAGGATGAGGGAAGAGATGAGGATCTGACTCCATGTCTCAGAAGGCTTGACTTATTATTTTATGATATATATTACATTAAAACTATACTAAAAGAATAGAAGAAAGGATTTCGTCAGAAGGCCAGCTAAGAATAGAATAGAATAGGAAGGAATGATAACAAAGGCTTGTGGCTCGGGCTCTCTGTCCGAGCCAGCTGACTGTGATTGGCCATTAATTAGAAACAACCCCATGAGACCAATCCCAGATGCACCTGTTGCATTCCACAGCAGCAGATAATCAATGTTTACATTTTGTTTCTGAGGCCTCTCAGTTTCTCAGGAGGAAAAATCCTAAGGAAAGGATTTTTCATAAAAAGATGTCTGTGCCAACTAATTCTTCAGAAAGAACTCCTGGGCCAGGTTGTCCTGCTCTGTCTGCCCCCCTTATTTCTTGTCCGAGAGAGCAGGCAGTCACACTAAACAGCAAACTACAGACTTAAAGATGTACATTCCACCTGAATCAAAATGCATTTCTACCCTGGAAAATTCCCACTCTGCCTCAGCACCTTGCCCTGGAGCAGGGAATTTCTGCTGGATTTCTGCTGGATGCTGCTCCTGTGGCAGCGCCAGCCCCGGGCTTTGCGTCAGCCTCTTCCCCTGAAAGCTGCAGGGAAAAGATGCCCCGGTCAGCACTTTTGGAGGACATTAGCATTCAGAGGGAAAGGCGGTGATTTAGTGCGGCCCAAGCACAACAAAGGCTGGGATTTACAGCTCCCGGATCCCAGCAGCACATTCCTGCAGCCCTCCTGCCTCTGCTGCGAACGTGTAACAAAGGAGAGGAGCCTGAAATCGAGTGGCGACAAGGGCTCTGCTGTCGAACCTTGCATGGAGCAGGACGGGGTGCAGGTGGCATTGTCCCCAAGGTGTCCCCAGGGCTGGTCCCACCCTGCTTCTCCTTGTGGTGCCCAGGACAGCGGGGTTTGGGGGAGCTGTGTGCCCCAGCTGCAGCTGCACACATCTGGCTCTGGCTCTGCTCAGCTCTGGGGGGCTGGAGCTGCACATTCCTGAGCCTTTTTGGAGCGTCCCTTGGCGCGCTTTGGAGCACCTTGTATCCCTCAGAACATCCCTGTATCCTTGAGAACATCCTTGAGCCCCTTGGAGCATCCCTGGGCCCCTTGGAGCATCCTGCTGACCCCACAGCTGCCTGGGACACGGGGATAGGGGTGGCTGAGGGGTCTGGGGGATCACTCCCCACAACCCCTGAGCCTGCTCTGAGCTGTGGGAGCTGCGCCGAGGTGCAGTGGCACAGGAGGGGCAGTGGCACAGGAGGGGCAGTGGCACAGGAGGTCCCTGCAGGGCTGGCAGGATGACAAAGCCCAGCTGGGCCCTGGCAGAGCAGCCACAGCCTGGGCTGGGGCCAGGAGATTGTCCCTGGGCTGGGGCCAGGAGATTGTCCCGGCCCTGCACAGCCTGAGGGCTTTAAAAGGAGAGAATGAGGAGGAGGAGGAGTGCAGAAGACAAAGGATGCTGTGAGAGCCAAGCACTCAGCAGGCACCGGTGCCCAGCACACCCCACCCGCCCAGGGGATCCTCAGGGCAGCACCTTCAGCTCCTCCATGGCCCTAGAGCCATTTCCCAAGGGATCCTGCCCCATCTCCATCCTCAGCACAGAGCTTGGTGCTGGGCAGGGCTGCAGGGACCCAGCTGGGGGGTGCTCTGGTCCTGGGTGGGACCTGTGGGGCGCTGAGGTCACTTTTGGGGTATCCCCACCTCCCATATTGCCCACATGGACAGGATGGCTTAGCAGGAAAAGCAGAAAGGAGCTGAACCTTCCTGCTGGGCTCCAGCATTCAGGCAGCCCTGTGCCATCAGCCTCTGTGGCTTCTGCTGGGCAGCACCCTGAGGACCCTCCATGCTGTGTCCCCATGTCCCCATGGTGTACAGGGGGCACCCAGCTGCATGTGCCCCTTCCCCAGCCTGGCAGGGAGCACCAGGTGGGTGTTTATTTGCTGGGCACCAGCCAGGACAGCACCCTGGGGACCCTCCATGCTGTGTCCCCATGGAATACAGGGGACATCCAGCTGCATGTGCCCCTTCTGCAGCCCAGCAAGGAGCACCTGGCATCTTGTGGGTGATTTTTTTGGTGGGCACCAGCCAGGACAGCCCCTTGGGGACCCTCCATTTTGTGTCCCAATGTCCCCACGGTGTGCAGGAGGATGGTTTTGTGCTGGGCATCAGCCAGAACAGCACCCCAGGGACCCTCCATGCTGTGTCCCCATGGAATTCAGGGGGCACTCAGATGTATGTGCCTCTTCCCCAGCCTGGCAGGGAGCACCCCAGGGACCCTCCATGCTGTGTCCCCATGTCCCCATGGAATTCAGGGGGCACCCAGCTGCATGTGCCCCTTCCCCAGCCTGGCAGGGAGCACCAGGCAGTTGGTGGGTGATTTTTTGGTGGGCACCAGCCAGGGCAGCACCCTGGGAACCCTCCATGCTGTGTCCCCATGGAATTTAGGGGGCACCCACCTTCATGTGCCCCTTCCCCAGCCCTGCAGGCAGCATCACCAGGCAGCTCTGCTGCAGCTGCTCTGCTTATTATCATATTTAATTGCCCTCCTGGTAACCCCAGGAAATGAGCAGGAGCCGGTTTGGGATGATGTAAACACCAACTCCAGCTCTCTCCCTGTGCCAAGAGAGCTGTGATTTATGCAATTTATGTGATTTCTGTGATTTATGGAGCCCCCCAGCCCTGCCCCCAGCCTGGGCTGCCACTTTAATCCAGGCCCGCAAATTCAACATAAATCACTTGATTAAAAGCTCTACTTAATTTAAAGGGGGTGGGCAGAGTGCAGCTGATCGATTTAATTCACACCGGGAAACAGCAACACGCAGACACATTTAAAAAGGCTTAAAAAGGCTGGGGAGGCCCCGGTGATGCTGCAGCTGCCTCAGTTTAACCCTTTAAGGGCTCTCAGCCTCCCTCCATGCATGGCCAGCCACCTCCCACGCCCCTGTGGGGTGCAGGGTGCTGGAAGATCTTTATGGGAAGCACTGGAGCCATGAAAAAGCAGAATTTTCCCCAAAATCAGCTGAGCATCACCTTCCCCAAGTGCTGCCTGTTTTTGTTTTTGTTTTTGTTTTAAAGCACTGGAGCCATGAAAAAACCCCAGAATTCCCACAAAAGCAGCTGAGCATCATCTTCCCAAAGTGCTGCCTGTTGTTTTTGGTTTTTTTTTAATGGTACTGGAGCCATGAAAAACCAGAATTCCCCCCAAATCAGCTGAGCATCACCTTCCCAAAGTGCTGCCTGCTTTTGTTTTATTTTTTTAAAGCACTGGAGCCATGAAAAACCAGAATTCCCCCCAAATCAGCTGAGCATCATCTTCCTAAAGTGCTGCCTGTTGTTTTTGGTTTTTTTTAATGGTACTGGAGCCATGAAAAAACAGAATTCCCCCCACAAGCAGCTGACCATCACCTTCCCAAAGTGCTGCCTGTTTTTTGGGTTTTTTTTGGGTTTTTTTGTGGTACTGCAGCCATGAAAAACCAGAATTCCCCCAGAAGCAGCTGGAGCATCATCTTCCCAAAGTGCTGCCTGTTTTTGTTTTCTTTTTAAAGCATTTGAGCCATGAAAAACCAGAATTCCCTCAAAAGCAGCCTAATATCACCTTCCCAAAGTGCTGCCTGTTTTTGTTTTTGTTTTTGTTTTAAAGCACTGGAGCCATGAAAAAAACCCCAGAATCCCCACAAAGCAGCTCAGCATCACATTCCCAAAGTGCTGCCTGGTTTTTGGGGTTTTTTGGGGTTTTTTTGTGGTACTGCAGCCATGAAAAAACAGAATTTCCCCAAAAGCAGCTGAATATCACCTTCCCAAAGCGCTGCCTGGATGAGCTTGAGCCCCCTCCCCGTCACCCCCCCAGCCCAAGGGAGATGTGAGGGTGGTTAAAGTCTTTTTAATAATTACAAGAATTCCAGGATTTCATTACAGAAAAGAGTTGACAACAAATAACATTTCTCCGTACAAAGGCAAAATAAACTTTTCAAGTAACAGCGGCCCGGCGGGGAGGGGTTTCAGGGGGGGTGCCCTGTCTGTCTGTCTGTCTGTCCGTCCGTCCGTGGGACTGCAGGGGGAGCACAGAGCTGGGCTGAGGGTGTGAGGATGCTCCCAGGTAAGGCACTGGCAGGGGATGCCCGGGCACGGTGGGGTTGGCACCGAGCTGGGCACTGCCCAGAGCTCCCCCCAGGCACGTAATGACAACAGATTCCCAAAAGGCATCATCGACACGTTATTATTATTATTATTATTATTATTATTGTTTAATACAACCCCATATAAAACTGAAGCAGCAGCAGCAAATCCTTATCGAGGGACCTAAACTGAAATAGGTTTAGAACATAATTTAAAAAAATAAAACCAGCAAAAATAGCAAAATATATGACTTTTTTTTTTTTTTTTTTTTTTTAATATATATATATATATATAGCAACTGATATCTACCAGCCACTAGTACCTTCCTACCAAACTGGTATATCTCTGGTAACAACCCTTTTTAAAAAGACATGTAAATATATATTCATATTTATACATATTTTTTTTTTCGTTATGTACACGGGACTCTGGGTTTAGCACGGGTGGGTTCAGGCACCTCTGAGCAGCGCAGGGCTCCTGCCCTGGCAGTGCCAGGCCTGGCTCAGCAATGCCCACGGGTGATGGTCTGGGGGTCTGGGGGCATCCTGGGCACGGGGGGAGCCACACCATGAGGGTGCTGGCATGCTGAGGGTCCTGGCACATCAGGGAGGGTTACAGCACACCAGTGGGGCACCTGGCACACCAGTGAGGCTCCTGGCACATTGGTGAGGGTCCTGGCACACCAGTGATGGTTACAGAACACCAATGAAGCTCATGGCACACCAGTGAGGCTCCTGGCACACCAGTGAGGCTCCTGGCATACTGGTGAGGGTCCTGGCACATCAGGGAGGCTCCTGGCACACCAGTGATGGTTACAGAACACCAATGGGGCTCCTGGCACATTGGTGAGGCTCCTGGCACACCAGTGAGGCTCTCAGAACACCAGTTAGGGTCACAAAATGCCAATGAAGATCTTGGCACACTGTTGAGGGTCTCAGAACACCAGTGATACTCCTGGCACACCAGAGAGGATCTTAGAACACCAGTGAGGCTCCTGGCACACCAGTGAAGCTCACGGCACACCAGCGATGGTTACAGAACACCAGTGAGGCTCCTGGCACATTGGTGATGGTCCTGGCACACCAGTGATGGTTACAGAACACCAATGGGGCTCATGGCACACCAGTGAGACTCCCAGCACACCAGTGAAACCCCTGGCACACCAGTGAGGCTCTCGGCATGCCAGTGAGGCTCCTGGCACCCCAATGAGGTTCCTGGCACACCAGTGAGGCTCATGGCACACCAGTGAAGTTCCTGGCACAACAGTGAGGCTCATGGCACCTTAGTGATGGTCCTGGCACACCAGTGATGGTTACAGAACACCAATGAAGCCCCTGGCACACCAATGAAGCCTCTGGCATGCCAATGAAACCCCTGGCACACCAGTGAGAGTCCTGGCACACCAGTGAGGCTCCGGGCACACCAGCAAACCTCCTGGCACACCAGTGAGACTCCCAGCACACCAATGATGGTCCTGGCACACCAGTGATGGTCCTGGCACACCAGTGAAGCCCCTGGCACACCAGTGAGGCTCTCAGCACACCAGTGAAACCCCTGGCACACCAGTAAGGCCCCTGACACGCCAAGGTTCCCCCCCTGTGCAGCCACAGCAGCCAGGTGCTGCTCCCAGCTCCCCAGGTTCTCTTGGCACACCAGCCTGTGCCCCAGCAGGCTGTGCCAGCCCAGGATGCCTGGCTGGGCTCTTTGGCCACGCATTGCCCACGGGAGAGGATCTCAGCTCAGCCAGGTGGGGACTCTCCAGCACAGAATGACAGAAAAGAGGTTTAAAAACAGAAGGAGGAAAGGCCACGGAAACCTTGGAGCCTTTGGGCTGTGCAGAGCTGGCAGGAGGAGCTGGGTGGTGGTTTTGGTTATGTGAGATGCTACAGATGTCTCTGAACCCTTTCTGCACCAGGCTGTGCAGGCAGCGTCCATGGGCACGGCATGGCATGGCAGTGCCAGGCTCAGTGTCGCTTCAGTCCACCATTGCTGTGCTGAGGGGGCAGCTTGGGCAGGCAGGGCTCGTCGGGCAGCGGGTCGTGGGAGAACACCGAGTCCTCTCCTGAGGAGCACGTGGAGCTGCGCGTGGCCGGGAAGCCGGGGGAGTACTGGTCCAGGGGCAGGGACAGGTCCAGGTACTCCTGAGAGAGGGACAGACCCCGGAGATGGGATCAGGAAAGGATAGGGCAGCTCCCAGAGAGCCCCTCACCCAGGGGAGCACTGGTCCAGGGGCAGGGACAGGTCCAGGTACTCCTGAGAGGGACAGACCCCAGCGACAGGATCAGGAGGGGACAGGGCAGAGCCTCACCCAGGTGCCACCAGTGCCACCTCTCCTCCTGACCCTGATCCAGGGGCATGGACAGGTCCAGGCACTCCTGAGAGGGACAGACCCCGGAGATGGGATCAAGAAAGGACAGGGCAGCCCCCAGTGAGCCCCTCACCCAGGGGAGTACTGATCCAGGGCCATGGACAGGTCCAGGTACTCCTGCAGGGACAGACCCAGGGATGGGATCAGGAGGGGACGGGGCACAGCCTAACCCAGGTGCCACCAGTGCCACCTCTCCTATTGACCCTGGGAAGCCATGGACAGGTCCAGGCACTCCTGGAGGGACAAACCCCAATGACAGGTTCAGGAGGGGACAGGACAGCCCCCAGGGAGAGCCTCACTCAGGTGCCACCAGTGCCACCTCTCCTACTGACCCTGATCCAGGGGCATGGACAGGTCCAGGTACTCCTGAGAGGGACAGACCCCAACGACAGGATCAGGAGGGGACAGGACAGAGCCTCACCCAGGTGCCACCTCTCCTACTAACCCTGATCCAGAGTATGGACAAGTCCAGGTACTCCTGGCAGGGACAAACCCCAGGGACAGGATCAGGAGGGGACAGGGAGCCCCTGACTCAGGTGCCACCAGTGCCACCTCCCCTACTGACCCCAGGAAGCCATGGACAGGTCCAGGTACTCCTGGCAGGGACAAACCCCAGGGACAGGATCAGGAAAGGACAGGGCAGAGCCTCACCCAGGTGCCACCTCTCCTACTAACCCTGGGAAGCCATGGACACTCCTGGAGGGACAAACCCCAGGGATAAGCTCAGGAGGGGACAGGGCAGCCCCCCCTGACCCAGGTGCCACCTCTCCTACCTGGTTGGAGGTCATGGCCACGATCCTGTCCAGGTCCTCCACCAGCTGCTTGAAGGTGGGTCTCTGGGAGGGGACGGCGTGCCAGCAATCCCTCATCATCATGTACCTGTGAGGGCAGGGCAGGAAGGGGCTCAGCCTGGGGACCCCCAGCCACGGGAGCAGAGAAGCACCAGGAATGTGTGCCCAGCGTCCCTGTGCCCAGGCTGGACCATCAGGGAAGGTGCTACTCCAGGGTGATCCCCCATGTGCAAGGAAAGGGGAACCCTTCTCAATAATTGTGGGAGAGTGAGGAATACTAAAGATGTGACAAACACTTCATTCTTTTAGAAATGTGGCTAATTTTTGAGACATATATGCAGGACTATTGCTGGTTTTTACTTCTTGGGGCACACTTAGTGAAGCAAAAGTTTGCAAAAAATGGCGACAGGCATGATTACTTGTTTCACTTGTGTGAAGAGAAGCAAAAATTGCACTAGAGAACGTGTCTACTGAAACATGAATATTTTTAAATTCACTAAAGGAAGGGTATTTAGTGATGTCTGTTTGCTATAACTGCAGCCTTTGTAAACTTTGTGCTGCTCTTGTAGAAACAGGAGGTTGCACAAGCTGACAGGGCAAGTATTGATGATAGCCTTAGCCTGATTTTTGGAGATTTGAAACATTTCCACAAGTGCTTGCACCTTTTGGTGAAAAAAGGCATGACTCAGTTTTGCTTGTTTAAAAATGTTTGGCAAAGTGTTTGAAATAACCATTGTCAGTTTGTCCGCTCTCGTGTTCCTTTCCACTACAAATCCAGCAAGCGAAGAACGAGCTCTGATGTGAAAAACAAAATATGGATTAGTTCTACATTGCAAAGTTGTATAAAGACATGAAAGCCTGCTCTATCAACCCAGGGAGGAGGATGGACGCAGTCTGGGCTGGTTTCTGTGCTGGGATTCCTGTCCAGGGAGATGCTCATTATTGCAAATCTGGCTCACTGATGTTTTTGCAGGGCTGGGACTGTAACTCCCAACATCTGCCTGCCACCCTCCATGCCCCAGCCCACGTCCTGCACCCAGCAATGGCACTCAAACCCCTCTCCCCAACGCCACTCACAGCTCGTTGGTGCAGTTGCTGGGCTTGTCCATCCTGTGACCTTCCTTCAGCAGCTTGAAGAGCTCCTCAACGGGCACACCGGGGTAGGGGGACCCACCCAGGGTGAAAATCTCCCACAGCAGCACCCCAAAGGACCACCTGGGAACACAGGGCACATGCTGGGGCTCCAGGGTGCTGACACCCTGCTGGACCCCAGTGAGAGGCTGGTTTGCTGGGAGGAACAACCACCCACAGCTTCGATTCACTCTGCAGGATAAATGAGCCCCAGCACCAAAACATGTTCGGTTGGCTGGCGCAAATTGTAATTTCATTTAATCAAACCAAACCCATCCATGCATGTCCCCAGCAGGCCCTACTCACACATCACTCTGGTGGGTGTAGATTCTGTCAAAGAGAGCCTCAGGAGCCATCCACTTCACTGGCAGGCGACCCTGGAGCACAAAACCCACAAGGGCTGTGAGGGAAGCTGAGCCCTGCACGCCTGGGGCACTCCCAGCTCAGACTGGGGCACTCCCAGCTCAGACTGGGGTGTTCCCAGCTCAGACTGGGGCATTCCCAGCTCAGACTGGGGCACTCCCAGCTCAGACTGGGGCACTCCCAGCACAGACTGGGGAACTCCCAGCTCAGATTGGGGCACTCCCAGCACAGACTGGGGCACTCCCAGCTCAGACTGGGGCACTCCCAGCACAGACTGGGGAACTCCCAGCTCAGATTGGGGCACTCCCAGCACAGACTGGGGCACTCCCAGCTCAGATTGGGGCACTCCCAGCACAGACTGGGGCACTCCCAGCACAGACTGGGGAACTCCCAGCTCAGATTGGGGCACTCCCAGCTCAGACTGGGGCACTCCCAGCACAGACTGGGGCATTCCCACCTCAGACTGGGGCAATCCCAGCTCAGACTGGGGCACTCCCAGCACAGACTGCGGCACTCCCAGCTCAGACTGGGGCACTCCCAGCACAGACTGGGGCACTCCCAGCTCAGACTGGGGTGTTCCCAGCTCAGACTGGGGCATTCCCAGCACAGACTGGGGCACTCCCAGCTCAGACTGGGGCACTCCCAGCACAGACTGGGGCACTCCCAGCTCAGACTGGGGTGTTCCCAGCTCAGACTGGGGCACAGCACTCACATTTGTGGTCTTCTTGTAGTAATCGATGTGGTGGATGTCGCGGGCCAGCCCGAAGTCGGCGATCTTCATCACGTTGTCCTCCGTGACCAGCACGTTCCTGGCTGCCAGGTCCCTGTGGATGCACTGACCAAGCACAGGGATCTCAGAATTGGAGGGTTCCCCATCATGATGGGGTGTGTCACGGATATATTTTATGAAAAATCCTTTCATTAGGATCTTTTGAAATCCTTTCATTAGGGTTTGACCAAGCACAGGGCTCTCAGAACCAGAGGGTTCCCCACAATGGGACGTGTCACGGATATATTTTATGAAAAATCCTTTATCATTAGGATTTTTTTTCTCCTGAGAAGCCTCAGAAATTAAATGTAATCAATGGTTATCTGCTGCTGTGGAATGCAACAGGTGCATTTATGATTGGTCTCATGTGATTGTTTCTAATTAATGGCCAATCACAGTCAGCTGGCTTGGACTCTCTGGCCAGTCACAAGATTTTATTATCATTCCATTCCATTCCATTCCATTCCATTCCATTCCATTCCATTCCTTTCCTTTCCTTGCTAGCCTTCTGATAAAATCCTTTCTTCCATTATTTTAGCACAGTTTTAATATATAATTTTCTTTTAATATAATATATATCATAAAATAATAAATCAGCCTTCTGATGAAATATTTTCTCTATTCTTTTAGTATAGTTTTAAGATATTATATTATAATAATTATATTTTATATTATAGTAATTATATATTATTATATATTAATATATTATTACATTACATTACATTACATTATATTATATAATATATATTATATTATATATTTTAATATAATATATAAAATTACTATATTTATATATTATATTAATATAATATATATAATACATATATATAAAACATTAATATACGATATATAATACATATAATTTTATATATATATATATATATATATATATATATATATAAAAAAAAAAAAAATAAATCAACCTTCTGAAACATGGAGTCAAGATTCTCATCTCTTCCCTCATCCTGGGACCCTTGTGAGGGATGGGCAGGGAGGGAAGAGTGTTTGCTCCAGGCCCAGCTGCTGGGCTCCCCATCCCACCACAGCCTCCTGGGAGCTCCTCACCTTCTTGGAGGCCAGGTACTCCATGCCCCGTGCCACCTGGTAGGCACAGGAGACCAGGTCCTTGAAGGAGAGCTGCTCGTCGGGCACGCGGGCGGGGTTGTAGCAGTACTCCATGCCCGGGGGCCGCCGTGCCTGCAGGTACTCCCGCAGGTTGCCCTTGCTGGCGTATTCCACAATCACATAGAGCGGTCCTGAGGGGATGAGAACATGGAGCAGGGTGCCAGGAGAGCCCCTCTAGCTGAGGGGTGGCACAGGGGACAGCTCCTCCCCACTCACCGTCCTGCGTGCAGGCTCCCAGCAGGTTGATGATGTTCTTGTGCTTGCCGATCATCTTCATCATCTCCATCTCGGAGATGAGGTCAGACAAGTCCTTCTCTGTGGCGTCAGCTGAAGGGGAGGAGGCAGAACTTGGAGGGTGCACACTGCAGACCCCAGCCAGGGCTGCAGCATCATGCCAGTATAATTTTAATATATAATTTTCTTTTAATATAATATATAGATCATAAAATAATAAATCGGCCTTCTGAAACATGGAGTCAAGATTCTCATCTCTTCCCTCGTCCTGGGACCCCTGTGAACACCACCACAGGGAGGGAAGGGTGTGTGCCCCAGGCCCAGCTGCTGGGCGCCCCATCCCACCAAAACCCCCTTCGCCATCCCAGCACTGCACTCACAGTTCATTGGTGAGCTCTGAGTTTTGTGAGTAATTGCATCTTATAAATACTGACAGTTATCTCTATCTGGTATTGTATTAAGGGCTACTGCATCACTGAAAGTTTGGCTTTGCAAACTTTCTGAAAACTCCTCTCTCTTGCTTGCTAAAAATTTCACAGCATTGTTTTGCAAGAATAATTCGTTACCATCAGTTTCTTGTACAAACTGCAGTGTAGCCATGATATTTTCTGAAAAATCCTTTCTTTAGGATTATTTCTCCTGAGAAGCTGAGACGCCTCAGGAACAAAATTGTAAACATTGATTATCTGCTGCTGTGGGATGCAACAGGTGCATCTGTGATCGGTCTCGTGTGGTTGTTTCTAATTAATGGCCAATCACAGTCAGCTGGCTCGGACTCTCTGTCCAAGCCACAAACCTTTGTTATCATTCTTTCCTCTTCTATTCTTAGCCAGCCTTCTGATGAAATCCTTTCCTCTGTTCTTTTAGTATAGTTTTAATATAATATATATAATAAAATAATAAATCAAGTCTTCTGAAACATGGAGTCAGATCCTCGTCTCTTCCCTCATCTTAAGGCCCCGGCCAACACCACCACACTGCAGTTAGTTAATTACATTCTGTCCCCTTAAATTCCTTCTGTAGCATCATTTTGCTAAGCCAGTTTTGCTGCCACTTACACTTGAGCATCTTCACCGCCACTTTGGTCACTCGGTTGGGCTTGTCCTTGTCCAGGCCGATGGCTTCTGCCAGCACCACCTGCCCGAAACAGCCTTCTCCCAGGGGCTTGCCCAGGATCAGCCTGCAGGGAGAAGACCCCAAATGTTGGGGAAGATGAAACAGGAAAGCCTTATAAATATGATTGCCTGCCAAAAGATTTTGAGAATATGGAAACTATAAGCAAGATTGAAATGAAAGCAAGCTTTGAGATCCCTCAGTTACTGAACAACTGGAAAACAATGGTGTGGCTGGCTGAAGGTGATCCCCTTTTGATGGAACAACACCCTCTGCTTGCAGACAGCTCCAAGGCTCAGAGCAGACCCTGCTGGCTTGGCAGAAGGGGCCCAAAGAGGAGTTTTTAGGGTTTAAAATGTAACACAGTGTGGTAATGTAATGGTTCTTATAGGCTGTATGGAAATGCTGTAGGATTTGTATCTTGTGCTAGATTGGTTAGTGAGAATTATAATATTCAGCACAGAAGACGATTTATTGTATTGGAATGGGAACTTTGCTCTCTTACCCCTTTTACCCTCTCATCCTCTCTCCCCCTCTCTTCTCTCAGGCCTGCTCTGACCTGCTCCTGGCAGCTCCCAGCAGGGCCCTGCACTTGGCCCTTTGCAATAAACCCCAAATTCCATGACCAGAAGAAGATTTATTGTATTGTAATGGGAACCTTGCTCTCTCATCCTCTTTACCACTCTCTTTACCTCTCTTTCTCTCTCTCAGGCCTGCTCCGAGCTGTGCCTGGCAGCTCCCAGCAGGGCCCTGCACCCAGGCCCTTTGCCTCCTTGGTTATCCAGCAAGCCTGGCTCAGCAATTCTTTTCTTCTGTATCAAAACTGGCTTCCATCTCTATTCTTCCATCACACTCAACATTTAAAAATCTTTCTCCTAAGCACACACATCTGTGAGACTTTCTTGTCAAACTCTCATCCTCCCCAACCCTCACCTGTCCCGGGGCAGCTCCCAGCGCGGATCCTCGGGCAGCTCGTACTCGGAGACCCCGGCCAGCATGGGGGTGCCGCTGGAGGAGAGGCGGGAGGGCCTCACCAGCATCACCCCCGAGTTCATGGACGAGCTGGAGTCGGCTGACACCTGCAGGGGGATGTGGGTTACCTTCATGCAGTGCCCAGCCCGCGGCTGGCTGCCCCCGGGGTGGGGGGAATGGTGATGGGAGCATTGGTTCACCCTATGGAAGTGTGCTCCCTACGGATGGAGTGACAAAACTATCCTTTGTCCCCTTAAAGGAGTGACAAAACTATCCTCTGTTCCTTTAAAGGAGTGGCAAAACTATCCTCTGTCCCCTTAAAGGAGTGACAAAGCTATCCTCTGTTCCTTTAAAGGAGTGGCAAAACTAACCTTTGTATCCTTGAAGGAGTGACAACTGTCCCCTTAAAAAGGAAAGAAACCCAGAATTTTCTCTCCTCAATTAGGTAAAAAAGCCATCTCGCAGGACCTAGGGGACTTCACCTCAAACTTAAGGATACTACACTTAAGGATACCCAATTGCACAGAAGCCAAAAAGTCTTGTATAGGAATGTGCTCCCTGTTGACAGAGTGACAAAACTATTCTTTGTCCCCTTGGAGTGACAAAACTATCCCATGTACCCTTGAAGGAGTGACAAAACTATCCTCTGTACCTTCAAAAAGGAAATAAGCCCAGAAGTTTCTCTCCTCAATTAGGTGAAAATGGCATCTTATAGGTCAGGGGGACTTCACCTCAAATTTAAGGATAGCTAAATGGACAGAAGCCAAAAAGTCCTGCCTGGGCAATTTACTAGAAAAAGCAGTGAACAAAGAAACTAATTGATTTTATGGAGTGTTTTACCAAGAGCAAAGACCTCCTACACCTGGCTCGGGTTTTCTCTGTTTGTTATTTTGCCTTTTATTAAACCTTTTTGTTTCCAACACTGCACCAGAAGCCATCCTGCTGATTTTTATGCCTCCAAGGGTAGCTGAGCTATCTTGGGTGTGTTATAGACCTCTGAAAACTTATTAGACCTGGCTCGAGGAGGCTCCTATAACAACCCCTGCCCACCCTGCCTGTGTGCCCAGCAGTGCTGCTCCCCTCTGTGGGACTTTTAATTACTCTCCATCATGCTGCAGCCCAAAAATGCACAGCTTGGGAGCTCTCCCATCTCCTCCATGCCCTACTCAAACCTTGAACTGCTGTAAATCCTCCTGGTTCTCCTCATGAGCTCCATCAGGGAGGGACGAGGGGGAGCTGTGCAGCCTCCCCACCACCCTGCTGACTGTGCTGCCATCAGAAGCACAGCCAGGTGGGCACATGCAGCAGGGTGAGATGGTCCCAGATCATCCCATCCCTCCTCCCCCAGGTGCCCTGGGCTCCAGGAGAGGCAGTAGGTGCAAACAAACCCCCTCTCTACTTTCTGTTACCTGTCTGCGCAGGGGGATGCTCTTGGCCAGCTTGTGCACGGCCAGCTGGCTGTTGAAATCTGTCTTCTTGGTGGTGCTCTTCAGCTTGTAGATGATGATGGTCACCACCATGCAGGAGATGAGGAAGGCCCCGATGCAGTAGATGATGATCTCCAGGTAGAAGGGGGACGTCATCATGGCTGGGGTGTCTTCAATGGCTGGGTCAGCGTGAACAGGGGGGTTGTTAGCACCCACCAGGCCACAGGGAGTGGCACTGGGGAGCCCCTGGCTCGTCCCCAAGCTCAGTGGGGACATTGGTGCAGCAGGGCCTGGGGGCTGCCCCCCAAACCCTTTATGGGAAATTGTGCAAGCAGCTCCCAGCTCATCATCCCCAATGCCTCTGCCACCTCTGCAGGATGGTCAAATGGGACAGGTATATGAAGTGGGGGACAGGGCCTGGGTCACCCCACAGAGATGTGGCACCATGGGCACCTTTGGGGACAGGTTGTTTAAACTAAAAACTTAACAACTTTGTGAAAGTTGTAAAGCTGGTATGTTTATTACAGTGCTAGAAGCATGTGGAGATTATTCTCTTTAAAAGGCATGAGTACTTTTGGGAATTTCAGACTTTTTAAAATTTTAAATATATATATATATATAAAAATATATATATACACATATATATTTTTTCTTTTAAATATATATGCCTACAATTTTACAATAGGTTTAGCTATATTCATTTTTACGAATTTTGCATAACATTTGCTGTTAGTTCTTTATTAGAAAGAATTTTTAGGTCAGGTGTACTTGCTTTCATAGCAGTCTTTCTGTCTTTTTTTATCACTCTTTGTCTCTTTTTTTTTAATTCCTGTTTTTCACTGAACTAGTTTTTTTGAGCTTAGCTTTTTGCAGTCAGGCTCAATAGTTGTGTTTTCTAACTGGAGATTTAAGTTCAAAACGTGCATTTCGCTTAAATTAAAATGGATTTCTATTGTAGAAATTTTTTTGGAGAATTTTTTTTTTTTGGAGCATTTTTTTTTGGAGAATTTTTTCGGAGAATTTTTTTTTTTTTTTTTTTAGAGAATAAGTAAATTTTTTTTATTTAATGCAACGCAGCCAGGGGCACTCCAGTGGCAATGACCTGCTGGGGGAAGGGACCCACAGACCCTGCTTTGGTCGCTGATGGGGTTTTGGAGCCCTGAACAGCTCAGAGCCCATTCCATGTGCCCGGTCCATGGTGAATCAGGCAGGATGGGGCTGCCAGCCCCCCTTGTGCACCCCCAGAGAGCAGAACCTCAGAGAGAGGTGTGAGAGGCAGCTGAAGGTTCCTGCCCCAACCTCTGAGCACACCCGGCTGACAAAGCAGTGGCTGATAACTGGGAAAGTTTTGGCTGGGAAGCAACGAGCACACAGCACCCCAAAAGCTTTCCCCAAAAGCTGTTATCAGGCTTTGCTCCCTCATTGATAGCCAGCAGCAGCATCAATGGGGACGGGGCAGCCATCCCCACAGGGCAGGCACACACAGCAGTGACAGCCCCACACCACAGGGCAAGGCCAGGCTCTGGCAGGGAAGGGCAGCACTGCCAGCACCCCCAAACCCTCCCTGGACCCCCTGAATGGCAGCACTGGCCTGGCCTGGGGGTGTGAGACCGTCCTGCTCCAGTGCAGCCAGCCCTGGGTAAGTACCCCAGGTATGCATTGCCTGGGCCAGGGAGAGAGCAGGGGCAGACCCCAGCTGGGGTGGAGGGCGGCACAGAGCCAGGGGACACTGAGGACACTGCCACAGCTGCAGGGCAGCCCATGCTGACCCAGGGATTGGATTGGGATGTGCTCTCTCCCGGACCACAATGCATACCATGGAAAGGAGGGAGGAAAGAAGAGGAGTATATACCTTCGAGAACTGTCAACCATGCAGAGTGATGGGAGATCCCAATAGAATTACCCGCCAAACATGTATACTCCCCAGCATCCTCAAATGAGACATTCCTTAAGTGAAGCACTTCCATTTCTTTGTCTGTCGTGTTAACGCCAGCCGTCTGGAAGGGAAAAAATGGGAGCAAACAAAAAAAAAAACAAAAAAAAAAACGGAGAAGCAAACGACATGAGATCTTCTGGGAGGAGCCAGAGAGGAGGGAGAGCCCAGTCTCATTTGGCAGAGCCCCGGGGAGCAGACAGAGACCACTGCAGAGATGAGAGACCCTCGGGATGACCGCTCATCCCTGGCGACCTAGGGAGATGCTGTTAAACAAAACCCTCCACCAGACGGGGTGTCCTGCCCATCATCATGCTGGGGATGGGCTGCATGGAGAAATCACCTGGGCAGGGCTGGCTGGACAGGGAGGGGAGCACAGAGACAGGACACAGACAAGAGGATGGTGGCACAGACAGGGGATGCAGCACTGTGCCAGTCTGGGGTGCCTGGACTGGCATGATGGCAGCACCCTCATGTAGCTGTTGTATTAAGGGCTACTGCATCACTGAAAGTTTGGTTTTGCAGGTAAGATATAAACCTGAAAACTCATCTCTCTTGCTTGCTAAAGATCTCACAGCATTGTTGTGCAAGAATAATTCGTTACCATCAGTTTCTTGTATAAGCTGCAGAGTAGCCATGATATTTTATGAAAAATCCTTTCCTTAGGATTTTTTTCTCCTGAGAAGTTGGGAGGCCTCAGGAACAAAATTGTAAACATTGATTATCTGCTGCTGTGGAATGCAACAGGTGCATCTGTGATTGGTCTCATGTGGTTGTTTCTAATTAATGGCCAATCACAGTCAGCTGTCTTGGACTCTCTGTCCGAGCCACAAACCTTTGTTATCATTTTGTTATCATTCTTTCTCTTTCTATTTATCTTATTCTCTATTCTATTTATCTTAGCCAGCCTTCTGATGAAATCCTTTCTTCTATTCTTTTAGTATAGTTTTAAGGTAATATATATCATAAAATAATAAATCAAGCCTTCTGAAACATGGAGTCAGATCCTTGTCTCTTCCCTCATCCTGAGACCCGTGCAAACACCGTCGCACCCTCAGTTATCATTCTTTTTCATTAACCCTTTGTTATCATCATTTTTCTATTCTTAGAAAAGAACAGCTAGCCTTTTTTATCATTCTTTTTCCATTCTTAGCCAGCCCTCTGATCCTAAGACACCAGCACACCCTTAGAGACCCAGGTTCACTGGTGCCAGGCTGTCACTACAGGACACAAAACAACACGAGCGCACACACCGCTGCTCTCAAGCTGAAGAAAAGGGAAGTTTATTTTCTGTCTCTAACATTTATAGTTTTCTAAAAGTGACAGTGCATTGGAGGGTGAAAGTGCCACCTCTCCAATGACACTGGACAAACCAACAGTCCATCAAATTTCTCTTCTTCCATAAAAGAATGCAAAACAACAAGTTGTTTACAGAAAGCGTGTGAGAAAGTTTACTACACAATGTGAACATCAGAAGGCTTAGAAAATCTTAAAAAATCTTAAAAAAATCAGGGTGACAGCAGACCCAGCAGGTACCTGGTGTGTCATGACAGGGAGGACAGACACTGGGACACACACACACAGCACAGCCAGCCCCGCTGGGTATTTTTCCATGGTTGTTGCACCAGAAACAGCAGAAACAGGAGAGCCCAGAGTTTTGTCTCCACCGCCAGGCATTCCTCGTGTTACCTGTGGCCAGGGGCCTGGTGACAGTGAGCCACGCAGACTGGTTGGCCTCTCCAATATAATTGGAAACCTTACAAACATACTCCCCGCTCTCGGCCTCTGTCACATTGTACAGGGTCAGCACCTCCGCATCGGAGCTATTAATCCCCGAGTGCTGGAACAGACCAACAACAGCAGTCACACGGCTGTGCCCAGGAACCCCAGCGCCCTCAGGGCTGGCACAGGCTCTGCCAGCTCCCACAGGGGTGGGGGACACGGGGATGCACGCAGAGGGGCACAGGACGGAGGAGCAGGCAAAGGGATGGGGGGTAACTCTGCTCCCCCAGTCAGGAGAACAGCTGGGCTGCATGGAATCACTGAGTGGGGTGGAAGGGATGCTTAAAGACACCTTAAAGCACCTCCTGGCACAGCTGGAATGGTGCCCAGCGTGCCCACTGAGTGGCACTGCTGGGGTGCAGAGGGAGCTGCTCTGCCTGGGACCATGCAGGGCTCAGCTCCCAGCTCCAGAGCTGGGCTGGCTGCCTGGGACACCCACCCAGCCCTGTGCTGTGTGCCCTTGGGGCTCTAAATGCACTGGGACACCCACCCAGCCCTGTGCTGTGTGTCCTTGGGGCTCCAAAGGCACTGGGATAACACACCCAGCCCTGTGCTGTGTGCCCTTAGGGCTCCAAAGGCACTGGGATAACACACCCAGCCCTGTGCTGTGTGTCCTTGGGGCTCCAAAGGCACTGGGATAACACACCCAGCTCTGTGCTGTGTGCCCTTAGGGCTCCAAAGGCACCCCCAGCCCTATGCTCTGTGCCTTTAGGGCTCCAAAGGCACTGTGACACCCACCCAGCCCTGTGTTGTGTGCCCTTGGGGGTCCCAGTCCTGTGCTGTGTGTCCTTAGGGATCCAAAACCACTGGGATAACACATCCAGCCCTGTGCTGTGTGCCCTTGGGGCTCCAAAAGCACCAGGACAGCCCACCCAGCCCTATGCTCTGTGCCTTTAGGGCTCCAAAGGCACTGTGACACCCACCCAGCCCTGTGTTGTGTGCCCTTGGGGGTCCCAGTCCTGTGCTGTGTGTCCTTAGGGATCCAAAACCACTGGGATAACACATCCAGCCCTGTGCTGAGTGTCCTTACGGGTCCAAAGGCACTGGGACAGCACCCTCAGCCCCTTGCTGTGTTCCCTTAGGGCTCTAAAGGCACTGGGATAACACACCCAGGCCTGTGCTGAGTGCCCTTAGGGCCCCAAAGGCACCAGGACAGCAGACCCAGCCCCTTGCTGTGTGCTCTTAGGGCTCTAAAGGCACTGCAGAACCCACTCAGCCCTGTCCTGATTGCCCTTAGGGCTCCAAGGGCACAGCTGGCACACACAGCTGGCACACCCCCTGCTCCCTGCTGGTGATAGCTCTGGGCTCCAGCTGCCCCCAGGCTGGTCCCCAGCCCCAGGTGACTCTGGTGGCTGCCAATGCTCCTGCCCCAGGCACTGGGAGCCCTCAGAGCGTGGCTTTACCTTCAGGATCTGCACGTAGGGCAGGTTGTCAGGCCCGATCTTGCTGCCGTTCACCTCGATGTGCTTCAGCCACTGGATGTGGGGCTGGGGGTCGCTGTACACCTTGCACACAAACTCCACGTTGCTGCCCAGGGCCACTGTCTTGTTGGCAGGGAGCCCTGCCTGCAGGATGGGCCGGTGTGGGGAGCGCTCTGCGGGACCAGACATGTTTTATTTTATGAAAAATCACAGACAGATTTTATTTTAGTTTCTGAAAAATCCTTTTGGTAGGATCTTTTTCTCCTGATAAGCTGAGAGGCCTCAGGAACAAAATGTAAGCATTGGTTATCTGCTGCTGTGGAATGCAACAGGTTCATCTGTGATTGGTCTCATGTGGCTGTTTTTAACTAATGGCAAATCACAGTCAGCTGTGTCAGACTCTCTGAGAGTCACAAGATTTAATTATCATTCCATTTCATTCCTTGCAAGCCTTCTGATGAAATCCTTTCTTCTATTATTTTAGTATAGTTATAATATATCAATATAATATACTATACTATCATATACTATACTATACTATCATATACTATAATATAATATACTATAATACTATAATATACTATAATACTATAATATACTATAATACTATAATATACTACACTATCATATACTATAGTATACTATACTATACTATACTATACTATAACATAATGCAATATAATGCAATATAATGCAATATAATATACTATAATATACTATAATATAATATAATGTAATAGAATATAGTATAATACAATAATAATGTAATACAATATAATATTATAATAATGTAACGTAATGTAAATAGTATAATAATATATAATATAATAATTATATATATATATATACATATACATACATATATATATATATATATATATATATAACATAAAATAATAAATCAGCCTTCTGAAACATGGAGTCAAGATTCTCATCTCTTCCCTCATCCTGGGGCCCCTGTGAACACCACCACAATGGGACACCTTACAGTGGGGTTTGGGGTGCACCCTGCAGCCCCCCATGCCCAGGACCCCTGGCAGAGGCTGGCACCAATGCCCCCAACTCAGCATTAGTGTCCCCTCACCCAGGAGCCTCCTGCAGTGGGGTGACAGCATGCAGGATAGGGGACAGGTGAAACCCTTGTGGGACAGGGACATCAGCACCTCTTGGGCAGGGTGAGAGGTCAAACCAACCTACGGAGGGTCCTGGCTGCTCACAAAGGGGCTGCCACTGTGGTGAGTCAGCATTAACAAACTCCTTTGTTCCCCTCGCTGACTGTTCCCTTCAGTTTGCTCAGTGTAATCAAATTAAATCACATTTTTAATGGTTCATTTACTGGCATTTAGAGCAGCTCCACATGTGGAACTGCTCAGACCAGCCTTCCCAGCTGGGAATTATGGCTAATAAGGCCATTAGAAAAACTTTCTGTCCGGTCTATGAAATGATTTTCAGCACAATTAAAAACCCCCAGAACAGGGTGGGGTGAAGCTCTCGCTGCCCAGACTGGGGCAGGAGGCCATGGGGATGGTGAGGTAGCTCTTTCCATGGGATCAGAACCCACCCAAGCCTACAGGGGGGTGTTTGGGAGGGCTGAGGGTGTGGGGTGAGCCCCCAGCCCCTGCACTCACCCACAACATCCAGCTGGTACGTGTGGTTGATGCTGCCATACTTGTTCTCCACGATGCACGTGTAGTTGCCCTTATCAGATGGCACCACCGAGTCCATGATGATGCTCCAGGTGGCCTGGCGGACCTGGGGGGGACAGAGCCAGTTATGTGCAGCCTGCAGAACCCCAGGCCTGCTCGTGTTCAACCCCTGGCACGGGCAGGACATCAATCTCCCTTTGGGGTCACCTTTGTCCTTCCCTTCAGAGGGGCTGTGATTGCTGCCAGCTGTCCCAGGAGGGACAGGAGGCACAGAGCCAGCCCTGGCCACACAGAGCCAGCTGTGCTGAGCAGATGTTGTCCATGGGCTTGTAGGAACACCCTCCCTGGTGTGTGCAGGGAACAGAGCAGCTTTGTTCCTGCTGCAGGAGCTGCTTCCCTGGCTGGCCCTGGGGGTCAGACCCTGCTCCCCACGGCCAGTGGGGTCTGAGGAGGGCAGTGGGCAGCTGTAGCTGCACCCAGGGCACTCTGTGGGTGCTGCTGACCCAGTGATGTCCTTTGGGAGAGCCTCAGTGGCTCTGCTGGGCACTGCCAGGTCCCTCTGGCCATGGGGACTCTCCAAATTCCAGCTCTGTCACTGCCAGCTCCAGCTGTGGCTCCTCATGGCAAACTCTCCAAGAGCCCATCTGGAAACTGGGTTATTTCACAGCGCTGCATTTCCACAGTGCTGCACTGCCCAGGTCTCTCTGGCCACAGGGCTCTCCAAATTCCAGCCCTGTCACTGCCATCCCCAGCTGTGGCTCCTCATGGCAAACCCTCCCCGAGCCCAGCTGGAAACTGGGTTATTCCCACTGCTTATTTCAGCCCTGTTGGCACTGTGCTGTCACCAGCCACGTCCTGGCTGAGCCTGAGTCCCTGCAGGACACCCAGCCCAGAGCTGGCAGCTGTGATGGGGCCGCATTTCTGGCAGGAGCCCTGGCATGCAGGGCACGTCTGGAGCCGCTTGTGACACGTGGCACGTGGCCCAGGGGTGATGGTGGCTCAGGCTGCAGCTCCCAAAAACAGAGAGGTGGCAAAAAGGGGACAGTGCTGCCTTCTGGATGGGGAAAAGGAACTTGGGGATGCTGGTCTGGAGTTGTGAGAGGGGGAAAGCCAAGCTGCCATCCCAGCCAGGTGCCATCCTCAGCCTGGCTCTGCTCCTGCCCAGCTCAGGGAGCCCCTAAGATGGCCTGGAGCACAGACATGTTTTATGAAAAATCCTTTCCTTAAGATTTTTCCTCCTGAGAAGCTGGGAGGCCTCAGGAACAAAATGCAAACAATGGTTATCTGCTGCTGTGGAATGCAACAGGTGCATCTGTGATTGGTTTCATGGGGTTGTTTCTAATTAATGGCCAATCACAGTCAGTTGGCTTGGACTGTCTCAGTCAGTCAAAAATTTTATTATCATTCCTTTTCTATTCTTAGCTAGCCTTCTGATGAAATAATTTCTTCTATTCTTTTAGTATAATAATTAGTTAATAATAATTAGGTTTAATATAATAATAATATTATAATAATACAATAATGCAATAATATATACTATATGGTATATTATATAGTATATTATATATTATGTATAAATATGTATAATATACAATATTATATTATATTATATTATATTATATTATATTATATTATATTATAGTATAGTATAGTATATTATATATATTATATATAAAATTATATTTAATGATAACAAAATATATTATATTTATAGAATAATAGATAAATGTATATTATATATAAATATATATAATATATATATTTATATGATAATATATAAAAAGAGTATAATGATAATAATAATATTATAATAATGACATTTAATATAATATATATAATAAAATAATAAATCAACCCTTCTCAAACATGGAGGGAGTTCAGATCTCTCATTCCCCTGCCCCAGGAGCCCCCAGCCCTGCATTCCCCCCTCCCCAGCCATACCTTGTACCCCCCGATGCGATGGTCAGGTTTGAACTCTTTGCCGTTCTTCAGCCAGCGCAGGGTGGGGTTGGGGGTCCCGCTGGAGGGACATTTGAATTTCACTGTTTTGGCAGCAGGGACAGCGTGGAGCTTCTTCTCCATCTTCTCAGGATAGGTCCAGTAGGGAGCAATGGCCTCTGAGGAGCAGAGGGAGGGCTCAGCACGGCCAAACCCAGCAGCCTCCTGCTCCTGAGGCACCCAAGGATGCCCAGACAGGAATCAGGAGAGATGCCAGCAGGTAATGCCAGCTGAAGCAGGGAGGGGAATTCAATACATTGCAGATTTTTTAAATAGGCTAATTTTTTTTTAAATCCGTATCTTAATAGGTCTTACAATACCGGAATTATTTCTTTGCTTGCAGGTTTTTACATGGAAAAATATCTTAGCTTTTCACACTAATAAAGACATGGTTTTGTCCAAGCAATGAAATTGTGATTATTTCTTGTTTTGGAGCTCTGGGGCATCACCCAGAGACACAGGAGCCCTTTCCCTGTGGGCTGGATGCTCACCTAAAGCAGGGAGGGGAATTCAATACATTGCAAATTTTTTAAATAGGCTAATTTTTTTTTAAATCCATATCTTAATAGGTCTTACAATATAAGAATGATTTCTTTGTTTGCAAGTTTTTATGTAGAAAAAGATTTTAGCTTTTCAGACTAATAAAGGCTATTGGCTATTTCTTGTTTTGGAGCTCTGGGGCATCACCCAGAGACACAGGAGCCCTTTCCCTGTGAGCTGGATGCTCAGCTAAAGCAGGGAGGGGAATTCAATATGTTGCATATTTTTTAAATAGGCTCAATTTTTTAAATCCGTATCTTAATAGGTCTTACAATATCAGAATGATTTCTTTGCTTGCACATTTTGATGTGGGAAAATATTTTAGCTTTTCAGACTAATTTTGTCTAAGCAATGAAATTTTGGTTATTTCTTGTTTTGGAGCTCTGGGGCATCACCCAGACACACAGCAGCCCTTTCCCTGTGGGGTGGATGCTCAGCTGCACCAGCAGTGATCCCAATGTGACCCCAACCCAGCCCCGCTCTCCCCACCGTGCCCTTGACAATGCCAGGTGCCCAGGGCTGCTTTCCCCACCCCTGGGTGATGCCCATTTGTGCCCAGCCACGTACGGTTGGGTTTGGTGTTATCAGCCTCCTTCTCCTCCGACGAGGAATCATCTTCATCATCATCGTCCTCTGCAGAGGGCAGGGCGTCTGCAAGAGAGGGAACGGCCCTGATGAGTGCCTGGGTGTGTGAGGGGAGCTTTGGATAGAGCACAAAGGGTGGGTGGGTGGTGAGGGCTGTGCCCGGTGGCGCTGGTGCCCAACAGGGGCACAGGGATCCACAGAAATCCCACAGAAATCCCACAGAATCCCCAGCAGAGCCAGTGCCTGCAGCCATCCTGAAGAGATTTGCTGTCACAGGTGACTTTGCAGCTCCTCATTCCACATTTGGTGCCACCAACATCCACCAAGACCTGTGAGCACAGACACATCCCCACCTCGAGCATCCTCCCTCTCCAGCCTCACACTCCATCAACACCAGAGCAGAGCAGTCCCACCCAGTAAATGCCCCTTTTTGGGTGGTCCTGCAGCATCCAACCCTTCAGATAAAGGTGAGATGATTTCTGGCTGCTCCTCCTTGCCCTGCAGTGGCTCTGGGGTGACTCTGCAGCCCCCAACCCTGCAGATAAATATGAGATGATTTCTGATTTCTGACTGCTTCTCCGTACCCTGCAGTGGCTCTGCAGTCCCCAGTCCTTCAGATAAACATGAGATGATTTCTGGATGCTCCTCCCTGCCCTGCAGTGGCTCTGGGGCAGCCCTGCAGCCCCCTCAGATAAACATGAGATGATTTCTGGCTGGAAACTCTCCTGGGCACCCGCAAGGTGCAGGTCGGCCCTAAACTCACTGTGTGTGACCAGTGTGTGTGCAGGGACCTGCAGGGGTGTCCAGAAACGTGCAGAGGTGTGCAGAAATGTGCAGGGGCCTGCAGAATTGTGCAGAAATGTGCAGGGCCCTGCAGGGGTGTGTAGAACTGTGCAGAGGTGTGCAGAAATGTGCAGGAGACCTGCAGAGGAGTGCAGGGACCTGCAGAAGTGTGCAGAAGTGTACAGAAATGTACAGAAATGTGCAGGAACCTGTGGAAGAGTGCAGGGACCTGCAGGGGTGTGCAGAACTGTGCAGAACTGTGCAGAAGTGTACAGAAATGAGCAGGAACCTGCAGTGGAGTGCAGGGACCTGCAGGGGTGTGCACAAGTGTACACAAATGTGCAGAACTGTGCAGAGGTGTGCAGAAATGTGCAGGAACCTGCAGAAGAGTGCAGGGACCTGCAGGAATGCGCAGAAGTGTGCAGAACTGTGCAGGGACCTGCAGGGGTGTGCACAAGTGTGCAGAAATGTGCAGAACTGTGCAGAAATGTTCAGGAACCTGCAGAGGAACGCAGGGACCTGCAGGGGTGTGCAGAAGTGTGCACAAATGTACAGAAGTGTGCAGAAATGTGCAGGGACCTGCAGAGGAATGCAGGGACCTGCAGGGGTGTGCACAAGTGTGCAGAACTGTGCAGAGGTGTGCAGAAATGTGCAGGAACCTGCAGAGGAGTGCAGGGACCTGCAGGGATGTGCAGAACTGCGCAGAGGCTGCCTCCTCCTCGCTCCACAGCCCGGCCCCGTGGCTGCCCCGGCCCTGCTACGAACCTGAGACGTTGACGGAGAAGAAGGTGGTGTCGCTCCCCGAGGGGCTGTTGGTCATGCAGGCGTAGAGCCCCGAGTCCTCGGGCACCACGTCCCTGACCTCTACCTCGTCGCCGGTGATGCGCGTGCGGTTGTTCTCGGCCAGCTGCACGCCGTCCCTCACCCAGTTGATGCTCTGCACGTCGTCCCGCAGCCGGCAGCGCAGCTGGAGCAGCTCGCCGGGGTGGGCTGAGTACGACTCCACCTCCATTTTGGCTTTGGGCACAGCTGGAGGGGTCAGGGGAGAGGAGGGGAGAGAAAAAAAAAAAAAAGGAGAAAGGGATAGAGGCTGAAGGAAAACCATGCTGCTGCTGCTGCTGCTGCGGCCTGGTTAATGAGGCAACATGCACTGCTGGGATGCTTCCACTGCTGGGATATTCCAATTGCTGGGATGCTCCCACTGCTGGGACATTCCCACTGCAGGGACATTCTCATTGCTGGGATATTCCCACTGCAGGGATGCTCCCACTGCTGGGATGCAGATATTCCTGAGATATTCCCCTTGCTGGGATGCAGATATTCCTGAGATATTCCCACTGCAGGGATGCTCCCACTGCTGGGATGCAGATATTCCTGAGATATTCCCCTTGCTGGGATGCTCTCACTGCTGGGACACTCTCACTGCTGGGACGCTCCCACTGCTGGGATATTGCCACTGCTGGGATATTTCAACTGCAGGGACATTCCCACTGCTGGGATGCAGATATTCCTGAGATATTCCCACTGCTGGGATGCTCCCACTGCAGGGACATTCCCACTGCTGAAATGCAGATATTTTTGAGATATTCTCCCTGCTGGGACATTCCCACTGCTGGGACATTCTCATTACTGGGACGTTCCCACTGCTGGGACATTCCCATTGTTGGGATGCAGATATTCCTGAGATATTCCCATTGCTGGGACATTCCCATTGCTGGGACATTCCCACTGCTGGGATGCTCCCACTCCTGGGATGCAGATATTCCTGAGATATTCTCACTGCTGGGAGATTCCCATTGCTGTGATGCTCCCACTGCTGGGACATTCCCATTGCTGGGATGCAGATATTCCTGAGATATTCTCACTGCTGGGAGATTCCCATTGCTGTGATGCTCCCAGTGCTGGGATATTCCCATTGCTGGGAGATTCCCATTGCAGGGACATTCCCATTGCAGGGACATTCCCATTGCTGGGATATTCCCATTGCTGGGAGATTCCCATTGCAGGGACATTCCCATTGCAGGGACATTCCCACAGCTGGGACATTCCCTCTGGGGCACTGGGACCCCAGCACTCAGGGATGGATGGAGCCCATGGCAGCAGCAGAGCAGAGCAGAGGCCGAGAGCTCCCCAAGCAGCACCAAGGGCTCCCCTCTGCAGCAGGACCCAAAGCCCTCACCCTCCTCAGCCCTGATGGAGCCTGACAGGGCAGGGCATCCCCAGCAGGGGAGAAACAGGCAGCAGTGACACCCCAGTGCTGCTGCCTGGCAGGATCCGGCCTCAGAAGGATCCCAAACCCCTGCATGGCTCTGCCACCTCCTCGCAGGGCTCTCACCATCCCCAGCACCACAAGCAGGCAGCAAAGCAGGCCAGGGTCCCCCAGGGTCCCCATGGCACCAGGAGCGCCAGCCTGGTTAGAGCAGGGCACTGCAGGGGTGACAGCGCAGCAGAGCAGGCAGGGAGGGAGGGGACAGGGCAGCCCAGGCAGCTCTGGCCACGTGTGCCCATCCACAGCATCCAGGAGGGGAGCAGCACAAAGATCCTTTCTCTCCATCCTGTGTGACACCATGGCATCTCTCCCAGCCCTGAAATGTGCAGGGCTCTGTCCTCAAGTCCTGCCCTCCATGGTGGGTGGTGCACGAGCAGCTCTCCTGGCCCCAGGCTTGGGGAAGATGCTGCCTTCCAAATCACCTCTTCAAATTCCACAGCCCATGGAAGGGTCCAGGCTGCTCCAGCTCTGCAGAGGCTCCCTGTGATGATGATGAGGGTGGATTCAGTGTGATCATCATCCTAAACTGAGCTCTACAGGTTGGTGGGCACAACTCCAGAACCCAATTCTTCGGGAACCCGTTCACCTCTGCCTCCTCTTCCTCAACAATGTGTGTCTGGTTGTTTTGGATGCCATGGGATGCTGTGGGAGCTGCAGATGTTCCTCTCAGGGGCTGGAAAATCCCAATGCACACAGCAGAACCAGCCAGGTGATGCTCAAATTCCACTCCCCATGGAATGGTCCAGGCTGCTCCAGCTCTGCAGAGGCTCCCTGTGATGATGATGATGAGGGTGGATGCAGTGTGATCATCATCCTACACTGAGCTCTACAAGGTTGCTGGGCACAGCTCTTCAGGCACTCCTTCACCTCTGCCTCCTCTTCCTCAATAATGTGTGTCTGGTTGTTTTGGATGCCATGGGATGCTGTGGGAGCTGCAGATGTTCCTCTCAGGGGCTGGAAAATCCCAATGCACGCAGCAGAACCAGCCAGGAGATGTTCAAGCTTCACCCAGGATTTCTGAGTGCCCAGTGAACCAGAACACAAACACCTCTGCTCCCTGCTCTGCCCCCTGAGCAGCACAGAGCAGCTCAGCCCGGGCCAGAGCTGCAGAGTGGCACAGGGCTCGCTCCTCCCTGCTCCTCCCTGCTCCCAGCAGCCACTCTGAGCAGCCAAAAATGAAACCTTGGCTCTCCAGAGCTCTGCTTCACCGCACCGTGACCTGCACTTCACGTCCTGGCCGCTTCTCTTTGCCTTGGACTGATGAGAAGCTTCACGGGAAAAACATCCATGAGCGGCTCCAGAGCTTCTCCTCTTCCTTTTGCTCAGCACTTGAAGGAAAACAGTGGGATGGGGTGGAATTCCTTTGCTCAGTTGCTGTAATACCAATCCAGGGCTCCAGTTCATCCATCAGAGGTTACAAAACATTTTCATGTGGAAGGTGGGGAAGGGTCTTGCTTTGCAATCCTGTTTTTCCCTGATTTTTCCCCACAGGACAGGCACTTCTCACAGCTGATTTGTGTTCCAAGTGATCCATCACAGGCATCTCCAAAGGCTCCCAAAGCAGCAGTGACACCCCCTGAACCCCAGGGCTGGGTAACACCACATCCTCCTGCCCATCCCTCCTCACACAGAGCAACAAACAGCCATGAACACCCAGACCAGCCCGAGCCCAGTGCTGCAGCCACATCTGCTCTCATCTGCCCCTTCCCAGGCATCAGCAGCGTCCCTGTGGAACAGAACAGCCCTGCTGTGGTCGCTCCTCCCAGCCCTGAGCTCCACCTGCACCCCAAACTGCACCTGGGCAATGTGCAGAGGGGTCCTGGGCGTGGAGAAGGCCTTTGGAGGAGGGGAGATGTTGTGGTGTGTTTTTATTCTTTGTGATAGTTTTGTTTGCCTGTGTAATCCCTCTCCTTTGCTGAGATCATCCCCCAAATCCCCACCAAGTTTTGGGAGACCCCAGCCTGATGCCAGGGCTTGAGGAAGCAGCACTGCAGGTTCAGGAGGGTCCCTTGCAATGGCCACAGGTGCCTGGGTGTGCTGTGTGAGTGCCACTGCTCCTCCAGACCCCTCTGAAAGCTTCCAGACCCCTCCAGCCCCACTGGTTTGGATCAGCAGCATGGCTGGGGCACGGAGGTGGGAGGAGATGGAGGGAGAGGGGAGAGGAGGGCACAGTGGGTGTGCCTTTGGTCACCCATGGCATGAGAGGGGACACAGAGGGCACAGTGGAGCTGGCCCTTGGTCACTCACAGCACCAGAGGAGATGCAGGGACAGGGACATGGGGCAGGGACAGGGGACAGGGATATGGGGCAGGGACATGGGGCAAGAACAGGGTCATGGGACAGAGACAGGGATATGAAGCAGGGACATGGGGCAGCGACAGGGGGCATGGGACAGGGACATGGGGCAGAGACAGGGATATGAAGCAGGGACATGGGGCAGTGACAGGGGGCATGGGACAGGGACATGGGGCAGCCCTGGGACATGGAGCAGGGACAGGGACGCAGGGACAGGGACACAGGGCAGGGACAGGGAGCAAGGACAGGAACATGGGGCAGGGACAGGGAGCAAGGACAGGAACATGGGGCAGGGACAGGGACATGTACAGGGGACATGGGACAGCGACAGAGACACGGGACAGGGACACGGAGCAAGGATAGGGACATGGGGCAGCCCTGGGATATGGGGCAGGTACAGGAACATGATACAGGGACATGGGGCAGGGACAGGGATATGAAGCAGGGACATGGGGCAGCAACAGGGGGCATGGGGCAGGAACATGGGGCAGGGACACAGGGCAGGGACAGGGACATGGAGCAGGGACAGGGACGCAGGGACAGGGACACAGGGCAGGTACACAGGGCAGGGACAGGGAGCATGGGACAGGGACGTGAGGCAGCCCTGGGACACGGTGCAGTGACAGAGACACGGGGCAGGGACATGGGGCAGGTACAGGGACATGGGGCAGGGACACGAAGCAGGGACAGAGACACGGGGCAGGGACATGGGGCAGGGACAGGGACATGGGGCAGGGACATGGGGCAGCGACAGAGACACGGGGCAGGGACATGGGGCAGGGACAGGGACATGAAGCAGGGACACGGGGCAATAACAGGGTCATGGGGCAGCCCCACGTTCACAAGCTGCTCTCACCGTGCCCCCTCTCTCCGTGCTGCCCCCCAGGCTGGGCACACACCCCACAGCGCACCCTGCCAGCCCAGCCAGCCCCGGGCTGCGCTGGCCATGGGACGGTGACGGTGGTGGCAATAAAGGGGCCAACAAAGCGGCGCGGGGACAATGCGGGCGGGGGGCGCGGAGCAGCAGGCGCCGGTTGCCCTGGAGACCCCAGCGGGGCTTTCCAAAGGTATTTCCTGAAGAAAAAGCACACACATGCCCGGCAGCCCCACTAATCCCAACAGGAAGCGCTCACCGGGACCTGGGGATTGGCTTCTTTTTGATTTAAACAGCTCCGGGTCCCCCCAGCCCGGGGGCACGGCCCGAGGGGCAGCATCCCTGCCTTGTCACAGACATCTTCCATGAAAAATCCTTTCCTTAGCAATTTTCCTCCTGAGAAGCCTCAGGAGCAAAATGTAAACATTGATTATCTGCTGCTGTGGAACGCAACAGGTAGATCTGGGATTGGTCTCATAGAATTATTTCTAATTAATGGCCAATCACAGTCAGCTGGTTCAGACTCTCTGTCCGAGACACAAGCCTTTGTTATCATTCTTTCTCTTTCTATTCTTAGCCGGCCTTCTGATGAAATCCTTTCTTCTATTCTTTTAGTATAGTTTTAATGTAATATATATCATAAAATAATAAATCAAGCCTTCTGAAACATGGAGTCAGATCCTCATCTCTTCCCTCATCCTCAGACCCCTGTGAACATGCTCACATATCCTTTTCTTTTAATATAATATAATATATATAATAAAATAATAAATTAAGCCTTCTGAAACATGGAGTCAGACCTTCGTCTCTTCCCTCATCCCCAGGCCCCTGTGAACACGGTCCCACTGCGAATCCCTGGATCCAGGGCAAGGCTGCAGCAGGGAGATGCCACCAGATGGGCAGCACGAGGCACACGTGGCTCTCAGGGCACCCCCAGCCCCTCCTGTCCACATCCCCGGCTGCTCTCTCCAGGGAGAGGGGATTTATGTCCTGCTCCAGGCCCTGCCTGCACCGCAAATGAAGCAGCACTTAATTAACAGGCGCCTTGGGAGCTTGCAGAGCTGTCAGGACAAACCCACCCCTTTCCCCCCTTTCCCTGCCCTGGAGGCAGCAGCTTGGGGCACAGACACCTCTCCGTCATCACCCCTGGGCATGGCACACATGGGGGGCACAAGAGAACCCCCCCCCCCCAAATCGCAGTTTTGGGCTGGATTTGCCTGGTCCTGTCTCAATGCTGGAACTGAGCGCCCATTCCTGTGCCCACCTCCCTCCTGCACAGCCCCAGGCGGGGGCTTCACACTCAGGGACCCCCCCTGCTCCCCACAACCCAGGCTCTGGGTCTTTCCCAAAGACTCTAATGTATTTTTTTTGCTCCTCAATTAAGGGCTGGAGTGACAGCATCCGAGTGGAAAGGCGGGAGGAGGGAACGATGCAGGCTGGGAGGGGACGGCGTGTGATGCCCTGGAGGGCACAGCAGTGATGCCCTGGAGGGAACAGCCCTGGCAAACAGGACTGGGCAGCTGCAGCAGTGGGGTCTGGGGGTGCTGCTGGGCCCCCCGAGCTCCAGGAACAGCCCTGGGCTGCTGCCATCAACAGCAGAAGGGCAGGAGGCTGCAGGCTTGGCAGGGAATGCCTGGGCTGCTCCTGGGGCTCCAAATGGGATCCCCTGGGCTCTGGGTGGGAGACACCTGGAGCTGCAAGAACAAGGAGAGGGTGGGCAGCAGGGAAATGGGGAGGGGGACAGAGGGTCAGCAGTGCCCTGGGGAGCAGAGGGGACAACCCAAAGACCCTCGTGGGCTGAGCCTGACCCAACTGTTGGCTTCTACAGGGTGCAAAGCAAGACCCCCTGGAGGAGCTGGGGACAACAAAGCCCCGGGAGCCAGAGCCCCTGCTGGTCCCACAGATGGCCATGGGGGGGTTAAGCCTGCGGCCAGCTGGGCAGCCAGAGCCCTGGGAAATGGGGCAGCCCTCAGCCCCTGCCCCACGGGGAGGGGGCTGCAGCCCAATCCCCTGTGCTTTGGAGTGCAAACACACCCCTATAGGGGAGGGTTTGGGGTGCTCTGTGACCCAAGGCAGGACCCCCTGCCCCAGCACAATCTGCTGCACCCCCTATGAGGAGATGCCCGAGCAGCAGCTGGGACAATGGCAGACAAGGAGAGAGGAGGGAAAAAAACCCTTGGCAATTTTCTGCAGGTTTCTATTTAACCTGGAGACAAAGAGTGGCTTTGTGCGAGGGAGGGACGGAGGCTGCGCATGGAAATTTCTTGGCTTTTCCCCTTCACCGGGGTTTTTTTCACCACTCCAAATTTAGGTAACTATAAAAACGCACTAAATGGCCGTTAATGTTTTATTTGCTGCAGGTTTTTTGGTGCTGGGAGCTCCCAAAGTCCCTCTCACAGCACGGGGAAGGGTGGGCAGAGCTGAGCCCCCCTCCACGTGAGGCACAGGGCTGGCCGGCCGCGGGGGATTACTCCTCCCTGAGAAGGGAGCTTAGCTGCCTCAGAACCAGGAGTAAACTGAAACCCCATAAACATGCAGAACAAAGTCCTGGAAAGCTGCTGCCTCCAGCACCGAGCAGGGCCATGGGGGATGCTCCTGAGCGCCACGGGGAAGGACAGACACCTTGTCCCCCAGCATCCACACCCCTAGGGACCCCAAAACCCCTGAGGTGGGGTCAGAGCCTGCCCCTGAGGGATGCTGGTGGCTGCAGGTCCTGGCTGCAGGTCCTGGCCCAGCGCTGGCTCTTCCCATCCCACACGTCCTGCTGGGAACATTCTGTTCCCACCAGCCGGCTCCCGAGCCAAGGGACGGATCCTGCCCCAGCCGGGCTCCTGCTGTGGCACTAATTGGGCTGCCCTGGTGAGAACCGTGTCGGGAAATGTTTCCAGAGGTTATTGTTAGCCCTGGCATGAGGCTGGCAAGGAACCAGCTCCCTCCTCTCCAGCCTCTCCTCCTCCTCCTCCGCTGCCACCGCCAAACCCTCCAGGGCTCCTCACGCACCCCTGTGCTTCAGCAACCTGAACACCCCAACACTGTTCTCAGTGGGGCTGCAGGTGGTGCTCTGCTGGCAGCACAGAGCCATCCTCACCCCAAACACTGCCAGGAAACCTCTTCCAGGAAGAGCAATCTCCCGAGAAAAACATGTTTACCACTGTCAACCGCATTGTTTACAGATGCGGGGAGCAGGCACGCCAGTGGAAAAATCTCAGCAATGGAGCCTGGCAGTGGAGCTCTGCCCGGGCTCCTCTCTGGAGCTGCAGCTCCCCAGGGACCATGCACAGCTCTGGGGTGTCACCTCGCAGGGTGTGACCTGGCACCAGGTCCAGTCAGAAGTACCAACCCTGGCATCACCCAGCATCTCCCATGGGGCTGGGGCAGCTGCAGAGGGGGCACTTGCTGGCTGCCAGCTCCCACCCTGAGCCCTGAGGGGACCCCGGGGCACCTCACAGCGCTGTCCCCATGCTGGCCACACCGGCAATCTGCCTCCCAGGGCTCTGCTGGGGGGAAGGGGGAAGGGGGAGCGAGTCTTAAAAAGCAGAGCAGTGCCCACAGAGCAGACATTCTTGGGTAATTAGAACCAAAAGGAGCGAGTCGAGGTCCCGCTGCCGGCTCTGGTTATTCTCTGCCTCGCCGCGGCTCCGAGGCGCCGGAGCGGGGCTCTCTGCCAGGGCTGCCTCTGCCCAGGGCCAGGGGACCCCCTTGGCACTTCCCTGAGCCTTGGGGTGCCCCACACTCTGCTGGAACAGAGATTTGGACTGCACAAATCAGCCAGCCCCAGCTTTGAGCCCCCACTTTGGGCATTTCCAGCTGCGAGCTACACCAGAGGGTTTCTGTGGGGTGCATTCATCCCTAGCAGTGCCAGCTGGCAAAAGCTGAACCCAAGGTTCTGCCCAAGGACAGGGGAACCCCTTGGCCCATTCCTGAGCCTTGGGGTGCCCCACACTCTGCTGGAGCAGAGATCTGGGCTGCACAAATCAGCTTTGAGCCCCCACCTTGGGCATTTCCAGCTGGGAGCAACAGCGGAGGGTTTCTGTGGGGTGCATTCATCCCTAGCAGTGCCAGCTGGCAAAAGCTGAACCCAAGGTTCTGCCCAAGGACAGGGGACCCACTTGGCCCATCCCTGAGCTTTGGGGTGCCCCACATTCTGCTGGAGCAGAGATTTGGACTGCACAAACCAGCCAGCCCCAGCTTTGAGCCCCACTTCGGGCATTTCCAGCTGGGAGAAACATCGGAGCATCCCGAGGGTTTCTGCGGGGTGCATTCATCCCTAGCATTGCCAGCTGGAAAAAGCTGAACCAGCACCTTGCACCCAAACCTTCACCCCCAGTAGTGAGCCCAGGGTCACCCCAGTGTGGCCAAGAGGGTGGGAGCAGCCTCACACACACCCCGGGTCACAGACTGTCACAGGGAGTGACCCAGCAGGGGACACAGCCCCCAGGGCTCTGCACCCTCCTCCAAACCAACAGGTCAGGGTTTGCCACAATTTTCTCCAGGTTTAAAATGTCCCCAGGCACTGCTGTGCCCACACAAACCACTCTGGGGACAACACACGCCATGTCCCCAGAGGCACCAGCTCCCAGGTGACACCACCGTGGCACTGGGGACATGCTGGTGGCCCCACAGCTGGACAGCTGCAGAGAAAAGCAGCTTGTGTGACCCACGAGGAACACAAAGGAAGGAATGGGGGCACCAGGCCATGCTCTTACCTTGCTCGGGCAGGGTGGGGGCCGGCCGGGCAGCGGAGAGCGCGGCTGCGACCAGCACAGCCCAAAGGATCAGGCACCGCCAGGTCCACATCCCACTGCTGCAGCTACTGCTCGGCGACTGGGCTCTGCAACCGCCCCTCCATGGGGGCCCTGGGGGGAGCAGGGGGGTCTCCGCAGGGCTGGCAGCCCCTACAAGCTGGGAAGGAGGAAAGCAGAGTCAGGCAGGGCCAGCTCCCCCACATCCCACCATGCAGCGCTTGTGATGTTCCTCCCGCATCCAGCGCAGACAGCAGGATGTCTCTGCACCAAGGGACATCCTGGATCAAGGGACATCCCCAGATTGCAGTGGCAGGTCCCCACAGACCCCTCAGCAGCCTGACAGGAGCTGGCACTGACTGGCAGGGTTATGTCTCCCCGTGTAAAAGCGCTGATGTGTCAAGAGCGAAACCGCTGGCGAAGCAGAACCGAGCGCAGCAAGATTTCCCAGAATGGTGAGAGAAACATTAACGACGCTGAAAGAAAGGGAGATTCCTGCTCTCCTCCTCCTGCACTTTGTCAGGTGTTGCTGAGCCATGGCTTCACTGAGGGAAATCCCTTACCCAGAGCAAAATCTCATGCTGTCTGTGCTGCGCCACCCCTAGCAGAGCAGCTCTCACTGCAAACTCCAGCCCCTGCCATTCCCTATAGGATCCATAGGGCACACAGCAGCCACCCCCTTGGAGAGGCCTTCCTGGAGCCACAGGGCCAGCCAGCTGCAGCCCATCTCCTTCCACCAACAGCTGTTTTTGAAGTGGCTCTGTGGGGAGAAATCCCCCGGCATCCAGGGCCAACTCTGCAACTCGCTCTCGTCCCTGCCAGCTCTCACGCTCAGGTCCCCATCCCTTTCCAGGCCAGCTCCAGAGCTGGGTTCTGGCACAGCTGGGAGGCTCAGGGCGCTGTGGGGGCGTGCCCTCCATGGCCCTCATCCCTCCTTCCCTCTGACCATCCCTCCCTCTCCCCATGCCAGCAGCATGGAGCTCGTCCAAGACACGTTCCAGGGGACGCCGGAGCCCGAACCCGGCCGCCCCCGGCCAACTGCTCCGAGCCTGGCGGACGGGATGGGAAGGAGCCCCTGTGCTCCACCCCCGCGCCACATCTGCACCTCGGCAGCAGCCTGGGATGAGGTCCCGAGGCTGGCCATGGCTGATGGTCCCGCTGGGCTCTGCGAGGAGATCCTGCCCAGCCATTGCTCAATGTGCACGGCCCCGGCCAGGGCGCCGCTGCCAGCGGCGGCGTTCTGTCTCTCTGGGACAATTACAAGGACAGGACAGGATACCATGCCACAAACCCTTCCCCATGGCACCTCCTGGGGCACAGCTGTGCCTCCGGGCCCCTCAGCCCCTGCTGAGCATCCCAAGCTCACCCGTGCTGCCGTGTGCTGCGCCGTCCCCGACCTGCCGCGGGAACAGGCGTCAGGCTGAAGTACACACTGCTAAAAACAGTGAGTAATAATCATAGTGAGTAATAAACTGCTACTCATCCTCCCCACGCACTCACTCCATGGAGCTCTACCTCTCCTGCTCCAGTGTGAGACCCTGCGCTCCCTGAGCCTGGCTTTTCCTCAAGGATGGGCTGAGCAGCCACGACCCCCAAAGATCCTCCAAAAAGCCTCTGCACCCAAAGGAAACCCAGCTGGGGTGTAGCTGTGGGGTTCCAGCTGCCTCCTTCATGCCCAACAGCTCTGGCTGGCACAGGAGTATTTGGGACCCAAATAATTGACACAAGGAGCCGGGCAGGGAAAAGGGCACCCAGCAAACACCGGCCTTATCTCCAACACCAGCGCTCCCAGGCACTGGGTAGTGCTTGGAAATAGTTATTGAATGTTCAAGATTTATCAGGGTTTGGAAAGGGGAGGCGGAATTCTTTGAGGGAGGAGGTGGGGGGGGGGAAAAAAAAAAAAGCAAAAAAGCCTTTGGTATTTCTGGAAATTATTTTCTGTCTCTCGGTGGCTTTGTTTATGGGCAGCACATGCTCCCCGGAACATGCCCTAATGCGGAGCGTCTGCGTGGGCCTCCCGAGCCGGCCCCGCGCCGAGGGGAGGGATGGAGGGATGGAGGAGAGCCCAGTGCCTCCAGTTCCTGACAAATGAGTCAGTGCTGGCTCGCGCACAGCAGAGCCCTTCTCCAGATACACCTCGGAGCGGAGCGGGCGCCTTCCAGCTGATTCAGGGGCTTGACAGCGGGATATTTCCATGGCGTAGGGACGGCTCGGCAGCACGGAGCTGTCCCGTGGCTCAGAGGGTCACTGCAGGGAGGGAGGAACAGAGGGAAGGGCGCCAGCACCCAGCAAGAGCACACAGAGATGGTCGGCTTCCCAGGGCAGCGAGGGAGGGAGCAGCAGCCACGGCTTTGCTGGAGGGCAGCAGGACTGGGATTGCTCCTTCTGGACAGGTTCAGCAGCACCCGAGGGAATCTCAGTGCTCAGAGAGGCAGCACAGACCTTCTCCTCCTTCCCAAGGGAAAAGGGAACACTGGGGAACCCCAAGACACCTGCCCTTCATGACTCCTTGGTGTCCCAAGGAAGTGGGGAGAGCACTCCTACCTGTGCAAACACCAGCATGGCTCTTTTCCGTGTTTATCCAGCTTTTATATAAATCCCAACAGGAAACCATTTGCTCTGGAGGATGGCAGCTCGGGCAGGGTGGGTCTCTGGGCACCATCCCCTCTCCCTGTGGCCCCAGCACTCTGCAATTTACTGCTCCGGGGTGGATTCAAACAACTAAAAACAGAAGCAGCTAGAGAGGAGCCAGGGCTAAGTGCCCCTCGGAGACCTGCCTCCAAAACTGCAATTACCACCAGCCATTACACCCACGGAGCTATTTCAGAGTGGTGATGGACTGCCCTGTGCCCGTCCCCGCACCCTCCACGCTCCCTGTGTGCCAGGATAGATGTTCTCACACTGCCTCTGCACTCCAGTGTGTCCCTGAGGAGTCTTGTGCAACCTGTCCCCCCCTGTCCTCGGGGGGCTGCACTTTCACTCCTCGCATCTCCCACAGCCCTGAGTCACAGGGCTGAGCTGTCCCAGGGACGAGGCACGGACTGGACTTTCCCACTTGCACAGCAGATTTGCACCCCGTGGCTCTGAGCTGAGTGGGGAAGCCCCTTGCTGTCCTGTCCATCTCTGGAATGCATCTGAGGTGCCAAACACAGGAGCAGGGTGAACAGCCAGGCTTGGAGCCCTGCAATGCTGTGACATCTGCAAGGGAGCCCTGATCTGATCCCTGAGACTTTGCCATGGGCTCGCTGGGGCTGGGGGCTCTGCTTCCTCTCCTCTGCCTCCCTGCTGGCCTGAGGCATTCACCACAAATGCCTTGGCACCCGTGGGTAGCACAGCAGGCAGGGAAAGCACAGGGACGGGCCAAATGCAACGGGGAGAAGAGTCAGAGCTCAGCTCCTGGGTCTGCACAGCATCAGGAGCCCGAGGTGGCACACTGTGCCCAAGCGGGCACGGTCCCTGTCCCTCAGGAGGGGAGGTGCTGACTGCCAGCAGACCACCCTGCCTGGCACGGACGCCCCTCAGCTCCAAAGCACATGAAAAGAGGCTCCTTTTCCTCTGAGGCACAACAAAAGCTGCCCAAATCCAGCTGCCCTTGGGGAAGGAGGACACGCCAAAGGCACAATCTGTGGGTGGCAGGAGTGAAACCTTTCCCTTGCCCATTGCTCCGTGCCCCCAACCTGTGGCTCAGGTCAAGAACCAAGTGTTTGCTGAAATAAAAAGCAAACACAACTGCACATGGAACTGTAGGGGAAAACTGTAATGCTTAAAGCAGACACATGCTTGGAAAAATAAATATCCAACTGTGCAGCATAAAGAGCATGTTAACCCTTCCCAGCTGGCCGCCAGGACTTCAGGGCTACCAGGGGCACCTCCAGCACCGAGCTGTGGGCTGGAATGCAGTGGTGGGAGAGCCTGGGACGTGGGGCAGGAAGGACAGGGAAAGGCCCAGCCTCACCCACAGATCTCCATAAAACCATCGCAGTTCTAGAAGCATCCTCACGCTCAGGGGTCCCTCCCCACCCAAAGAGTTGAGTTTCACATCTACAGAACAACCACTGGTACCCAAAAATCTGTACTGGGATGGTCACCCTGGCTGCTTTGGGAGGAGACTGGACAAGGAGAGGGACACTGGGACACGATCACAGCCTGCCATCCCAGGCAGGGACACACACCCATTACCCAGCCTGGGAGGGAGCAGGATGGGGTCTTCACTACAGTGCACTCCTCCAAGGAAAGCCATGGGGAGGGGAAGGACACGGATTTGCCGTCATGCCCAAAGAGGCAGAAAGATGGATTTTCAGGATGCAAGGAAAGCCATCAGGAGGGGAAGGACACACATTTGCCGTCATGCCCAAAGGGCCAGAAAGTTGGATTTTCAGGACGGGATGAGCATCTGCAAGTAGCCCCTTCCAGCAGCCAGGACTTGGGGGGGCTCCACCTGGGGCTGGAGACAAAAAGGCTCCCGGCTCAGGTTATGTTTTTGGGTGGGTAAATAAAGAGGGAGCTGCAGCTCAGCTCTGGCAGTGGTGAGGCCAGGGAAGGCACCTCGTGTGTGCAACAGCCCAGACTCGGCTCCCGCCGGCCGCCTTCACTCGTGCCTGCACCCTGCCGGGGCAGGGGCGATTTATTTTAATCCTCTCGCAGCAACACAAGGAAAAGGCAGCAGTGCATGCCAGCCAGCACAGGGATTAAGGGAGGAAGTGCTCCTGAGTGGGGAAGATGGCTGCTAGCCAGAGCAGGGGGCTGCAGGGCCCACGCTCCTGCGACGGGGGGGCTCTGCCTGTGCTGGCATCCAGCATCCATCCATCCTGGCACGGGGAGGGGGGCTCTGCCTGTGCTGGCATCCAGCATCCATCCATCCTGGCACGGGGAGGGGGGCTCTGCCTGTGCTGGCATCCAGCATCCATCCTGGCACGGGGGGGCTCTGCCTGTGCTGGCATCCAGCATCCATCCATCCTGGCACCCAAACCACCGCCTCCACCTGCCCTGGGCTCACTGAACCGCTTGGGTTCAAACACTGCCGGGCACGGAGCAGCCCCGGCCCGCCCGATCCGGGACACAGGGCAGCAAGCCGGGCACAGAGGGAACGGCGTTCGGCATCACCTGAGCGCGGACACGCTCGGCTCCGTCCGCACACGAGGCCGTGTCTGCCGGCCCCAGAACCCGCAAAAACCACAACCAAACCGCTCTGCAGCCGACTCCCCCCCGGTGCCCAGGGCCACCGCAGGTGTCGCCTCCCCGCACTCCCGTGGGCGGACGAGCGGTCCCCGGAGCCGCCGCATCCCCGCGCTGTGCCGGGCTCCGGGAGCCCCACCGGCGTGCACACACAAAGGGAAGCACCAGCCCCGGGACGGCGTTATCCCAGCGCCTCCATTCCCGCTGCCCGCCCCGGCATCCCAAAACTAAACCACAACCAAATCCAGCTCCTTCTTCTCCATTTTTTTTTTCCCCTAGAAGCCGCAAGGCTCCCGCTCAGGTACTTTTCGGGAAGAAGGGGCCAGGCAGCGGCTCGGAAAACGCCCCCCGATTCCCGCCAGGCTGCCCCGCGGCCGGGAGGGGTTTGGGGGCCGGGACGGCGGGGGCGGTTCCAGTCCCGGTTCTGCCGATGGACGGGGTCGGACCCGCCGCCTTCCCAAAGCGCTGCCCGCCCGGGAACGGTCCCGGGGCCCCGCAAACCCCCCGATCCCTCAATGCGGAGCCCCCCCCGTCGAGCCGCCCCGCCGGGACAACGAGGCGCACCTGGGGGGGGAATTCGGTCCCGTCCCCCGCCCGAGCCCCCCGGGCACAAAGCGACGCCCGCCGTGCCGGTGCCGCCCCCCGCGGCCGTTACTCACCGGAGCCCCGGCGCGGAGCCGCCGCTCCCGGGAACAATGGAGGGGAGGGAGCCCCGGCCGGGGCGAGAGGCGCAGCCCCGCCGCCGCCGCGCTCACAGCGGCCGCCCCATGGCAGCCCCGGTGCGGCCGGGCCGGCGGAGGCGGCGGGAGGCGCTCCCGGAGCCGCTGCCGGACGCGCTCCCGAAGGCGCGGCCGCCCCGACGCCGCCGCTGCCGCTGCCCGCCCGCCGCGTCCCGCCGAGCGCCCGCCGCCGCCGAACTAAGGCGCTCCCGCACCGCCCCGCCGGCCGCCGCGGCTCCTCCTCCGCCTTCCTCCTCCTCCTCAGCGGCCTGATGGGGCTTGTAGTCACAGCCGGAGCGCCCCCCCAGCTGCAGACCCCGGGGCCATTCCGGACGTGCCCCGGGGTTCTGCGCCCCGAAGGCAGCGCAGGATGCTGGCCGTGATGCTCTCCTCTCCTCTGCACCTTTTCCCCGTGGCTCTAGCTGGCCCAAGGGGAGGGTCAGGCCCCGTGGGTGCAGTTTGGGGTGGGGGGCGCTGCCTGCACCCCCGTTATCCTGTGCAATACCCGATCTGCAGGCAGCAGGGTGGGCAGAGCTCTGGGCAGCCTGGAGCCCCCCAGCCAGCCCCTCTGGAGAGCAAGGCCCAGGGTGGATGTTTAGAGTCCCAAATCAGCCCCGAATCCTCCCAGGAGCCCTTTTACACAGGGAAACATAACCCTGCCAGTCAGTGCCAGCTGCTGAGGGGTTTGTGGAGAGCTGGTACTGCAGTCCCTGCCCTTCCCAGCTGCTTTCACTGAGGTTTGGAGCACGAACGTGGCAGCTCGAGCACAGAGCTCCCCAAAAGTCTCAACAGGCACTTTTGGCTTAGCCCCAGCTGGGGCCACACTCAGCCCCCAAGCCAAAAGGCAGAGTGGGATATTGTCACACCAGCGAGCCCAGCCTGACTTCTGCACTCCCCAGCATGGAAGGGCAGCTCACAAAGCCCCAGTTTGGGCACTCAGAGGAGCTCCCCAAAGCTGGACTGGTTCAGGGTGATGCAGGGCACTCAGATGAGCTCCCCCAAAGCTGAGGGTGGCTCAGGGTGATGCAGGGCACTCAGATGAGCTCCCCAAAGCTGAGGGTGGCTCAGGTTGGTGCAGGGCACTCAGATGAGCTCCCCAAAGCTGGGCTGGCTCAGGGTGATGCAGGACACTCAGATGAGCTCCCCCAAAGCTGAGGGTGGCTCAGGGTGATGCAGGGCACTCAGATGAGCTCCCCCAAAGCTGGGCTGGCTCAGGCTGGTGCAGGGCACTCAGATGAGCTCCCCCAAAGCTGAGCTGGCTCAGGCTGGTGCAGGACACGCAGCCTCCATGCAGGAAGCACTGTGGGAGCAGCCACGAGTCCAAGTCAGGGCATCCCGGGATGAAGACATCTCCAGACAGCAGGGAAAGAGCTGCCGAGGCAATGTGCAAGTGATTAAGTTATAAGAGGGAAGAGGACAGGCTGAATTAGCCCTGTCAGTCACTGGTGGTAGATTTGAACCAAATGCTGGGCATCCATCCCCAGGAGCGGCCTCCTCCTGCTTCAGGCACCCGTTCAGCTCCCCATGCCAAGACCTGCGGAACATTTCCCTTTCAGATTTGACAGATTTGTGGGCAGGGAGAAGGGGGGAAGGTAACACACCTGCTGGGGTGTTCTCCCAGCAAGCTGGAGATGGGAAGTGTTTCAATGCACAATTCACACATGCACGACTCACCCGAGGTACATTTAGGGGGCAGTCACCCATCCCCAGCCCTGCCTTCCTCACTGCTCAGGAGCTTTGGGCTGAATTCAGGTTCCAAGGCTGCTGAGGGACCCAACCTGCTGGACTTTGCTATCCATGACCCCCACTGGGCTTCTGTCCCAGCCTTTTCTGCGCTGGCTCCGAAACAGGGCTGCACTCATGATGGACAGCCTCTGTGGCTGCTGGTCCTTTGGCACGGTTTTCTGCATGATTTCATCAACAGGGCACAAGTCCTTGGGCCATTATCAATAAAGGTGCTTGGAAATGGCAGGAAATGGGGAAAACCACCCCCTGCTCCCAGGAGGCTCCAGGATCTGGCTCAGCATCATGTTGGGGCTCAGCACGGAAGTGACCGTGGCATGATGTGCACAAGCAAGTCTGGATGGACAGGGACCCTGAAGGGTGTCCCAGCTGTGTCCCTGCAGGGTGTCACACACTCGTGTGCACACATGTACCCCTTCCTGCACACTCAGTGCTGTCAGTGCTGCCCGCCTCCACTTGCCAGCCCAAGGCCACGGGGTGTCCTTCATCCTCCTCCTCCTCATCTGCTGCCTCCACATGCCGGCTCCCAGCTGCGGCATCGGAAGCAGCAGAATCCATCACAGGCAGAGCTGAGCCCCCTCCCCAAATTCATCACAGGCAGAGCTGAGCCCCCTCCCCAAATCCAGCACAGGCAAAGCTGAGACTTCCCCAAATCCAGCACAGGCAGAGCTGAGCCCCCTCCCCAAATCCAGCACAGGCAGAGCTGAGCCCTCCCCAAATCCATCACAGGCAAAGCTGAGCCCCCTCCCCAAATCCAGCACAGGCAAAGCTGAGCCCCCTCCCCAAATCCATCACAGGCAGAGCTGAGACTTCCCCAAATCCATCACAGGCAGAGCTGAGCCCCCTCCCCAAATCCACCCCAGGCAAAGCTGAGCCCCCTCCCCAAATCCACCCCAGGCAAAGCTGGGCCCCCTCCCCAAATCCACCCCAGGCAAAGCTGGGCCCCCTCCCCAAATCCTCCCCAAGCAAAGCTGAGCCCTCGCCATCCCACCGGGCCGGCTGCCCCTCGTCCCCAGCGAGGTTCCAGCGGGAACCGGACTGTGGAGAGGGGGCACAGAAAGGGCTGAGCCGGCAGAGGAGAGGCCCCGCACAATAGAGCGGCTCCCCCCTGACCTTGCCTTCCCCGTGAAAGATGTGCAGCTCTCTCCTCCTCCCCACTACAAAGGGGCTCCTTTCAGCCCCTAATTCTGCATTTAGAAAACAAAAGCAGATGCATCTAGTTTAGGTTTGGAGAGGAGGGCGCGGGGGGGGGGGGGGGGGGGGTTGGAGGCAAGAGCAAATGCTGAAGAACAAAGAGCTTTCCCTGACAGATCTGACTGACAAAGACTTTGTCAGCTCCAGTCTCTCCCTGAAAGGGCTGGAGCCCATCAGGGTGCGGGGCTCCTGGCAGGCAGCTGGCGGCTCCCGGCCCGGCCAGCAGAGCAGAGCAGAGCAGAGCAGAGCTCACACACACACACACACACACACACACACACACACGTGTGGGACGTGCCCCAGCCCCGTGGGGCACAGCTGAGTGTGCACATGTGTGCATTCCGTGCTCACAAGGACCCAGCTGGGCATGGGGATGGGGCAGGACACGCCTGTGTGTCCCCAGATGGGAGCCAGCACCAAGGGCAGGCTGTGCCCGTGTCACCCTCTGTCCTGATCCCCAGGTGTGGGGACACAGGACATCCCTCTGGCTGTGCAAGACCCCTGCCAGAAGTCTCAGACCCACAGAGCCCAAAATGCCCCTGTGGTTTTCATTATGACCCATGGAGCAATTTACCAACCTTAGATGAAGATCTGCAAGCCACAACAAATTAAGTAGAATGATAGTGAAGTTATCACAGGGTAGAAAAGTAGATTTTGGGGTTTTTAGAATGGGGATTCAGGGGGGCAAGATGGAGAGATCAGGGCGTGTCCAGCCTTTCTCCTTCTTCTTCTTGGCCTCCATCTCCTGCTGTGATGGTGGCACTTTTGGATTGGTTTAGAGTAGAAGCTCACTGTCTAACATAGGTGATAGGTATTGGGAAGTTATTGTAAATATTGTACACGTAGTTTTTAGTATAAAGATATAACACAGCCCTGGGGGCAGGCAGAGTGCCTGGAACTGTCCTGCTGGATGGACCTCGGCTGGACAGGAGACAGAATTTTACAGATAAGACGAAATAAACAACCTTGAGACCGAGAAATGAAGAGCTCTGACTCCTTCTTCAAGCGCCGGGCTGGGAAAAGAGACTTTGGAACTTTTCTGGGGGTCACTGTGAGCAGCAGAGATCCCGACACCCAGGATGTCTTTTCCCAGGCTGCAGGGTTTGCTCTGCAGCCTCCAGGTGTGTTGGTTTGGCCTTGGCAAAGCAGTTCCCATCATCTGGAACATGTGAGTCACAGAGAGCAGCCTGGCACCTGCCCAAGGCTGGCAGCTCAGCTCTGGCATGCAGGGATGGCGTTTGCTGGTGCCACCTCTAGGAAACCTCTAGCCCCTCTCACTGTCCAGCCCAGACTTTTGGAACCAAACTGCCTTTTTCTTCTTTTCTTGGTGTCATCTCAACACCATAACCCCCCCACCCACCAGTACTTGGCTGCTCCTCTGGGAAACACATTTTTTAGGAGTCCCTGGCTGCCCAAATTGCCCCAACATCATCTTCTTCATGGAGGTGAGGACCTGTCCCAGGCCCAGCAGTGCTTGGGGCACCAGAGTTGCAGGCAGAGGCTGCCAGAAAGAAAAGACATCCTGGGTGTCGGGATCTCTGCTGCTCAGAGTGACCCCGAGAAAAGTTCCAAAGTCTCTTTTCCCAGCCCGGCGCTTGAAGAAGGAGTCAGAGCTCTTCATTTCTCGGTCTCAAGGTTGTTTATTGCGTCTTATCTGCAAAATTCTTTCTCCTGTCCTGTTGAGGTCCACTCAGCAAGACAATTCAAGGCACTCTGCTTGCACCTGGGGCAGTGTTATCTTTTCATACTAAAAACTATGTGTCCAAGATTTACAATTACTTTCCAATACCTGTCACCTATGTTAGACAGTGAGTTTCTACTCCAGACCAATCTAAAAGTGCCACCATCACAGCAGAAGATAGAGGCCAAAAAGAAGAAGTAGAAAGACTGAACATGTCCAGATTCTTCCATCTTTCCCCCTTGAACCCCCATTCTAAAAACCCCAAAATCTACTTTTCTACCTTGTGATAAATTCACTATTATTCTACTTAATTTGTCATGGATTGCAGATTTTAGACGACCTGGCAGGAGCTGATGGAGCAAGCTCAGCCAGGGAGAGCAGAACACCAATGCCACCCAGCCTTGCCTTCAAAGCACCCAG